AAGAAGGGGCAGGGTGCTACGGACTCCTTCATGTACCTATCTAGGGGCACCATCCTTCAGACCCTCAACCTTGGCACAGGAGCCACGAGGTTTTTCAAGACTGCACTCTGACCGGGTAACTGGACTTGGAGTTCTGCCCCGCTTGCAGCCAGTGCAGGAAGAACCAGCTTCTCTCTGAAGCTGGAAAGGTGTCCTCAAACAGCGTGTTTCAGTAGTGCAGAGGAGACTGGAGTGGGTGGGTGGGATACAAGTTACCCCGAGGCCTCCCAAGCCTCTTTCCCACCTTTTCCAAAATGGAGAAAAGTCCATTTGGTGAGAAGGCTAGTTGGATAGCCACAGAGAGGCACCGATTGCCCGACTGCTCCTCCCATTCTGCACAGAAGTAGCGTAAAAACCTGAGTCTCGGGGCTTACAACCGTTGCAACAGGGCTGTGCACTACAACTAATTCCTCAAGGCAGCACACCAGGTAAAACTCACACAGTGTGGATACAATAAAAAGATGAAAGCATATTTGAATTACCCTCCACAAAAGCAGAGATAGCCAATTAAAATAATTACAAATCAAGCTTACCAATAAACGCCTACTTAAGAAGAGACTAATGAAAATAGGACTTTCCTGAAAACATGCAAATGAAGAGTCTGATATACTCCTGGAGGAAATTATTTCTTCATTTATTTATTTTCTATGCAGCCCAATAGCCAAAGCTGTCAAGATTCCAATTTCTTTGGAAATTGATTCCAGAGATGCAGGCCACTGCTGGGAAGGCCTCCTTACTAACCTGACTACTGTTAATGGTAGGCAGGTGAGAAGGGGATCCTTTGATTAAATCAGAATGCCAGCATCATGGTACAGACTTATGGCTCTGTGTGGCAGGTAAAAATCCCACCAATTTAACTGCATCACTTGTGCTTGTGTACCCAAAGGCAACGCTGCCACAACGATCAGTGTACTTCACCTTGTTCCCATGCAGTAAGAGGGCAAAGACTGACAGCAATAAATTAAGCTGCACCTGGATTTAATAGGTAATATGTAGAAAGACACATCCCTATTTCTATTACCCTGCTGCCAGGGAATCACGATACTTTATTTTAAATTCAAAATCTGTACAAACAAAAAATACGGCTATTTTTAGTGAAAGTTATTCTGGAGAGGGCAAGAAATACCTCCTGCCAGACAATGCACCTTTCAAAAGGCGTGTTTAAGAGCCAACCAGTATAAACAGCTTCACGGGGACAAGCAAACAGATACAACCACATATGTTAATTACTCTTTAAGGAGAGACTTATAAAACTGGGCAGAAGAGGGAGATGCAGAACTTCAGGTGCCCCCCCCGAGCTGAACAGATCTGTTGCAGAAATGCAAAAATGCTTGCATCTACTCCACTAAAAAGTCCAAGGCATTTGCTTGCACTACAATCTACTATAGATGAACAGTATCTTATCTCTCCAACTGGGGCCAGCCCTGTCATAAGGAATGAGGCAACTACCTCAAGTGCCAGCTTTGGGGGAGGGAGCCAGCTAGATAGTCCTCCTGAGTCCATCAGGTTTTCTTTTGGAGGACAGACAGCACCCCAAGTCACCCCAAGTTAGCATTCACCCTATCACATCAGCCTTCCAGTTGTGGAACGGAGCGGGTGCAGAAGTGCCGTCTAATCCTTGATCACAGGCAGCAAAGTATCTTGGGTCAGCCCTGTCTCCATCTTTTCAGCACAGCAACAGAGGAAAATACTATCTGTGACCTGGGGGTAACAAATGAAGGAAAGGGAAAGAGATCACCCCTGCAACAAGAAATACACATGGGCAAATACAACTTCTTTATGTAGGGGAAGAGTAATGTGGTGCTGAAGGGCTTTGGAAGAAGCAGAGAGCAGATGGCAGCAGGGGAAGGAAAACAAGCAGTTCTTTCAATTAGTGCAAGGACAATACAATTGGAAAGCAAAGCTTGGGAGCAAGGGTAAATCCAGGATTGAGGGAAGAGGGAGGCAGACCTTTGGGAAGTTTTATGAGGTAGTCAACTGGCAGACCAAGGACCACACAGAGGCTTCAGCCTATCTGCAGGAGCCCTCGGCAAACCCTCAGTTCAAACTTTGGCAAGCCTTTCTGTCCCTCCCTTGCAGCAGCATAAGGAAAAGAAAGAAAAGTGGTCAAGGATCTGGAAAAGGTTCCCAATCCCCGCTTCAAGGGTAAGAGGCATCAGCATAACCTGCACAAGTCCTCAGACCTAGCCGGCTCACCTCCCACTCTGCACACCCCCTTTACCCTCTCCAAGGCTCGTTTGTGACCTGGGGATGGCGGCTGGCACAGTCCTTTCCAAGTTAATAGCCGTGCAGTCAGAGGACTGCCTGTTTACAAAGAAAAAAGACCTTTTTCCTGTCTAAACATGCATAGGACAACATTTTCAGTAAATTCAGAGGCAAGCCAGGGTTTTTCCTGGAGCACTGCAAGCCACTCAGCTTGTGCCCCACATTCCTTACAATATGACCCTAAGCAGAAGTAAATCCTACTGCCCCAGTGTTGCTCACGGTGCCACGAGCACGCTTAGGATCACTTCTGCAAGGGGCTATACTGCCACATCACAGAAAGCTGTCAGCTGCCAATCAAGCCACCAGCTCCAATCACCCAAGTTTTAAATACTCCATCTGCTGAGGCAACTAAGGTCACCGTTACCACTGCCGGGTCTCAGATGGCTTTTTATGCTGGGGTAAGTCAAGGTCAAACAAAGGACCGCACGGTGCCCACTGAAGTTAGTGCCCTGGAATAGAAGAACTGCAGGGTGTGTAGCCTGTGAGAATGGTGCTTTGCGCATCAGAGACTGGATATGTGAAGCAGCTTGAAGTGTTGCCTGTCGGAGCCATATGGTTTACAGCAGCGTGCCAGACAAGTCTCCTGGTAGATAAACCGCTACCAGGACAGTTTACAACAGATGATGAGCTAATCTAGGGATTGCCTTTTCCATTGTTCAAGTCCTCGGAAACACAAGTGTGTGCCTCTCCACTAACTGCAACTGGCGGCACCCATTGTTCTGACCAATTTGAACCCCGTCCGAATGTTTTGTTTCTTAAAAGGACAAACAGACACACAACAGCTTTGTTTTTAAACCGATCCAGGATGCTGAAAGAGGGCTTGTGGCAGGGAAATCGGAGTTTCATTCATTCAGGAAGAGGAAGGATAAGGAGGAAAGTTGCTTGCCGGTCTTCTGATCCAGGAGGTAATATGGACCATAAGAAGAGGCATGCTGGGACAGATGCAGGTCTGTGCAGGCTCTGTTCACACCATGGCCAACCAGCTGCCCAGACCAACAGCACCCTCCTGCCCATGCGCCCCAGCAACCGGTGCACACAGGCACACTGCTTCCGACAGCCATCGGTCCCTGATGGTCTTCCCCTCCACGCATTTGCCCAGTCCTCTTTTAAAGCTGCCAAATGGACGGCTGGCGCTCCCTCCTGCAAGCTGCACTCTTTTGTCTAAGAGCGATCCTCTCCTCGCACACGAGCCGAGCCGGCTACAACCACACAGGGGCAGATGCTCCTCATACGCCCAACGGCTTCAGTCGCTCTCTCCTCCCATTTTGCCCAAGAGTTTTGCAATATCATAAACTTAGAGGAAATGCCACCCTACATTTGATACCCTGATGTTGTTGTTTTTATTATCTCCAAAAATGTGGAAAGACAATTGCTCTTCTGGTTGCTTTCACTAAAGAGTGGGGGGGCAGTTCTCTGAGCCCCCTTCTGAAAACTCGAGGATAAAAGAACACCAACAACACAACCCTACATCTGTTTGGACAGAAAAAAAAACCCTGCACTTCCCAGCATTCCCCGGCACTCATGAATGATTTTTGTAGGACTTTTTGTGTTTAAACATGCATAAGATTGCACCCTAAATGACTGGGGTAAGGGGATACTATACCATACCCCACATTCCAGAATCTTATGGTTAGAAACCCCACATTTTCTCTCCCCACATACACAGTTTCTAAACTCTAACACTGATATTGTAGGGGATTCTTTAGGCTCTCTAAAGAAACTAATTCACCATTTTCTGGAAATTGCGAAACAATTCATTCCTTCCAAAGATGCCTTCTACTGATTGTAGGACAAAGAGCGCAGGAAACACAGAGCTTCCCTGAATACAGATTACTAAGAACTGTCCCCACGACCCTTACAATCATGCCTTTTAAACCCCAGAATCCAGTAAGGCAACACTGGCGGCGAGAGAGATAAGAAAATGATTTTCTCTCCCATAACTACCTAGACTTACGTCTCTTTGAGGGAAAGGGAAAATATGCACCAGGCTGATTAAAGCACTGAAGGGCTTGGCTGTTCATGAAAACTAATCGAACCAAGCTCCAATTACGATAGGGACAAAAGTTAAGAAAGTCGAAAGGGGAGTCTAAGCCTCATTGCCCCTCTTCACTGCGACACCACACTGGCTTCCCTTTCTGTGCATGTATATACTGGGGAAAGGAGACATGGAAGCCCCATGAGGAGAACCCCACTAAGCGAGCTCCCCCGCCCCTTCAGCATCTGAATTTTTCTGTAGTTTCAAATGCGATTTTAATTGTGCTTTTAATATTTATAAAGAAAGCGTTCGGGGGTTTCCCTAATATTTGGTATCGAAATGAATGCGATAGATTTTGGATTAAAGCACTGCGAGGTGCTTCGAGCACCTTTTTGGGAGGGGGCCGGAAAGATAGGGGATACATGAAATCTCATGTCTCTATATATAGATGTATGTGCCTGATGGATCACCCAATTTTTGCGGGGCGGAAAAAAGCGGCACAGCTCTGATTCCCGGGGGGGGGGGGAGCGGGAGATCCCCGATGCCGGGGGCAAATTATCGCCCAGGGGCATTTCCCTCCTTTCCCCTTCCTCCCCTGCCCCCTCCCCACTTTGCAAGAAAGACGGGCGCCCCCGGCGCCCCCCCCCCCCGCGATCCCGCCCGCGGGGGGCCTCCGCCGGGCGCGGGCGCGGGCGCGGGCAGGGCGGCAATGCACACCCACCTGGTCGGCGAAGTCCTCGGCGGTGCTCATCAGGTCGCTCTGCCCCATGGCTGCCAGCTGGGCGCTGCGGATGTGGCCGGGCCGGGCGAGGGAGGAGCGGGCGCTCGGCTGAGCTGGGTGGGCGCTCGGCTCGCACGCCCCCAGACCCTCTAGCGCCGCGGGCTGCGATTGCGAGCCTGCACAGGAAGTCGCTGGGCCGCCGCCGCCGCTGCCCTCGCCTCCGACTGCCACGTAGGCCGAGCCTTAAAGGAGCCTCGCCTCGCCTCGCCTCGCCTCGCCCGCCTCGCCTGGGCGGGCGGAGGGCGCGCGAGCCCCGCGGCAGCAGCAGCCCCGCCGGCCTGCGAGACGCCGCCCGGCCGCTCGCGGGGGTCACCCGGCCGCCCCCGCAAAGGAGGACACGCATCCCCGACGGGGGGGCGGGGCGGCGCCGGCTCTGCGGGCGATTCACACGTGCCGGTTCGCGTGACATGGCTCCGGCTGGCCGGGGCACGCTGCTCGGACGGACGCGCGGCCTCGACGGTTTAGGGCTTCGCGTCGGGTTTTCAGAGGCGGCGTGTTGGCCTGTCGTGCACGTGCGAACGTACTCTGAGACACAGGCGTGCTACTGAGAAAGGCTGATTTAAAAAAAAATGAGGGAAGGAGGCAGCAGTTTGCTGGACGTCTGCACCTGCTCGCTTGCGAGGCACGGCCTCAATATTTAGAAAGATTGAATTGGTAAATATAAATATTCAAAGGGAAACATCGATTTGCATAAAATTTGCCCATGCTACTGTATCCTTAGACATAATATGTATAAAAGTTGCTTTTAAAAAGGAGACGCTCCGGTTCGCATGTGTTAACTTAGTATTAAACGGGCGAACAAGTTAGAAAGATGGAATAGAATTTCAGTACATTTTAAAGGAAGGCATCCATTTGTATGCTAGCTGAGTAGGCATAGACATATTTAGAAAGATTTCTGACCATAATTCCTTATTTAAAAAAATAAAGGTGCAGCCAGTCGTGTGTGTGTGTGTGTGTGTGTGTGTGTGCGTGTGGACAGAAGGCAGGCCTACAACGCCCAGCCATGGAGAGGAGGGTACCCTAAGACGACTTCTATTCCCAAAGTTTGACTTTTTCCAAGTGTGTAACGCCCACCAAATTACTGCTACAAGCTTATTCAACACTCTCCAAGTCAGGATTTATCCTTGCAGAAGACGGTCAGCAAGAGCTGCACTTCCAGCCATCCTTTCATCTTCAGTAACGCCTCCCCCCAATTTTCCTGCCACGAAAGCTCAGCTGAGCAGACCCCAGCGCTGGAATCCCCCGGGAAGAAATGGGTGTTGGCAGTGGCACGTTTCTAGTCCTCAAGAGGGACAAGTGACATTCCCGTTTGAGGATTTGACCCCTATGGGGCTTAGCGATTTTTGCATGTTTACGTGGGCGAGGAGGACTTCCTTCCCCACGCAGGTCATCACTGCCCTTTGCCTCCCGTTTCTTAGCCTCTCTCCCTGAGGGAAGGCGGGCGCCTGCCCGCACCTGCGCCCGGGCAGACGCGGGCATCCCGGTTTGCGGGAGCCTCCGCTCCCGTCTGCCTTTGCCCCCAGCAGCCCGGCCGCCTCCCCAGCCGGGGTCCTGCTCCGCGGGGGCTCTAAATGGCCGGCCCGGGTGCCCCGAGCCCGGCAGGGCAGCGCAGGGCAGGCCCGGCCACGCGGAAGGCCGCTCAACGAGAGGGGGAGGGGCGGGAGCGGCGCTTTCCCGCCTTCCCTGGGTGGGGGAGGGGCGGCGCCGTTGCTCCTGCCTGCCGCCCCTCCCCCGCCGCCGCCGCCGCCGCCGGGCCATGGAGAAGTACGAGGTGCGGGAGGGGCGCGCGGGGGCCCTCTCATTTCTGGAGGGAGGAGGTAGCCCCTCTTTGCGTCAGCTGGTGGGCGGAGGTTGGTTGTGCGCACACACACACACACACACACACACAGAGTTAGGGAGAGGGGGCGCTCTTTGGGGCGGACAGGGTCTTTTCCAGTGTGGGGGGGGGCACCTCTGCTGCTTGCACGTCCCCGTGGGGGGGTGTTAGGGTTGTTCTGCTTTTCGTTCCTATAGATTAAGGCACAATCCTGTGTCTGTTCAAGCAGAACAAAGTCCTACCCCCTGAAGAGTATATATATTTTTAATAATTTTTAAAAAGCCCATCACTTCCTTTCTGGTTAGTACGCTTTTCCTTTTCCTATATCCCATGCAGTTTCCGCGTCTTTTCCCGCTCGAGCATGCATTGGAAAGGCAAAATAAACAGAACAGAGAGGCGCGATTAGGAGGGCGATCCTGTGCAGGTTTAGGCGGAGCGAGGTACTACAAATCTCAGCATGCCCCAGCCACCAATCCCCCTCCCCGTGAGGTTGCTGCGGTTTCTGTTTTGGACTATTCTGCACCGCTTCTCGAGGTGCAGCTGGGACCTGCCCGCCTGCCGCTTCCCCAGGTGCGACACGTGCCATCCTATGCGAGCGGGCCTGGCTGGGGCATTCTGGCAGCTGCAGGTCCCTTTCTGCCTGCGCATGCCTAAGTTTGTGCCCTTCCCTGTATTTTTCTTTCATTGCTTTTTCCCCGTTGCTTTTCATTGCTTTCATTCCTTTTACACCTCATTTTTTTTTCCAAACTACCCTTGGTTTAGGACAAGGGGCTTACAATGTGTGAGTGTCTATTGCACCATTACTTGATAGGAAGTTGAAAATGGATCATTAATGAACGCCTCGTGGCCATTATTTTATCAAATATTTCCCGTTGGCTTTGGGCACGTATGGGGAACAAAATAATAAACAGTGGTCATAGAACAGAACAACAAGCCTCTTGCTGTCTCCACAACCTTCCTTCTACTTTAAACCTGTATATTTCAAAGCAGGAGCACTTCAGGTTAGTTCAAAATATATACATTTCTGACTTCAGTTGTATACTTGCATGCACACACACATTCAAGAGTAGCATAATCATAATGGCACACTTCATATTTGTACTACTTGACAAAGATAAAGGAATAGTCTTCATAATTATGAATAATTTGCAGGCCAAGCTGGTCTTCACATTGGAAGACATGCCAGAATTTCTGCCCAGGTGGTATTGCCTTTTGGTCCTGGAGGGATTTTGCCTGCATCTTGCATGGACCACAAAACCAGTTTGCCCTTGAGAGGGAGAAATAGCCAATGGGCATTCTGAGACTAACATAGCTGTGTGATGTATATGTTTTGAAAATATTTTGTCTCATCGTCCTATAACAGCTCAATTTAGATAGTGTGGTTATTAAAGTATAAGCTGTAGTTATCCAAATCAGCTCACTCAGCCAGTCAGCGGACCTCACAGTAGGACCTATACAACAACCGACATGGGCAAATAAAATACCAAGTCCTTCCTTGACTTAAAATCCTAAATACTTGAAATAAAATCCTAAAACACAGGTCAGATATCTTTTGTCACTACCAACAAGAAACAAATAAGCCTATTTTAAACCCATCGTCATTGCGCTCAGAATATTTGGCCACAATTTCTGTAAGACCATTTTTGTATCAGAAACAAGAAAAAGCACACGAAATTTAGGTGATCTTCCATGTTGCAAAGAGCTTAGCAGGTTAATAAACTCATTGCAGCAAAGATATTGGTAACAGTTACAGAAGAGAAGAACTTGGTTTAAGATGCAATGCTATCTGGGAGACCGTTGGGTTATTCAGAGTTCCGGCCCCAGATCCTGTGATCTTGGAGCTGAAACTCCTTCCTTCTACTTCCCTGGTCAGCCATTTGGACATCACCACAACACCTTCATGCAAGGGATGTGTGTGAACCTCTGAACTTCTGAGCATCATGTGCAGTGAGGGCACTGGATTGGACATGTGCCTTTCATGTTCAGTTTCTTCTGAACGACAAAGTCATCCCTTGGAAAATTGAGAAACCATGGCTTGCAATCCTGTGGCAAATCAGGATCAAATGTAATGTGGGTTTGCAAAACATGGTTTGTGCTAACTATGGTTTAATATGATGTCTGAATGTAGCAACCATAGTCACAGCAGCCGCTCTTGATTCCCGAGGCCTTTGCACCTGAAGGTGAAAAAGAAAACATAACGTTCTAAACCATGATTTATCATTGGAAAGCTCAGGCCATGTTCTGTACGATCTCTGGAGCGAGCCTGTATTTTTAGTGCATGTTTCAGGATCTGGGATTTGCTTTACCCATGAAAGCTTAAGCACCCTGTCCCTGATTTTGGGGGATTCCCCTTTCCCCTAAACTGCAGCCAACCTCGTTCCGCAGTGGCTCCTGGCTTTGTGAACATTGGAAGGAAGGGTTGGGGGATCCACTTCCATCCGTGCAGCTGATTCAGCATAAATCAAGGACCGAACGATGAAATGTGTACTTCAAGCACAATGAGCGGGCTCAGACACGGCAGCTCACCCATTTGTTAATGTCGGTCAATGTGTGAATCGGCTCTGTATTTTGCAGGCAGTTCAGTGTGCAGGGCTTGATCATGACTTCTCTGTGTTCACGGTGCACTGATCGGAATAATGTAGATTGCTGTGCAGGTAGCTTTTATTTCCTGCTTCAGGATGTGAGCTCGCACTGGTTACATACCGTGTCGTCAGCGTCCCCTCCGTTTGCTCTCAGTCCTGTGGCTCATGTACGTTGACCTCTTTGTACAGGTCCTGCACCCACTGTCCGACGGTGCGCTCGGGACGATGCTGGTGGTCAGGTCAAAAACAGAGGAAGAAAAGGATGGTGGGAAAAAGAAGTATATTTTGAAAAAGGTGAGGGGGAAGATAGAACAGGTGGTTTCCATGACAACAAGATGCGATGGAGCTTCCAAGTGCATCACTAGTGAATTATTTTGTGAAAGACCAACACGTTCATCACGAGCGGCTTATCTCGCATTACAATAAAGGCAGTTTATTATGATTATGATTCAATAATAACACATGGTCAGAACATTATTAGAACAAAACAAGCGAAGTTCTCACATTTCTTCACCATTTCTTCACTGGTTGGGCAATGTGAATAGGCATTTAGCAAATTTTCACCTTCGAACTCATATATGTGTGCTTGTTTATTTTTAATAATTATCCTTCAGCTTATAGCCTGCTTAATTCTAGATGGTTTTCAGCAGAAACAGCGCAAATAATCATTTACATTTGATAAAATGCAACGCTGAAGTTTAGTGCTAGGACATGGAAGTAATAAAAGAGTTCCTTTGAACATAATATTTGTCCCTTCTTCACCGCTAAGCAATCGTGTTAAGTTTCGATACCTGCAGGCTTAGGGAGAAAGGTTTCTGAGTTGGTGGATATGATGGACACCGGAGGATGTCCTTTAAACAACACGCCCCCAAGAGAACCTGGGTATTGTCTCATGGAAGTACATTTCACGGAACAGTGTTCATTTATGTCCCACCCAATAACTGAAGTGCTTTAGTCTGTAATAGGAAAGATCCTGAAATATTTGTCATCATTAACAATGCATGCCAGGCCCCAACATGTCAGAAATACTCTCAAGGCAGTTTCCAAAACATAAATTCACAATATATGATGAATAATTGATTTAAAAGTATAAAAATCTTAGGAATACAGGGAATACATACTAGGTATCAGAAATCATGCTAATCACAGGCAGTACTCAACCCAGGGAGCCAAGGTGGTGCAGAGGTTAAGAGGGCGGAACTGGGACTCGGGTGCTGTAGGTTCAAGTCCCCGCTCAGCCAGGGAGCCCACTGGGTGACTTCAGGCCAGTCATGGATTTTCGGCCCAGCCTACCTCACAGGATTGTTGTGGGGATAAGATTGAGAGCAGCAGCAGGAGATGAACTATGTAAGCCAGCTGAAGTTCTTTGAAAAAAGGAAAAGTCACGCTATAAATCTAACAAATAAGAAGGACAAATGAAATAAATAGTTAAAGCTTGGTCACACCATATCATGCAGCAACCAAAAGATCCTTCTTTATGAGAAAGCAATTCAAGACAAAATGAAATGTTTAATATTTATATATTTTAATTGTGCAGCCAGTGTGTTTCCAGGTTTTAATTATAATTGTAATTGTTTTATTTATATACTTCTGTGAGCCATCCCGAGGCTATGTAGCAAGGGGATGGCATATAAAAAGTTTAAATAAATAAATAAACCCAGACCCTCCTTTAAAGGCCTTGGTGGGCCGTGTATGTTTCATAGAACAGGTTTCTGTGCCTGCTGCTATCAAAGCACGGGGAGCAATCAGGTGATTTTCAACTTTCCATTCTTGTTTTTGTTTGTTTGTTTTTTAATTGGTGGGCTTTTGAGCCCATCTAGAGGAAGTTGAAGGGGTGAACTGGAACAGACTGCAGCTGGAATGTCTCGTTCTGACCTCTGCAAGGTCATTGAGATCACTTTTGTCATCTTGGAAAGCAAGTGAGAGATCAGATCTTGAAGCTCGCCCACCCTCCCACCCCTGCCCAATCCATAGCAGCATTTAGAGCTTTTGAGAAGAGGAACTGGCAAAATCTTAGTTCCTGGGCAACTTTCCCAGGAACTGTAGGATCATACCCCAATGCACTAAATAATAATGATGAAAAGAGTTCCCAAGTGCAGAGCAAGCCGTAGAAATCTTTCCAGTTTTACAAGCATCCTTGGCTTTTGTTGTTATGTGCAGGTGGAATGCGTGGATGAAAAGCAAGGAAACGATGCTCTCAAGGAGGTAGCTTCTCTTCTCTCCCCTTTACATCACACCTGTGCTGACACAGGATTTTACCTGCCTGCGTTGTGAAGACTCATGCCACAGTACCTTTTTGCCTTTAGAATGCCTTGTGGCTTTTGCGATGACATACCAGTTGTGTCCTCACAGACCAAGAACCCTGGTCGTCTCAGTATACATACCACAAGTATGTACGTGCAGAACCAACCAGAGGTTATTTCCTTTGTGTAGCTTTGCGCAGCGGCAGCATCATGGCCAAGGGTGATAATCCAAGGCCCAGCTATGGCTCAGTGAACACCTGATCCACTTGACTGATTTACTTCGCGTAATGTCCAAATCACAGATCCTGGTTTGGGATTACAAGCAATGCTTATGGCCAGCTCACAGTTCCTGACCAGGATGCCAGTTGTGAGAACATGTACAGCAAACCATCTCCGATTTGTTTACCTGTTTCCCCTGAAAAGGAAGGACCAAGCAGCTCTTGCATCAGCACTCGGCTTGTTCAGGATAAGTGACCCTGGCTTACTGTTTTGTGCAAACACAAAATAACAAGTTGAGCTATTTTTCTAGACCTCATGCAGAAGAGGATTCTGTGAATAAAGTTAAACAGTGCGGTTGTTTTATCAACAATGATTTGACGAGATCAATAAATGCTCTTGGGAGTGTTGAAAATCAACTTTTAAATACTTTGATATGGAATGCCCAATAGTAGGTTGGCCAAAGACAAAAAGCCACCAATTAAACTTCAGAAGAGGAACACCAACTTCTTAGAATAGGGAAAAACCTGCCCTGAAATCAGGAGACCACCAAATGCTCAGTCACTGGGGAAAGGTTGTGGGGCCAGGGGAAGGGATCATGGCCATCCGGAGAAGCCTGGCAAGCTGGATCGGGACCCTAGGAGGGCCAGACTTCCTTCCCCACCCCTTTCCTCTTACATTTCTATCTTTTTAGATTGTAAGGCGGTGGGCCAGGGACCATCCTATTTAACTGACTGTTTCTAGGAGATTGTTTTGGTGAGGAGTGGAATAAAACTACTTTAAATCAGAGGCAATCAGGAAATCGGAGCATAGCTTCGTGTGTTACGCATCTGTATTTCAGACCTTTCCCCTCATTCACTGTTCTCCCAACAGGTCATGGCTTTGCTGAAGCTGGAGCATCGAAACATCTGTGCCTACAAAGAAATGTTTATCATTTGGGATAACAAGGTGAGAATGAAATTATATCTGTTCAACTTACCCACATTTGGGGTTGTTCAGTGGGACTCCTCCTTTGTAAAACTTAGGCAACAGCTCCAAATTTCTGAGCCCTGTGAAAGGAGGAGGCACAGGCTGGTGCAATCCAGGAGGGCACAGGATGCTGAGAGTATATTTTGATGTGGAAAGGTGGGATAAAATTCATTTAAATTAAAACAAAACAGATCTTGGAAATTCAGTTGAGACTTCAGTGCATTCATGGAGAGAACTGAAAAATACCAGCAGCTGATGCATTAATTACCTATTACTGTGTTACGCCTCTTCAAAGTGAGAGTAGGGGAAGAAATGTTTAAATTCCTTCCCATACTAAAAAGAGAATTTCTTACATTTCCAAAAGTACTGTGACAGAGGAAAGAAACACATTCTACCTTCCCTTCATGGATCTAAAATATTGATACTTTCAGCTGGTTTCCCTTTCATCCACATCCCATTATGTCAATATTTCATACTTAGAAACAGTTACCTGGGGTGCTTCCAGAGAGAAATCCCCTAATGCTACCTATCAGAAAATACTGTGCAGTAATTCTGATTTTTCCCCTTCATGGTTGTTCTGTGGTCAGGAATCCGATGGGGCCAAGTGGTGGGAAAACGCAGGGCTGCAGTCACCACCGGACCTCTTACCGTTCATCAGATAAGAGAGGACAGTGGCCTCCCTTGGAACTGCCGCTGGAATTTCCCGCTCTGTCCTTGAGTGGACTGCAGGGGTGGCCTTGTTATGACAAACGCTGCAACCTCCGGAGATCACCGAGATGGTAGTTTTCTGTCCTTTTTGTTGCAGATCTCGTCCATCTTTCTTTGCCTGGTGATGCATTACTCGGGTCAAGGTGACCTTTCCATGTTGATCAAAGCCAAGAGGCAAAAACGTGAGGAAATTCAGTTCAGGGTAAAAAGAACGATTCTTACTATGATAACAACAGTGTGGGTGTGCTGATAGTTTTCATCCCATGCACGCATGCCGACATACACATGGCCAAGTGAAATGAAATCCTCCCAAGACCAATTTAAACTTGCAAAAAGAATGCAGAGGAAGGAAAAATACCCATCAGGGAAAGCCAATGACAATGACTTTGAGCATTTGGAGAATTCTTCCAGAGCTTTGTTTTATTTTTAAGTGGAGGAGCAAAGATGAATACCTGAAGGAAGTGAATTCTAGAGTGAGTGACCCAGCCCTCACTCAGCATGGCCAGTGACCAGGAATATTGGGCATTGTAGTCCAAAATATCTGAAAGACAGGAGGTTTGGGAGGGCTGCTATACAATGAAAAGTGTCATGCCCAGTGCCCACAGCAAGATGAAAATATCTCAAGTTCTGATTTGATACAACAGCATATTTCTCAGTCCCCTTGTCTTTCACCCCCACCCCCCTTTATAGGTAGTTCAGATATTCCTGGGGCAGATGGTGGATGCTTTGCTTTACATCCATCAACAAAATATTTTTCACAGGTAAGGAGAATTTTTTAAGTACCTAAATAATGCTGTTCTTCCAGTTTCTTCACATCTTTAGTTATTCTTATATAGCCATTTATACCATAAATGTTAAACCGTTTTAAAAGACACCCATAAACTGCTTACAGCTTTGCTCATATGTAACTCCATTTTAGCATGCTAAAAAATTCCTATTTGTTTCAGAAACATCAAACCATCCAACATCCTGCTAAATGGTGAGGCGTCCTTCATGCTTGGTGACTTCAGTTCAGAAACCCTCATGACGGATGAGATGAAATGGAAGATAAGAGTACAAGAAGGTAGAAGGTTTTCTTTTTTTAAAAAAAATTTTCAGTAGCCTTATTCTTAAAAATAGTTTTCCTAAATGGTGGGAGAGAGACACGTGCCAGGGATATGGCAAAGTATTTCTACCAGTGCTTGGCATCAGGAATATTTAACTGTGCCTAGATTAGCAGTCCCTGTTTATTTGAAATGTGTGTGGAACCAGTTTGGAGTCTCAGTCTGCCAGGCAGATGCTTGCTTGCATCAAAGGACATTTCGCATTCAGTACATGGCACTATCCTCCAAGTCGTAAAGTAACAGCAAATGTTTTGTGAAAGCTTGGTGGAAGGGCTTGACAGGAATCTGAGATTTGCTGTGTAAATGCTCACTACAAATCAAACATCAATCCAGTGGAAATGTGATTGTGTTTTCTTTGAGATGTTTAAGAAGGAACAGCCTCCAATAAAATAAAATCCCCAGACTGTTAACCCACAGGTTGTAATACTTCTGAAAAATATTAGAATGCGTTGATGCCAATAACACTGCGAATCAGCTCAGCTTAGCGTACAACAAAGATACTGGAGAAAACATTTTTGTTAGTTGTCAGCCATTCATTTCTTCAAGGAATCTTCTAAGTTGGAAGGCAGGTCGTACTGCCCACGAGCTCTTGCTGCAGATTGGAGTCTGCATAAAAACAGAACGACTTAGAAACCTAGCAACCAGGAGGAAAATAATTTTATATGATCCCTGGGTGTAACACATTTTGCTGTCTGTTTATAAATGAATGTTCCCATTTTTGAGGAATAAATGATTCTGTATACTTGTCATTAGCCATAAATTCTACTTTTGGACATTCAACATGCCTGAATATTAGTGAAATGCTGCTGTAAAACTAACTTTACCTAATGATGAACAGTCATACATAAGATTGAAAAGTTTGCTCTTGCAGCTTTTGAGACTTTTAATCACTTTTTATACAGGACATAAAATACCAAATGCTTTATAGTTTTCTCTCCCTTTCTTCTTCACAACAGCTTCAGGGGGGTGCATCAAAAATACTGCTAATAAAACCAAAATCATGAGGAGAGGAACCAAGGAAAGAGAAATGTTGCCATCTTTGTCAATTCTGCACATTCATTACCGTGCATAATTTATATAATGAAAGGTGCCGTCCTGTGCAAGTGTAAGCAGAAAACAGTCCTACAGTCCCTAGTGATCCCCAGCCAGCAGTGCTGGCTGGCAAATCCTAGGAGGTTTGCGACATTTTCAGTCTTGGTATGCATGCAGTCGCAGCCTCAGTCTTCGGCTAGACTTGGAAAGAAAGCCCTGTGTGAAAATCATGCTGCAAGCCAAGTTTAATTCCCTTCCCCTTCCCCTTGAATAGCTGTACCATGCCAGATGATAACACCTTCAGGCCACACAATCAGCAACAAAGGGAAAATAATACTTCCATTTCTTTTTTCCCCGCAGTTCCTCACTTTAAATCCTGGATGGCGCCAGAAGCTCTCAAGTTCTGCTTTAGTGACAAATCGGACATCTGGTCGCTTGGCTGTGTTCTACTGGAGATCATGAGCTGCTCAGCCTTGAAAGCACATTCCTCTTCTGACATAAAAGTATGTAACAATGGAGAGTTACTAAACAATTCAGTTACTGAACAATCACTAGCCGTGCAAAAAGCTAGTGTTCATTTCAGTGGAAGTGGCCCCCCGGATGTTTTGGTCTACAACTCTTTATCAGTCCTAGGCAGCGCATCCAGTGGTGAGGGATGATGGGAGCTGTAAGCCAAAACATCTGGAGGACAATAAATTGGCCACCTCTGGTTTCATCCGTATCTAAGAAAAGATGTGAAATTACGAAATGCTCATCGGCAGAACAACTTTCTTCACTGTAATTGAAGGAAGCACTCATGAATCCCCGCCTATAACTTGTAGATATGGAATGCCTTTGACTTTCTTGATATTTCCCTCTCTTTCTCTGGGTATGTAACGCTGCCACCAGGAATTTAATCCAATCTTATTAATTAACCTCTCCCATAATACTGTGCCCAAGCTGAAAGGCCCCTTCGTTGGACTAGGTGGTCCCCAGGATGAGACACTGGTATTCAAATAGCCTATGACTCTGGGTTAACAATAAATCAAATCAAACTTTATTTGTACATTAAGCATATCGGCTTCAAGATGCTCAGTAACTTATTTTCTTAGTAAATAAAAGAGTGTATATTAATAACTACAGATTGAGGTATCTCATGCTTTCCCTTCACAAATGCTCCTCACGGACAGGTCCTTTCTCTTCTGAATGTTCTTTGACCAGTCTTTAAGCTATTTCTCTCAGTTCCATCTTTGCCTTCTCACTTAGGTTCATCAGCTTCCCTGTCTTGCAGCCGTATGATACTTGATAATATAGGTTCTGACTCTCCCGAGTCACTAAAGTGTCTTCCAGGGATCCTGCTTCCTTCCTTCTGTCCCTTTTAAGAATCCCAAATGCCTTCCACAGCACTATCTAGGGCCTCCTTGCATTCTGCAGATTTGCCAGCTCAACTGCTGGCAACCTGAAAAGGACCTGAAAAGGCTGGCCATGCACATGGTGGGCATGTCATGAGTGGAGCCAGCTGGAGCCGGGGGTCAGACTAGATGGCCCAGGAGGCCCGAAAGATGCCCTGCCAGAACTTCCGAGGAAACTGCCAGGAAACTGCTACAGTTCAGATGTTCTTCCTAAGAGTGGCATGAAAGAGAGGGAGGACATGGGGTGGCAGGCTGCCCCTGCGGCACGAGGGGGCACAGCGAGGCAGGACGGGCAGAAGCAGGGCCTGCTTTGGGCTGCCGGCACCACAAATGAGCCTGACAACGAAAAGGAGGAATGGAATGCCTGGGCCACCTTAAAAAGCCCTGCCCAAAGCGTGTGTCCGTTCCAGCCGTCTGGTGTGCTTTTCACATGGCTTGTTTCTTTTTAGGCAAAAGAGCCAGTTTCGTTATTGCATGACATTAGGGAGAATACCAGTGCTCTGGAGGAGGCCTTGATATCCGTGAGGTATCAAGATACACCTTTGTCTTCTCTTCTGACTCAGATGCTGATGATCGATCCGACCATGAGGCCCACTGCACAGTGAGTTGGGATTTGTTGTCTCCTGTGTGGGAGTTGCTGTTTGCCACCTCTAAGGCTGTACTCTCTCAAAACAACAAACATCACGTGCCGAGAGAGATACTATATAAGCAACAGCCAGTCGCAACACAAGAGAGGGCCTTTTTGGCAGCCACGTCCAGGCTGTGGCGCCCCCTCTCACGCGTGGCTCAGTTCCCCCCCCCCCCCCCGCTATCCTACCTGTGGCAGGCAAAGACCACCTTGCTTCAAAATGCATTCAGCCTGCAGATAAGTCTGTGGTTAGGCTGGTGCTTTTTTTCTCTGTCATGTTTCTTTTTGTCTTCGAATATGTTTTATTATTTTAATCTATTTTAAATTGTTTTTGTTAAGATGACTTGAGTGCCATTCTTTGACAGAAAGGTAGGGTTACAAATCAATCAAACAAGCAAGCAAGCTATATTGGGACACCTTGTTTTGATTCAACTAAATAGCTGGGTTTTCCTCTCTCCTGCAATTTTAGGGAGCTGGTTGAGAATCCATTCATAAGAGAATGTCTGAGTCTAGCTGACTCTCCTCTAGTGAAAGTTAAGCAGAGCCTCCCACCAGGACTGGCGGACGTTATCCTGAACAGTGAGATCCAGGCTGTTCTCGGTAAGGTTTGCAAACAGAAGCTTCTACCTTTCTTAGAAATAGGAAGGAATCTAAGAGAGGAGAGGGAGCTTAAGGGGCGCATTTGACTCTCGGGGGATTCAGAAGCACCCCCACTGCCAAACAGAGCCCCACTCTTGGCCGTGCCTTGAGCTACTTTTCCATTGCCAGAGAAGGTGGGAGAATGTGAAGCAGTGGCCACAGATGGAAGAAGAGGTTTGGAGAGACACAGTTCTGTGAGAGGAAGCGTTGTGCTGGATTTGAGACAACATAGTGGGATGAGAAATGTGTGTGTGTGTGCGTGCGCGCGCGCACATGCAGCTGGCACATGTGTGCAGCTTGGGATGGGAAGCCCAGCCTGCCCAGGTTCCAAATCCACCGATGCACCAACGCAGCAATCCACCCAGCAGGCTTTTGATGAGGCCACAGCAGTTGGTCAAATTCCGTGGGGCCAAAAGATCGGGGGACCAGACTCGGAGGCTGTTCATGTGGGTATTATAAAACAGATGGTGTTCCCAGAAGACAGCAACCCTTGTGCAGTTTAGGTGGTAGTGGAAAAGCAGTAATTCTGACAGTGTTCCTCACAGGAATGCACAGCTGTTTCTTTCCCCACCTTCCGCAGAGATCATGGTGTCCTACGAGGACATTGAGGAAGCCCAGGTCAAGTGCATCAAGCGCCTTATTAGCCTCCTGAAAGCCGCAAAAGGTATGCAGTGACTGAACGCATGTTTTTATTTTTCTTGATGTTCAGAGTGGGATAACATATGTAGTTTCATTGCAACAGGGAATGGGTTTATGGGAGTTGGGGCAGGGCTGGTGAGGAAGCCCCGTCGCTGGCTGCTGGCTCCGGGCCGATTCCTGCAGTTCTCACAGATGGCGGTAGTGGGCCAGCCTTGCTGACACAAGGCCCATGAGCCCAACCTCCTGCCCTGCTTCCATCTGTGGTCGCCCATCTGGCCGCAGGCCCGTCCCTTTCCAGGTCAGCAAAGGAGACTTTGTGTGCTCGTTTATTGTGTAGCTACGCAAGACAAGTAAAGCGGCCACAACACGGGGGTCGGTCCTCTCTCAGCCTGAGGGTGAATGCCTTCTGAAGAAGCTCTTGGGGACGGGGGCTGCATCGCACTGGTGGGCAGGTCGAAGGCCAAAGGGGTGAGGACAACCATTGGCTGAGGCTTTTCAACCTATACAAAGGGCACGAAGCTGGGAAACCAACCAGCAACTGAGCGATGGGGAAAGGAAGGGGACGCCATCCCTGAGCTGCGTGGATTTGTAGTGCTAAGGAGACGGGGGTGGGGTTCAGGAGAGCCGGGTTCGAGTCCCCACCCAGCCACGGAGCCCACTGGGTGACTTTGGGCCAGTCACAGAGTCTCAGTCTAACCTACCTCACAGGGTCGTTGCTGTGGGGATGAGAGTGAGAGGAAGAGAATTAGGTAAGCTGCCTTGAGTTCCCCGAAAGGAAAAGAAGGCGGGGTATAAATAGAATAAACTGCATTAATAAGTGCTACATACTGGTAAATTCAGCCTGCAGGTCTCAGTGCCATGAATATCACCCAGATGAAGAGGCGGCCCCCAGTATGGGTTGTGTCTCCCAGCACCCATGCAAGAGGGCGTGACTGCCCCTACACTGGGGGGGGGGACCCCAAAATGGGGGGGACCAGTTATAGTAGAAAACAGTAACAGAGAGCCATGACCAACAAAAATAAATAAAACAGCTACGCTTTCTCCCCCACAGTCAGTGTAAAAAACCTCCTGGGACTGGTAGATCCTGTGACTTGCGCCACGCAGAATCACATTGATTCTCCTGAGGTGCAGGTGGCTGCATACTCCCTGTTGCTGCAGATCACTGGCAGAGGTAGGGCGATGAGCACCGTTATCACGGTAAAGGATGTACCATTCCTAAAGCGCTACTCAGAAAGCATTTTTTTTAAATCACGCAAACTGCAAAAAGTTGCCAGAGCCAGGCCAAGATTTGGTGTGACCAGGTGTGCCAAGGGTCTGCTCAGGCCCCCTGCAGCTGCACGCTCGCGAGTCCTCCCCTTCCCGTAGTGTGAGCCTGCGCCCCTGCAAGCACCCCACACCTCTCTGCCCGCCGGGGCTGCACGCTGCCAGGAAGGGCCAGTCCCGTGGGCAAGTCGCCTTGCAGGGTGAACGGCACCTGCCGTCCCTGATCCACCCTGGAAAGGTGCCCTCACTGCTCACGCAATGCTCAGAGATGCTGAGCTGACTCGTCTGCTGGGGGGAGATCTAGGGCTAAGTCTGAATAAATCCCAGGAAGGTCCCAAGGAAGCGATCCGCAGAGCGCTGTGTGAAAGCAGCTGGGGAGTTCGCTGGAGTGCCTGGAAGACTGCAGGTGCCTCAGCGGAAAGCGCCCCTCCTTTATGCATTGAACCGTTTTACTGGCTGGAATATGCTGCTCTTTTTAGCCTTGTGGTCTTGCACACCTCGCCTTTTCCAAACCTTCATTTGGCCTTCAGATTGAAAGAGGCCCAATACCCCTGGGGTTGGAGCATCAGAGCAGTCAGGGAGGCTCGGGTTCAAATTCCTCCTCTTTCAGCCATGAGGCTCAGTATGTGAGCTCGGGCCAATCCCATTCTCCTTCAGCCTAACCTCCCACACAAGGTAGAAGGAAGGGAATATGTGGGGGAAGAGGGAACTTAGGGACATCGTGTTTAAGCCCACCGGGGACAGGTGGAGGACAACGGCAATTCCACAGGTGCCTCCACACTGCTGGGCTAGGACACCTCCGGCACCTCACGCTCCCGGTATAACTGCTTACAGGGTGGCCTTGAGAAGCAGTGGCCTGGGATAAGTGGAACGAACCTTCAGGCATTACTGAACAGCTTCTGCGCAGACGCGATGCATCGTGCCACCGCAGAGGCTGACACCTTTGTCCTCCCGTGTGGATCCCTCTTCGTGCCTGTCTATGGGTCGTGTCTTTCTCTCAGTCAGCACACTTGTGATGGCGTGTCGGGTCGGGAGAAGCCCCTGATGTGTTGGTGTTCTTGCTTCGGCAGCCGTAGGACAAAACCTCAGTGTGGAAACGCTGGCTGAGGAAAACACCCTCCGCTGCCTGACCAACTCCATGAGGACGCACTTCGACAGTGAAGACCTGCTCTGGATGATCTGCACCATCTTCATGATGATGGCGAGCAACGGTGGGTGCCGCCGGCCACGTGCTGCCGCAGCTCCCGGCAACACGGCAGTCCCTTTGCTCTTGCAGCGACAGAGGGAATCCAGAAAGAGGCCGTCGGCTCGCCACTTGTGCCGCGCCAGGAGAGGACACAGCTCTGCATGAAAGCTGCCCGTGCAAACAGGGCGCTAACTGCCAGTTTAGAAACAACTATTTCTATTTCGATAGAAATATGGGACATCACGCCATTGTGGAAAAGGTTGACCAGGTGGCCGGCGTGTCTGGCCTGTTGCTGGCTGCCATGGGAAATGTCAAGGCCCATCCCACCCACAAAAGAGACGACAGGTTCAAAGAGAGGACTGTCCTCTGCCGGGCTTCCAAAATAGAGGGCTGCCCTCCGTAAGCTAAGACGCCTGGCCACTGCAGGTTGTGCTGGAGGTTAGTCAGTCACGGCAGCTTCCCTCCCACTTGCAAAACCCCCGTGCTTAGGGAACGAAAAGGGAAAGGACACTGGACAGAGGGAGAGTCAATGCGCACATAATTTCGTTCGCTCATTTTACATCCAGGTTCCCCTTTCCTTTTATTTCTGCCCCCCTTTCATGCTGCGAAACACCGGCTGCCCACACTGGTTGCTAAGTGCAGTGCGGCCACAGCCCATGACTCATGGTACCTCTCCCGCATTGCTTACAGAAGTGGCCGCAGAGGCCTTGAGGAAAGCCGAGATCTTCACAGACATCCTGACCATCCTGGGTAGTTTTGCCCAAAACAGAGAGATCTGCCTCGTCGGCTGTGGGCTTCTTTGGAGCCTGACCGTGAACAGTACGTATGCAGATGTAGCAGACGCATTGGTTCCTCTGGTTGGCGAAGCATTTGCTAGAAGTGGCCGCAATACGATGCGAAAGGAAGGCAAAGAAAGCCATTTGCGTGACTGTGTTACACCCAGTTCCGTTATGGCTTATATTTTATCTGCTGCCCAGCAATTCTCACCCGGTGCTGCATAAATCACAGCCTAAGTCACACCGGGTGTTTCCCGTTGCAAGAGAAAGTTGCCATCACATCTTGTATTTCCTGGCCGGTACGAGTTGTATGTTCTTTCACCACTGCAGTGACTGACGTGGCCGAAAGTCCACCGAAATATGCCATTGAGCTCGTCTCCATCCTCCTCCACATGCACCTTGACCACGCGGAAGTGGCAGAATCGGCCTGCTGCGCCTTTTGGGCCCTGTCGCTTCACGGTGAGCTCCGAGGCCTGCTTCAGCGCCTGGTGGCAGGGGGCACCTCCCTTTGGAGTGGGGCATCTTATCCCAGCTGCTGTCATTCAGCCTCCAGCGCATGCAGGAAATTGCACAGAGGCTGTCACAGCTGGCCTTGTGTGAAGTGCCCGTGGAAGGAGGACGCAGGGCACCCACCTCGTCTGTGTGGCCTCGCAGCTGGGCCTCTTGCCAGAACTTGCAAGTTGGCAAGTGTGAGCAGAAGGCTGACTCCAGTCCACTGGAACAACTCTGAGCGAGCTGCAGTCCATTGGTGCGGATTGGTGGCTCCCCCTTGTTAACAAAGCAGCAGCAAAATGACTCTCCCCACCTTTTTATCTTATCCTGCTGACATGCAAAAAACTTGAGGTGACTAGCAGCAGATTTTTGTGTGTGGAAGAATGCCATTCAGATATTCTCAGGGTGTATCTTTTGTCCTGACTCCAGGTGGTGGATCTTAGGATTCTAGGATAAAGTCAAGTAGATTCCGGAATATTGTTTTTTTTCTTTACAAGGTAACTTCTCTTTTGGATAAGCTCTCAAAAACCACAGTGGCATTTCTTACAGTGGAGGTCTCTGGCTTTCTTTTCCAGGTTGCATAGATGAAGTGAACTATGAACCTTATGCCTTGCTTCTTCTGGAGGCTCTCCGGCACCATCCCGAAAGGCCAGTGCTGGCGAAAAATGCTTGCCTTGCCTTGGCAAGCCTCCTGAGGACATCTGGTAACAGCCTGTTATACTAGATGGGCGGCACCACTCAGCAAATCGTTAGCACAGCCGCGAGGGAACGAGAGCCGGTGTGGCGCCATGTGGAACTGGGACTCGGGCGATCTGGGTTCGAGTCCCCGCACAGCCATGGGGCTCAGTGGGCGACACTAGGCCAGCTGCAGACTCTCAGCCTAACCTACCTCACAGGGCTGTTGTGGGGATATGCCTGAGAGGTGGAAGAGAGCTGTGCAAGCTGCCTTGAGTCCATTGGCAGGGAAAAGCGGGAATATATATATAATAGGAGAGAATAGAACAGAAACTGCTGCACCAGCATAACCTGGAATAGTCCACCTGCACAGTGCGAGTATGTGGGTGAGAGAGACACAAAATGGCTCGCTTTATGCTCTGCGTGAGCAGTGCCTCTCCTCTGGGCAAGCCAAGCCGTGTTCACAAAACCTGAAGGGGAACTCCAAATGCATGGCAGAACAAAACGAGGCAGCAGCTGTCCCCTTGCTCACCACCCTGACCGGGTAACAGACTGCTCTTGACCGCACCTCCCTAGCGCCCCACAGAGCGCACCACCGCAAGCAAAGGCACCAGGAAGCTCACCGGACCACACAGTTCAGTGTTGCACCTGGCACTCGAGCAGGTCGCACCCAGATTTCAGGTTGATGCTCAGAAAAACAAGAGGGGAGAAAGCTTCCAGCGCCTAACCCGTCCTTTTCCTTCCAGAGTTATCTGGTTTCAGGTTCATCGTCACAGATGAGAAGGGCAACGGAATAACCCTGCTGAAAGAATGCTACCAGCTGCACCGTGAGGATCCTGAAGTGGTGGAAGACATTTGTGTGCTGATCGACGAGATGTTTAAGTACGGTAAATCTTTTTTTCCTCTATATCGCCCGTCCCATTTGTTCTACAAGCCAGTTCAAAAAGGGGGGCACGGAGAGCCCCGGGAAACATAATTGTTTGGGAAGTGGAAATGGTGGAAATGGAATGAATTAGCACCATCGTTCTATTCTGGATTGAAGTTTCCCTTTCCGTTGAATCGCAGAAGAAATCGTGTTGGAGCTGGTTTCCCAGAACATTACAGAGGTGCTGACGGAAATGAAGAGCAGGTTTACATCCAGCCTGGTATGCCAGCACACAAACACAATGGCCATGGGTAGAGGTGGCACATCAAGTCATCTCATTTTGGCAGTGATCCTCCGGGTGGCAGAAAGCAGTTAACACTGGGCTGAAATCAAATCACTGAGCTTAAGGATTAAGAGTTTGGAAATTATCTTTGGATTCTCAAGTATTTCCTGTCGGAGTCGTAAAGGCACCCACCAAAGCCAAAACCCATTAAGGAAGACTTTAAGATGCTTTGAACTTCAGCTTCTGCTATTTTAGTGTTCAGAGTGCAGAACACTTGAGTGCAGAATTCCTGGTATTTAGGAAATCAGGGTTCTAGGCTGCACAGGTTAATTTTGAGCCATTTGCTGACTCTCAGCCAAATGTACCTCACAAGAATGTTGTGAGGATACACTGGCAACTGTGTGCACTGCCTTGGACTCCTTGGAGGAGAGGAGGGAGGAAGGCCAAAAAGCTGCCTTGGGCGGGTTTCCTGCACAAGGAGAAATGGTCGTCTGGAGCAGGCCGAAGCTGCATGGGTCAGCGGAGGGGGGTTCAGGGAAGGCTGCGTGGGACCAGGGTGAGCAAGAGCAAAGGAGCGGGAGCGTGGCCCTGTGCATCCCCGGCATGCAGTGCCAGCATCCCAGCCTGGGGCCACTTCGGCCCATGGCCTGAAACAGCTTCCCCGTTACTGCATTAATGGGACACCTGGCATCTGATAAAATAAGAGGGTGGGTAGGAGAACCAGCGGGCTGCTGCGGGAAACCCAAAGCACCTGAGCACAGCAGTGCCGGGCCACCTGCTGGTCCCCAGCTCGCGGCCTGTGCTTCCGGAGGGACGCGCGAGCCGTCAGGAGCAGCGGCAGCTGCACCCGCCTCCCCGAGTTGCCCATCGCCCTGAGGCATCACCACCTCCTGCAGTAGCAAGTCCCATAATTTAACTCTGCGCTGTGCAAACTGCCTTTTCATCTGACCTGCACCCCCCACCCAAAACTTTACAGGGCGACTTCACTGGGTTCTGCATGTGGGGGAGGAGGGGAAAAACCTGGTTCCTTTGTACTTTCTGCACTATGGACAAAATACTGAGAGAGCAGGCCACAAAACCTGGTGCCTGATACAAGGAATGTAGAAAATTAAATTTCTGATTGCCAGTTATGCTGACCTGTCCTGTTCATACCCCCAGATGCAAACACAAGCAGTAACACGATCCTCAAGGAATTTCCAGCTTCCTGTATTTGCATTCGGAAGTGCCCACCTGCCCCAGTCCCACATTCCCATGCATTAACATATGGGGGGGGGGGGAGAATCCGTATTTGTCAGGAAAAATACATTTTTTAAAATCATGTAAGTTTCGGGTAGGGGAAATGGTGCACTGTTTAAAAAGAGCATTTTCCCTGGTTGAAAAATGTGCTCTTTTCCTGATCAATGAAAAAGAACTGAATTCGCAGATGCGGTGAAATGAGCTTCAGGGAAGCAATCGAACATTTACAACAAGTTCAAGTACTGCTTTGTTTGCCTGTTCTTACCGGACACTTTACATTTTCCCATAGGAAATAGTGGCCCTAGCAAACAAGGCTCTCTCGAAACTGCAAAAGAAAGGTGAACATTTTCAAAATACAAATTTATTTAGAAATCCCTGAATCTTTCATAAATAATATATAGATATTCATGAATTGCCCTATTTTTGCAGGGCACCTTGCTTGAAACAAAGCCAAACTTGCTGGAAGAAATTCCTGGTTTGCCTCAAGCCACCTGCTGTCACAAGATGAATGGCAAAAGGACTTGGGGAAATGTGCCTTTTGCTGCATTTTTTTCTGTATTTGTTGAACTTTAGGGCTTTTATATATTGCTCAAAAATATTGTTACATGTTCCACAATTAATAAAGTCTGATGCAACTCTGCAGCTCCTCAGTTAGACAGTAAATGCTTAGCTCAGAGTCAAACCAGGTGGTGGGGAAGCCACAGAGGGGGAAAGGGGTGGCTGCCCCACCCCATGGCCCAGCCCAACTGGCCCGCAGCCCCAGGGCGCAGTGGGGCCTTAAAACATGGGGAGATTCAGGCAAGGCCTTTCACGTAGTTTGCAGCCAGCCCAACTGTTCGGGTTTGTGGCAGGAATGCCATTTCAGAACTGGTCCGCCACGCACCGCGGCAGGCCAGCATTCGAACAGGCAACCGAAACTCCCTTGTGCTTCCGGAACTCGTTTTCTAGTCCTGTGGATCGTGGCCAGAAGAGGTAGCTGGTGACTTGAAAGGCACTCGAAGCCAAAGGACCACCACTGCTGGCAAGCAAAGACACAGGGTGCGTCCCCCTTCGTTGCCGCTTTCCCAACGGTTCCAGCTTCCACGTGAACAAGTCCATGTAGATGGCAGAGTTTTTTTCAGATGCTGAAGCCCCGGCAAGTGCGTTCAGACTCCTTTTTCTCTTTGCACAGTGGAGATTATCATAGGATGTCTAGGCGCTCCCTAGAGCTGCTGACCTTTCAGAAGATTCCCTCTGTTAGCACATACTTCCACCTCCCCGAGTCATGAAGTTTCTGGGAGGCAGCTGTATAAACACAATACTATAGGAGGAAGGATGCTGTTTTGGTCCTACCAGAGCATATTCGGAGAGAAATCAGGAGTTGATACATGTGTGTAGCATTCTAATTTGCTCCTCGGGCTTGTACTATCCTTGAACAAGACACGGACAAGTCTGCCTAAAGTTAACTAGATCAGTAAGCAACACCAAGTTAGAAAATTAGGTTCAGCTGTGTTCCATCAACACCAAGAGGCTTTGGGACACTTTCACTTACAGGTGTGTGAAGTAAGGTTTCATAACCAAGTGCCTTTGGATTTATTTCTGCATCATGTCCAGTTCAGGCAAACAGAAGGGACAGAGATAAAAGGCCATTCTGGCCCGTTGGAGGTTTTTTTGTCAGCACTGTGGGCATGACCTCTAGAGCTGTCCAGATTTAATCTTTCTTCTCCTTTCGTTTTACTTTGAGCGATGCTTCCCACTGCTTTTTCACCAGTGTGTACAGTCTCATTGCTGCCTGGGCATCTTGGATCTGAAGCGGAATGGAATGAGCAAGAAGTGAAATACTAAACAAATGGAATCCAAAACCCAGGCAAAGTCACTAAGATGTGAACCTGAAATTGTCCCACAACAAGGAGCGCCTTTTAGTTGTTCCCTGAAAATACCCTGCATTTCTCTTGTGACAGAAAGCGTAATTAAATTCTATTCCTTCCCTTGGAAACTGATGCAGCATCATTTGAAAGTCATACATGTAAAAACCGAAAAGACCGGGAAAAGATCATAGCTTGATGACCAAACTGATGCTCTACATGCAGAGGGCTCCAGGTTGCAGATAGCAAGACCAAGACGACTTCTAAACTGCATACCTGGAGTACCGCTGTTCTGTAGGACTGACACTACTGAGGCTGATGCGGCCGCCGCCACCTTCCCAAGGGCGGTGCCAGCCACCGAGGACTCACTGAGATGCAGTCCAGGGGGCCTGGCGTTAATATTCTCACAGACGCCTCCATCCCTAGATGAGTCAGCAAAGGCTGTCTGAATGGCACAACGGAAAAGCACGGTCCGCGAGGGAAGCACGCAAAAATTCTCTCCAGAGACACCTGCTATTCTGACACAGAGGCCATCCCTTGATACTGGGACCAGCACAATTCGGAGAAGAATTACAAAGAGAATGGCTAGGATGCCAAGGCTGTACTTGGTCATTTTGCTGTCTACCCTTGCCTAGGATTGCTCCCTGAGTCTCTCTCTAAACTCCACCCAGCAGTGGCAAACAGTAGCAAAAGCAAATGATGCAAGAAACACAGAATGAAACCAGCCTAAGTAATGTTCTTTGAATGTGCCTAAAAAAGGTAGCTAGCTTCAGAGTTTTCAAGCAGAGGGTGTCCCAAAAATTTTGGCATTATTTGAAATGTGACTATCTGAGTAACTACATGTCCCAGGCAAACAAAATTAAATAGGCTTCATGTTGAACAATAAAAGATTTATCAAAATTCGAACAAGAGATTCAAAGGGATGTAGATTTTATAACTGATTTCACAAATGTTCGTTATGCATACCGCCTGTGACACGACACACATCCAGTCGGTAGTCCACCTCTGCCAAACACGCTGTAGCGTGTCTGGCATAACATTGTGTAGCTAACATTAGTTAGTTTTTACACATTTTGTTAAAATTTGAGATCATTTGAGCAAGAATTGGCTATGTTATTAGACTACGAAATGATGTCAATTTTTTTGGGACACTCTGTATTTAAAAAACAGGCAGTGGCTAATTGCCATAATTACTTAAAATGGGAAAGGCGCTCTAAGTGATGAGCAAAACACTGGGGATAAACAGTGGCTAACCAAGTCTGAAGATCTGGGGGAAGCGAGAAGAGCAGCCACCACTGACATCAGAACGCGACTACATTTCCAGGGGTTTTCCTGCAAGCCTCCCGGGAATGTCGGTTGAGCAACCAAAAGCTTTGGGGCGCATACATACCGAACTGTGCTCCAAAGTCTGCACCTTCACATTCAGCAATTTCTCACAGAGCAGCTTCAAGGATGGTCGCCCACTCTGCGTAAACAAGAAGCCCGTCTGAAGATGCTAACTGGACTGCATTTCCTTGCATACAGTAACTTCACCTGCTCGATTTATTATTCTCTGAAAGCACTTTTACCTGGCTCTCTAGCCAAAAAGCCTCCTAAATCTGTCAACAAGGCAGTTCCCACCCCAAGACTTAACATCTGAAACTCTGATGGGTCAACCGTTGAGAAAGCCTGTGGATCAAGACATTTAACTTCTCATTAAAGCAAGCCTATGGGCCTCCCCACAAAGCCTAATGGATGATGCACAGACCCGTCTGCTAGATAAACCAGTGCCAAGGAGGATGCTTCCGAACTGTCCTGTTATTGTGGGAACTAGAACTAACTTACATTCAGGAACTTGGCAATAAATCTTTCGGTTTTGTGGAGCCTATGAGATGGAGAAGATAAAGCACTGCATTTTCATTCAAAAAGCTGGGACTTGGCACTTTCCCCCCGTTTTGTGTATATACAGATGTTAGAATGACTAAGCTTGTGCAGAAGGATCATAGGAGGACAGTGCTTAGCTGCAGCCATTTACAGTAGGGGTGTGCTACCTCAGGCTCAGGGGTCACCCAACTCTCCTGGGGTCTCGATCTAGCCCTCCAGCATTCCCCAGAGAGCAACACACGCTTCCGCCAACACTTTTCCCCTGACCAGTAACCGTTCACTAGTTCCCAGGCTCCTGTGTGCTTTTTCTCCCACTCCAAAAAGTTGAAATGCCTCTTCCACGGCTTACTGACCCTCATGCTAAAATAGGCTAGAGGTTTTGGTCCCTCTCTTTCAGCCCCACCCACCATCAGAATGTGGCCCCCCGAATATTCAGCCCTTGGGCTGTGAACAAGGTTCAATGCTTCTATTTAGTCTATTGCCTTGAAAGGCTAGAATAACTTTCCACTCTCACCTTGACTTGCTGTTTGAAAGGCTTGTATTTTTGTGTGTCCCGGATTTTCTTTTTTGGGTGGTCAAGAAACAAAACCTGAAAGTCAAAGGTAACCGTTGTAAAATTAGAAGGGTGCTACAAAGATGTGATAATTCGCTACTCGATGTATCTGAGCTGACGTGCCACTAAAGCATGACCAAGCCCCCAAGCAACAAGCAGACCATTTACAAAATAAAACCCAAAGCAGGAAATCCCAAGAAGCTATGAAGGAAGGCCTTTCTGGCACTGAGGTGAGAATTTAAACACCAGTCTGGCTAAAAGGCTATGGAGACACAAATACCAAAAGAAAGGTGCATGATTCTGTACCTTTAAGTCATTGTGAAGCGCATGCCCAGCTAGGATTCTTCCTCTTAGGATGTCAGCTACTTCTTTCTGAACAACTTTGAAATTCTCCCCTAAATGAACAAAAGGAACACACAGAAATATTCTCATTAAAGAGCTGATGGCAGTCTTCAGAAAAGCATCATCCAAGGCAGGGGTGGGCAATTAATTTTTCTATGGGGCCACATGAGAAACTTTGACAGTTGGTAAGGGCCGGACCAATACACTTACAGCTCTGCTCAATATATATCTCTATAAAAACAGTAAATGAAACATTACAATGATAAAATGAAAATGTGGAGCACAGAACAACACTAATGAATATTCACAAAAACATTAACATTACATGAAAAGCAATAAATTCAATTCAATTTAGCAGATCCTTCAAAATAAAAGCAGTGCAGTTGCATTGCTTGCATCTATATTACGATGATATATATTTGCATTGACTTTTAATTTGCCAGGGACCGCCTGCGGGCCAGTCAGGGCCAGCCATCAGGCCGCATGTGGCCCGCGGGCCGCACGATGCCCAGGTCTGATCCAAGGGGTGGGTGGTTTTTGCAGGGGGCATCATAGGAATTCAAGTACTTAAGCCAAAGACAGGCAGGTTCGTCAGTTTTTTTGATAGATGTACCAGGTGCAAAAGAGGTAGAGCTGACCAAGAGCCATGCTTCTGAGCACGCTGCAGCCAAAGAACTGGGTTTTGCTACCAGCTCACAGTGCTCTCACCCAAATTCCAGGCCCTGTAACCCTTGATTTTCCTTCTTGTAGAAATCCCTGACAGAAGCCACTGTAACATGCATTTTTTTCAGGTAATTGCTTTCATATAATCCCACAGGAAAAAAAATATCCTCAAGGGCCTTCTGGGAGTTTTGCTGGAAAGGATCCGGCTTGTTCCTCAAGGACGTTTTGAAATTTGTTGATATTTATTCATTTATTTTCCCTTCCTATCCTAGTTTTTAGTCCCTGAGGATGTCCATTGTGCCCCGAGACAACATGAAAATACACAAGACAATTTAAACAGAATCATTAAAACTAGTAAAGACAACTAGATCCATCAACAAGCTTATACCAAGAAAAGGGCATAATTTGGTGGGTGCAGCACAGACACTGCAGGCAGAAGGTCTGGGGTTCAATTCCTCACGTTTCCAGTTAAAGAATTTTAGGTAGTGTGTATAGAAGCTACCCTTTGTCTAAGACTCAGAAAAGCCAGTTAGAGCCAGTTAAAAGGCTAGAAGAACCAACCGTCTTGTTCAGTGAACACAATACAGTTGGAATGTTCAAACCAAATCCGCACCCCCCACAGGTCACCTACCTGTCCTTAAGTTTTCAGGCCTGATGCCGCTAACAGCTGTTCTGTAGTCTGTCACCTCTTCGGTGGGCTTGACGTATTTGTCGTAAATACACTTTCCGAACAGGTTCACAATGGACACACGAGCCACGATGCTGTCTTCGCCTGTGGGTCCCACACCCACCATCTCACAGTCCATGGCCACAGCTTTTGTTAGACTGCCAAAAAGAAGATACTGTCTTACCCAACCTATTAAGAGTGTAGAATTAACCCATTTACTTAATGGGTGGTTAATAAAAAGGTAAAGGATTCCCCTTGACATTAAAGTCCAGGCATGCCTGACTCTAGGGGGCGGTGCTCCTCTCCGTTTCCTGGCCGAGGGAGCCAGCGTTTGTCCGCAGACAGTCTCTGTGGTCATGTGGCCAGCATGACTAGACACCGAGGTGCATGGAACACTGTTACCTGCCCACCAAAGTGGTACCTTTTGATCTACTTGTACTTGCATGCTTTCGAACTGCAAGGTGGGCAGGAGCTGGGACGGAGCAATGGGAACTCACCCCGTTGTGCAGATTCAAACCGGTGACCTTTCGATCAACCAGCCCAGCAGCACAGTGGTTTAAACCACTGCGCCACCTGCATCCCTGGGTGGTTAATAGTCAACTAATAATTCTTCAACGGTTCACAGCCCTGAACTGTAACTATAAGCTGCACCTCAAAAATGCTTACCCTTCAAAGGCCTTTTCTTTAACCAGTGTCTGTTCTGCCGGCTGCTGGGGTTGCTTGTCCTGGATGCCCATTTTTTTCCGAGCAAGTCTTGCAGCTTCTGGTCCCAAGGCTGCTTCAATATCATCTGGATCAACATCATCAAACCAGATGCTAGAAGGCAAAGCAAATGCTAAGTGACTCACAAAAATTAACTGTTAGTGAAGCAAGATAGTCAATAACCTGGTTTATGCCTTAACAACAACCCAGAATATAAGTACAGGCTGTTACACGTGAATCCTGCAACAATGTTTTAACTATTGTTAACCATGAACCACCCAGAATTCACAACGCAGTGACAAACCATGGTTTCTCTTTGGGTGTTCATAATTAACTACTGATAGTTAAACTATAATACAGGGTTCATATTTAGCAGCCCACGATTCAGTGACAACCATGTTTAACCCATACTCTGGGTTATTATGAGCACACCAGGCCAATGAAACATGACATTTAGGCACCTATGAATCTGTATAATTCTGATCACTGATATTTGAAAGGACTTGGACTGAAGGAAGAGAATTCATGTTGCCTGGTTCTTCAGACACACTTCATGCCAGAGATTAGTGCAAGAATATTTTACCATTTGTATTGATACAGAAGTTGGAAATGCCAAAAATACTGGACAACTGGGAACTTTTGGCCAATATTTCTGGATAACCACGAGTTGTCCACCCTGTTCTACACAACTGGAGTACTGAGCATTTGATCTGGATTATATGGCTAGCCCTGCTTAAGGATTATTAAGCACAAGACCAAAAAGACTCACTCTTCTGGCTTTGGTTCCACTTGCTCTTCAGTTTTCCTCTTTTTATGTTTAAAGTTTCTTTCTTTCTGCTCAGCACTGCCCCTTCCTAGGCCTCCTTTGCATTTTTTTCCATCCTCCCAGGCCTGGGGCAACCTCTTTCCATGCAAGGGTTTTTCAGGTTTTGTGACACTTTGCTGAACAAAACCTTCCACATGATTCTTCTTGGCCATCTCTGCAGACTGGAAAGTCAGACTCTTCTTCGTTCCATTCGGCATTCGGAGAACAATCCCTGCTGCTTTAGTTGTATGTTTTTTCTTGGAAGATGTGTCTAGTGCAGTAACAGTGCAATTCAAATTGGCTTCCTTTTTTTTCAGAAGCTTAAAAGCAATGACAACAAAGTTGACAGAGTCAGCTTCTACAAGTGAAGCATCCATCAACAGAGTACATTCCACTCTGGTGCATGAAGCTTTCCAGACGCCCACCATAATGTATGCCTGCAAACCGAGTCCCCCAGCTTTGTTCCTTGGCACGAAACATAAGGGGTTTTAAAGCCTTCTCCCCTCTGTGGCCGCTTTGGGTCCACTCGTGCACACCTCAGCCACTAACGCCACCTGAGCCAAGGCACAGGAAAAGGAACTGGGCAAATGGGTTCATTGGAAGGACCACAAATGGATCGATCTGATCTTGCAACCAAGATGGCAGCAATGGCAACAGCAGCAATACCCCTTTACAGGAGAGCCTTAGGCAAGGCAAGAGTGAGTACCAGCTAATCATTCTACGTTCCATTCTCAAACAAGAAATGACAGAAACAGCTTTTCTGCTGATCAGTGGCATAAATACAGCTCCCACGATCTTCCTGCCCATGGTTAGGCTGGCTAGAGATGATGGGAGCTGCAGGTCCAAGCACCTGTACGGCCACAAATTGCACACCCTCTGATTTAACCATGTATAAACTTTTTCAACAGGGGGCCAGTTGAAAGGCAGCGGCGGCAGGCGTGGGCTGGTGAAGCGGGCCGGTGAGGTGGCAGGGGGCATGCGCGAGGAGGCAGCGGGCCTGTGCAAGGCGGTGGCTTGCTCGCTCAGAAATCTCCGAGAGAGTCCAAAACCACCTCTGCACAGCAAACACACACATGTGTAGCAAGGTGGGTGGCAGCGGCTTGCCCGCTCGGAGGTTTCCAAGCGAGTCCAAAGCCACCTCCGAGAGAGCAAGCTGCCGCCTCGCTGCCCGCGGCAAGGTGGGTGGCGGCGGAGAGTCCAAAACCTCTAAGGCGGGCCATATCAATGGGGCTCTTTGCTTTCATACCTCCTGCAATGCCTTCCAGTTTGAGGAGAATTCTTGGGGTGTTTTTGGAGGCAATTCTCCTGCTGGCTTGGATTCTCTTTGTGCTTTCTTCTCCACCTGCTTGTTTTTCTTTTTCCAAAACAATTTTTTCTTCTTTTTCTTCTTCTTGTGTTGGTTTTTAAGACTCTCTGGTTTTGTTGTGGATTGGCATGATACATCATGTGCTTCTTTGGCTTTTATTTTTGCCATCTTGAGGTTACACAATCATTCAATTCTGGCCACAAATGTTTCTGAAACAAACAAAAAATCTCACATAATAGGAAACCATAGCTATTCGTTAATGTATTTCAAAAATCTTGTCCAAAAGGCACTCTAAGACAGGCTTTCCCAATAGGTAACCTCCAGAAACACTGTGACTAAAGCTCCCATGTGTCTCAATAAGTTACAATGAGGCTTTTACAATCAGTGGAGGTGGTAATATGCAACACAACTGCTTCCACTTCACTTTGGTTTCTGCATGCACCTGAATGATGCATTATCAAGCAGGAAAAGCATTTGCAAACCCTCATCCATTATAAACGTCCTGGAAATGTGATTCTTGGCCTGCCATCCCATACCCACTTAGCTGGGAATAAATCCCACTGAACTCAATGCTTACTCTTGGGCGGACACAGATACCATAGTGCTATTAATTCTTTAGAGCGGCCTCCGCCACTGCTGCTCCCTGGGTGCGCTGGACTACATCTCCTAGCATTCCCGTGCTAGTGCTAGGAAGGCTGGGCCTTGTAGTCCTCCAACGCGTCTGGAGGGCCCTAGACTGCAGGAAGGCTCTTTCAGAGCTGCCCGTCCCTCAGCACTTCAACCGGTCCCCGGCGGAGAACAAGCAGCGCCGCTGCCGGGAAGCGCCTCAAAGGCCCGCCGGCCCTGGAGCCCCCGCGCGAGGAAGCCCCGCGGGCCGCGCACCTACCGCACCCGCCGCCGGAGCCACGCACGCGCGGAGGGGCCTCGGCCCGGAAGCACGTCCGCTCCCTTGAACGCGCCGGCGAGAAACGCGGGCCGGGAGGCTGGTTCCTGCAGAGGCGGGACCGGAAGGCGGCGCACGCCCGGCGGAAGCGGAAGCGGGCGGCTTGGGCGCGCCCGATCCTTCGCCGCGCGGCTTCTTTATTTATTTGTATGCACGTGTATCTATAGGCCGCCTGCAAGTGCCGGGGCCTCCCTTTACACGTGCAGCGTGAGGTACCCCGATGCGGACCCCTTCGACTCGCTCGTGGGGGAGCGCGCGCGGCGGCGGCGGCGGCGGCGGAGGCCGAGGTAGCCGCCTGGAGGCCGTTCGTTCCGTGCCGGGCTGCACCGCACCCTTTACGCAGGGAACCGGGATCAGACGGAACCCTCCAGGACGTCTCCAATTATACTGTTTTATATTATTTATTGTTGCAAGCCGCCCCGAGGCTTCGGCGAATGGGGCGGCATAGCAGCTTTCTAAATAAATAAAAACCGGCCTGCAGTCCCCAGCAAGCAGGCGCCAGCACAGGCCTCCTCCCCCTCCCCCACAACCTCAACATGCATAGGAACGCGCCCCGAGAGAGGGAGGGGGAGAGGGAAAAAATACAAAAACTTAATTCCAGGCGAAAACGGATTTACCCTCGGAACATTTACACATTTGTGTAAATTGTTAACTTTAGAAACTAGAGGTTAAAGGAGGCTTTTTAGCTTGGAAAAAAAGAACCAAGGGGAGACCAAATGGAGGCATGCCAAACTATACTGGGTGCGGTGACGTCCCAACCCTCAAACTACTGGCATCCTGCGGTCAATTCAATCATTGCAAGACAAGTGGTTTTCCTTCGTTCAAGCTGACCGCTCAGAGCTTGCTATAGTGTTAATTTCTTAAATTTCTAATCCAGCCAATAATGACCTTTAATTGGGCAGTTTCTTCTACTTTCATTTTTCTTCCATTATTGTTTTGTGCACTTCCCTGCTCTGCAGACTAACAGCTTATTCAAGAGGTGGGATTTCAGATACTGTCTCAAAGCCAAGTAGCTACCAGCAAAGGGAACGCTGCAGTGGAGGTGCAAAACAGAGCCAAGAAGCCCTGACCAGTTTAGGAAGAGCTGTTCCTTACAGCTTTCAGATGTCTCTTGAAATAGCAAGCAAAACTGGATCATGTAAACATTTTTTTTGTAGGGCTTTTATTCATGGGATTGCCATAGGCTGAAGATGACTCAATGCACATAACAATGTCATTTAATACTCATTTGTGTTAAGGTTTTACATTTGCATTTACAAGGATCCTCACAGCATGTTTTCCAGTAGGGTGGGAAAAAGGCTTGGAAGCACCATGATAATGAATGAAATAATACATTTTACATCGCTGATACAGAATTAACTCCATCCACTTTCCAAGCAGGATACAATTTGTCTGGTATTAGAATAGAAATTAGCCAGGTAATTGGACTATAGATGCACGAGTTAAATACCAAAATCATCTTCAATTATTGTGTTGGGAAGCAAGCTAAAAACTTAATGAAAGCAACGCATTCACAAGGTAAAGTTTTGATTGAAAGCACAGCTGATAGTCTGTTGGCATGTAGCCTTGTCTATTTCACATTTATACCCTGCTTTTTCCCCTTGCAAGAAACCCAGTGCCTTGCATATTCCTTCTCCACTCGGTTTTATCCTTACAACCCTGTGAGGTAGGTTAAACTTAGCACAAGTGACAGGCCCAAAGTCACCAAGTGAGCTTCATGGACAAGTATGGACTGGAAACCACATCTTCCAAGTCCCCAATCCAACATTTTTGCCACCTCACCACACTGGCTCATAATTGCCTTTATAACTATTGCACTTTCCAAACATGGTTTCTATTCTTTGCCCTTCAAGTTATAGAAACAGTGATCATCTTTTCCTTATTTACTCATCTGTTACTTATTGGTATGTATGTATAAACTGCCAGGATCTAAAGATTTCAGAGCAGCATAACACTTGGTTTACTTCCAAAAAACAATGCAGACCAAAGGTCCCTCCGGTTGTCTCGGAGCCATCTTCCAGAAAGCTTTAAAGCAGAGTGTAGGTTGCACTGGAGTATTACAGTCCTCTGGCCCAGGCCTGAAATAAACGATACATTCAGATACAAATGCACTGTCCATTTTTATGAGCTTATTTGAACACAAAATACCACCAGAAACACTTGGCGTGCCACCCACACACCTGCTATGGAACCCCAAGCCCATTCGGGACATTGCACCAAATGCCCCATGTTACATGACACCTGAGAAACGTTATTTGCCCCAGGAAGATCCAAGCCAGCCTCCGCCAGGATTCCTGGGCAAGACCCCCTTCACTTTCTGTCCACCTCTGAAAAAGGTGGCAAGGGACCTCCTTCAGGACTGATCGAACTGCACTTTCCAAGTCAGATGCACCATTCTTTATTAAATTTTAGCAAGCAAGATACCTCAGGGTGAAGTCATGGGCCATCCTGGCACACCACAATGTTTGAGCCAGTAAAACTGCTTTGAAGGCCGCTGCCAAGTTCCCCCAGCTGTTTCAGCTACTGAAGGAGCTGAGAGGAGAAAAAGGCAGCCTTTCACAACCAGCCCTGCTGAAAGTGTTTTTCTTTTTCCATCCCCAGTCCACTTTTTCAGGAAAGAAACCCCCTTATTTCGCTTATTATATACATAAAATCAGAGAGTCAGGGCTGGGGAACTGGATAAAATGTTTGAATACATAAAAGGTTAGACACTTACCTCCTCTTGAGATGTGTGCAAGCACAGTATTTGGCTTTTCCACTAGCCTTGATTCTCAATTCTGCTGCTGAACAGAAGAATAAAGTTGCATTTCCCGTCTCTTGTGTTCAAGATGTTTTCTATGGACAGGCCAATATATTCAAGTGTTCAGTGGAAAGGAAGAGGGCAGCGGACAAATCTAGCTCCTCTGCATTGCTATGAACAGTTAAGTAATGCTACTCATACACAGCAAGACCTTCAGTCTCTCTAGCCTAGTCCCTTCGACAGCAACCACCAGCAACAACTCTCCACAGTTTCAAGCAGTTTTTCCAGCTCTTCTTAGAGGTGTAAAGGAATCAAACCTGAAATACTCTGTATTTGAAGGTGTTCAGCAGCTCAGCTACCGCTCTCATTATTCTTCCAAAAAAAAAAACTTTCCAAACTCAGGTGGGACTAGCCCCTCAAAGCTTTGACCTCTACTCTGCATGGAATCAAATGGACAAAGGAGACAATTTTCAGTAGCTTGGACCAAGACTCTGAAACGCCCTCATCTTGGAGATCTTCTGCCCCTTTTGTTAAGTCTGTCAATTTTCTCACCCAGAAGCCTCCAAACTGTAACTTTAGCTTTAGAACAAGTTGTGTCCTCCCCATTAGCTTATTTGCAAATACGATATTGGCCCCCCCATACCACCACAGCCCCACTGAATGTCAGCAGCAACCCCAGCGCTGCATTAATCCCAACAGGCTTCTCCGCATAGGGGGAACCGGCCCCAAGCAGCTGGGAGTTGCCTCTCTTTGCAAAACGGAAAGCTGCTGCTGCAACTTTTAGCCTGGAAAAACGAATGCTGCCCACCCTGCCAGGGAAACCACTGATAAAGGGGACCCCCCCTTACCCCAGCTTTCCAGGCAAATCCCTGCCGGCTCATCTCAAGGACTTGGCACTCTGTTCCCTGCGGGAGAAAGAACAGGCCTGGTAGGGAAGCGGGTGGGACAGGAAAGAGGCTCCCGCCCCCAAAGGGCAGGAGGAGGCTGGTCAGAAACACCCTTCTCAACAGCAGGCGTCTGACGGTAATTCCAGCTTAGTCGAGGTGGCTCTCATCACGCTGCGCCTCCGCTGCACCACCGGGCAGCTTCGGGGGCTCGCAGGCTTACCCGGGGGGGCTCGGCGGCCGGCCACATCTCCCGCGCAGGCAGCCAGGGCAGCTCCAGCCCTCGGAGGTCGCGCTCCATCCGGCGGCGGCGGCGGCACAGCTGCGGGGAGGCAAGGCAGGCGCGGCATCAGAGACGGGCCCTTTCCGCGGAGAAGCGAACCGCGGGGCCCCCGCCCGCCCCAGCCTCTGCGGTCAGCCAGAGAAAGGCTTTCGTCAGTTCTCGCATCTGACGGCACTTCCTATCTCGGGATCATCCCCCCGCAGAGTCCGCGGGGAAAACGCATCAGCCGTCCTTGCAAAGTGTGCTGCAAAGCCCCCCCCCCAAGGACCATCAGGATTAGTGCAGAGTGACTCCGAAGCTCCCCCCGACCAGGCTACTGCAAGGCAGGACGGAGAGGGGCTCGATCCTGCTGCAAAAGCCACCCTGCCCTCCCATCGCAGAACCCACTCTCTCCTTCTAAAGCAAGGGAGGGCAACTCGAAGCCAGCTATATGTTGCCAACACTTCCTATCATCCCGCACCGCTAGCACGCTTCCCCCCCCGCGCGACACTATCTGGAAAAGCGTCCGAAGCATTTCCAGCTAACAAGGAGAAAAGTGGGACAGCTCCTTGCTGCTCGCGAGCTATGACCCGAAAGAAACAGGTATTTCCTACCTGTGTAACAGCGCAACTTCAGGCCTTGCGAATTTCAACGAGAAAAAGGGGAAAATACGCCCCGCACAATCCCTTTTAAAGGTATGGCACATACCATGAGATGTCAAGGGGGGGTAGGGAAGGCAGCTGCTGATTGGTTCGGACGTACCATAAAGAAAATGGGAGGGGGATCGGAAAGGAAAGGGGCCGCTTACTGGCTCGAATTAACCCTGCGAGATGTGTAACGTTAATGGAAAGTGGATGCTGATTGGTTCTCACGTTTAACGGAAAATATTTCAAAAACCTCGGTTGCTGATTGACTTTCGTTTACCACGTGACATGAAAGGGCGGGGAAAGGAAACCAGCTGCTGATTGGCTCAGACGCCCCATGAGACTGATGAAAAAAGGGAAGGAGACGCTGATTGGAGCTTCCAAACGAAGGACAGAGAAGGGGAAGCAAAGTGACTATTTATTGGCTAGAAGCTTTGAAGTCCCTCAGCCGTGCCCGAGTGATTAAACGGCTCAATTGTAAATGGGTGATGCGCGTGCAGGCACACTTGCCCCTGCCAATTATCAACAGCAGGGCCTCGTGGGAAGTCCGCCCCAAGTAGTCCCTGACCAATCAGCACGAAAAGGAGGCGGGGCAGAGCTGGAAATAGTTTCCAATAGTGGAAAATGCGCGCGTGCCGCCTTCCTACTTCTCCAGGAACGAAGATGGAGGCAAGAGCGCCACCCTCTGTTGCTGCGCTGAGCCGGGCGAGAACCTTGGCTGCAGCGACGCCTTTGGATCTGGGAGAGAAGAGGAAGATCGGCTGGAGGAGACACCGCCTCTCCTTTGGTGTGCTCCCGCGCCTAGCTCAGCAGTGTTGAACTACAAGTTCCAGCAGAAACCTCATAGAACAAGCTGAGAGTTGGGGCCCCAGCTATGAGAATGCTGGGATTTGTAACCCAACACAGCTAATGGGGCCAAGTGGCTCCAGCAGGGTAGGGGAGGTTGGGCTAGCAAGCAGAGCCGCGCCATACTCAGCTTACATAATCTCCCCCGTCCCCATTTTATCCACGCAACCGCCCGGACACGTAGGAGAGGAAGAACTGCACCGTGTGACGAGATGAGGGCGGGCAAGGAAGCGCTGTAGGATGGGACCCGGGCGTGCCACGTGACGCGTCCACAAAAGGAAAGCGGCAGTGCGGGCGTCCCAGGCGACTTTTGGGGGCGGGAAGGGAAGGCGATTGCTGGCCAACCAGAATGAAGAGGCGGGCAAAGCTGTCCAATCGGGGAGTAGAGACCGCCCCCTGACGCTTCCAGGAACAAAGATGGCGACAGGGCCGCCGGGCCTTCTTTGCCCGTAGCCGGGGAGCGGCGCCTGTGCGTGAGCGGTGGGCCCGGAGCGGCCGGTGGTCCCGAGGCGAAGCCGGAACCGCGGGAACGTGGGAGAAAAGCCGCTCAAGGTTTCCTCTCGCCCCCGACCTCCCTGCCCTTTCCTGGCTGGCGGGGCAGTCCCGGGAGCGAGGGGGCTTGCCTGGAAGGCGCCTCTCCGCCGCTGCCGCCATGGCGGACTACGTGAAGCCGCCTCCGGGAGCCTTTGCGCCCGCCGCCCCCTCGGGGGTGTCGAACTGCAACTCCCAGCACCGCCCCCCCCCCCCCCGGGGACAGGAGAGCTGTAGTCAGACATGGAAGGGTGGCAGCGCCTTTGAGAAGGCCCCTAGTCCTGCTGAACGTATTAGGGGGTGCCAAAGGAGGGGGGGGTCAGCTCACCTGGTTGGTGGGCCTTTTAAAGACCGAGTGGCCAAGTGTGAATGGTCTTTAAAGGGGGTGAGGCCCTACCTGGAGTACCCCCTGGCGATGGTTGTGTGAACGAGGCTTGGGCTCTGAAGGTCACTCAACTGCTATCACGCCGGATGGGATGCTAGGCTGGCTCCAGCAGGCAGGCACCCTTTCCCCATTTCATCTATCCTGCACTGTTTTCATGCAAATCAAAGGACAGGATCGAAAGATTAAGAACAGGCTGGACAGGCACGTGGTGGGCATGTCATGAGTGGAGCAGGCTGGAGCCGGGGTCAGACTAGATGGCCCGGGAGGTCCCTTCTGGCTCGCTCTGTTGATAAGTTTCTAAAGGCAAAACTCTTGGGGAAGGTATGACTGCATCTCTCAGAGAGAGGATGGGATGTGAGCTGAACATGGCCTTTTCTTGTTTTCCAGGTCTGTCTGTTAGAAATTAGAAGATGGATATCCGACCGAACCACACACTTTACATCAATAATGTGAATGACAAAATTAAGAAGGAAGGTAGGGAAGCCGTTGTGTCCGTTGTGCCTGTTTCCGATGAACCTGGGTCAGGAAACTGTTGCTAGGAAGCTGTGTGCCACCACTTTTTTCTGGAGCTGGGATCCCACCTCTACTTGATACCTCCAATGTTCAGCAAGTTATTTTTCTTTTGTTCGCCTAAGCTTGCCTCCTGGAAAATCGATGCTTTGTGACCTGCCATGCTCGTCCTTTCCTTGGTGGGCATTTTGTGGAGCCACCCACAACGTTTTCAAGCTTCCAGACATTCCTGCTGACCTGTTCTGGGGGTCTCTGTATTTAGGGTGAAAAGTGTGGTTGGGTTCACCATATTGTTCGGCTATCTCTCAACCTAATTCAGAAATGGAATTAGAAGCTGTTTAAGTACAAGTCATATAATTCTCACTTTACTTCTCTTAACAGAATTGAAAAGATCTTTATATGCGCTGTTTTCTCAGTTTGGTCATGTAGTGGACATCGTTGCTCTGAAGACAATGAAAATGAGGGGACAGGCCTTTGTTATATTTAAAGAGCTTGGGTCATCCACAAATGCCCTCAGACAATTACAAGGATTTCCATTTTATGGTAAACCAATGGTAAGTCTTAGATGTTGGTACAGTAGAAGAACATAGTTTTTCTTTTCTAGAAAAAGAAGCAGTGAGCTGTGATCTAAGAGCGGGCTCACTGAAATGAAGAGGATTCATATTAGATTCAAACCAATTTTTTATTATACTCCCAGACCAGGGTAAAACTAGATTACTATTGGATACAACCCTCTATCATGAATGCTTTCAGTCTGCTCTTTATATTCTGAAACTCACTTCTCTGTAGAAACATTCTTATAATATAACACAGCACACACCATTTTAATCTTTTGCATTGTTGTTGTGAGGATAAAATAAAGTGGAAGAAGACCATATAAACTGCCTGTGATTTACTTGCAAGAGTGGGGGAAAAGGATGTAAGTGCCTGCTTGTATATAAAATTGATATAACTAGATACAATAAGAATCATAACTAAAAATGGATTCTCACGTAAATGTTTTCTTACAAGAACAGCCGTGCTGAATCAGGCCAGTGGTCTTAGCTAATGCAGCTATCTGTGTGCGAAGGGGCCAGCTGGCCTTCCATTGAGAAGGCCTTTGCAAAGCGCCTCCCTCTCAGGGTCCTCAAAAAATAGTACTCGTACCTAGAGGGGGAGTGCATGTCTAACTTCTAGAATCGGGAATTTCCATCCACTTACTATGTTCTTATTCTGCCTTTTGCAAAGTGCTCCGTGCTGCTTCCATAATCCTTATCCTCTGCGTTTTATCCTCACAACAATCCTATTCAGGTAGATTAGGCCGAGTCGGGGCTGGCCCAAAGTCACCCAGTGAGCTTCATAGCCAAATATGGATTAGAACCCAGATATCCCCAGCCCGGCATTCTTAACCCTACACCTCCTGGTTCTCAGCAATACAGTTTCATAAAGATGTGCTGCATATCTGTATAAATGGTTGCACTGCAGAACCAAAATATTTGGGGGCTGCTGTCCTGACCTCTACACTGCTTGGGTTTGTATTTTACTGTTCATTAAGCTGGTCTGCATGTGGAGAAAGGATGATGTTGGAGTCACTACTGTAGGTTTGGTACTGCTGTCCCTGGTTGTAAGTTTTCCACTAGTGTTCTGCCACTGCAAAAATGCACTCGGTGAGTGTGGATGGGATAGTCACAGTGTAACTCCAACTCTAAATAGTGTATCACGCTGGGTCTGCTTTCAAGTATCTGGCTGAAACGTGCAGCTTCTTGGAAGTTTAAGACACTCTTCTCACTTCAACAGCGCATTCAGTACGCAAAAACAGACTCCGATGTCATTTCAAAAATGCGTGGTACGTTTGCGGATAAAGAGAAGAAGAAAGAGAAAAAGAAAACCAAGTCACTAGAACAGTCTGCTAGCACTGCAAACAAAAAGCTAAATCAGGTAAGATACATTTGAAAAAAATACCTAAATCCTCCTCTGTCTGCATCTAGTAGTAAAAATGCTTTTATTTTTAATCAGAACCTAATCTGAACTACAGTTTCTGTTAAGGCAAATTAATCCATCGAAGTCCTTTTAATACTGTGTGAGGCTGAAAGTGTGATTTTTAAAAAATGTTTGTTTCTAGGGAGCAAACCAGCCAGCAAATGCTCAAGCAAACTCAGCACAGAATCAACAGGTAAGTGCTGCCATTTCTTCATGCAAGTGAACGGAGTTCAGATGGTCCTATTTGGTTTACTCGAATAACTTACTTGGTATAAAGGTACATCTTTTTCCTTTGGATGCAGCATGGCTTCTTCCTATGTGTACATTTTATGAGGGGGTTGTTATCAAAATGCTCCCTATTATCAGATGTGAGACAAACAAGATCTAAAATGTACAGAAAAATCTTATTCTGTGTATCTGTATTTATGTTCTGGTTACATAAAAGTGTCACCACAATACAAATTCAATATTTACCATCCGATTTTAAAAAAAGGATGCTGAGAATAAAATGTAGATGGATTTTTAAAGCTGTACTGGGGTTCCTTTTTCGAAAAAAAATCAGATACAAGTATAATAGACAGCGGTGTAGAAGAGCTTCGGGAGCTGCCCTAGCCGGCCACACTAACAAAGCTGAGGAAGGGATGCTGGAGAGAGAGTCCAGCACAGCTGGAGGGCAACAGCTGGGGGAAGACAGCTGTAAGTTATTCGAGACTCCTTGGCTACGTAGAAAACTGAGGCAAGGCAGGCAGAGACAGCCTGAATCTTGCTCCTTGCGTGGCTTTTCTTTTATCCAATGCAGAAGCTGTAGCATTGTGAGACTGCAATACCTGAGTGGCAGGAGAAATATGGAATTTGCTTTAAAATGCTAAATTTAATTTAGTTTTGATGTACGACTCAGTGCTGGCTGCTGTTTTTGTTGTAGGTGCCTGATAATCCACCAAACTATATCCTGTTCCTCAACAATTTGCCGGAGGAGACAAATGAAATGATGCTGTCGATGCTGTTTAATCAGTAAGTTGATCTTTGTTGTTGTTGTTTAGTTGCAAAGTCACGTCCGACCCATCACGACCCCATGGACAACATTCCTCCAGGCCTTCCTGTCCTCCACCATCCCCTGGAGTCCACCTAAGCTCACACCAACTGCCTCAGTGACTCCATCTAGCCACCTCATCCTCCACCATCCCCTTCTTCTTTTGCCATCTATTGTTCCCAGCATTAGGCTCTTCTCCAGGGAGTCCTTCCTTCTCATTAGGTGGCCAAAGTAGTTGAGTTTCATCTTCAGGATCTGTCCTTCTAAAGAGCAGTCAGGGTTGATCTCCTCTCGGACTGACCGGTTGGATCTCCTTGCGGTCCAAGGGACTCGCAGGAGTCTCCTCCAGCACCACAGTTCAAAGGCCTCTTTCTTCGGTGTTTGGCCTTCCTTACGGTCCAGCTTTCACAGCCATGCATTGCAGTTGGGGAAACCATCGCCTTGACTATATGCACTTTTGTTGGCAGGGTGATGTCTCTGCTTTTTAGTATGCTGTCTAGATTTATAGCTTCATTGAGCTACACAAGCCCCTTCGCCATGGCAAGGCAGTGATCCATGAGGGGAAGTTGATCTAGATATATAAAAAACATATTTTCCCCTACTCCAGTATGCTGCCTCCTCAGTCCCAGGAGTTTTGCTTGGATGCGCACACGAAAATTATTTGTTTATACTGTTTAGCAAATTGCTTAAATGAAGAAGACTATTTTGTATAAATCATTGTGTGTGTGTGTGTTTGTCTCTCTCTCAAGGTTCCCTGGTTTCAAAGAAGTGCGTTTGGTTCCTGGGAGACATGATATTGCATTTGTGGAGTTTGAAAATGAAGGACAGGCAGGCGCTGCCCGGGATGCACTCCAAGGATTTAAGATTACCCCCTCACATGCCATGAAAATAACTTATGCCAAGAAGTGATGGAAGTAAAATAAGAATCCTCCAAGGCCAGAGGGGGGTTGTTTGTGTTTTGACAGGTTGAAGTGTGGTTCTTTATGTTTGAAGGACCCTCTTTGTACAAAATTATAATTCAGTAGGCACTGTGAGAATTCTAAATGCATTTAAGGAATGCTGGCTGTTAATTTTTCTTTATGTATTCTTAAGTTTTTTTTTATATGTCCCTAAGTTCTTCACAGCGAAGTTCGAGAATAAAGCTGCATTTATTTCTTAAAGGCTGCTGTCTAATTACCTTGAAATCAATTGGTTTTGCTTCCTGGGAATTGGGTAGGCTTGGAAGTACTAATACCACATTCCTGCTTGCCCCAGGAGAGCTGGTGCTCACCGAAAGAGGTCTTCACACTCTAGGCCCTCTGCGATGTCGTTGCAGGGTTGTGTCGAATTTGCTGTTGATGACCTTCTTGCCGTCCAGGGAGGCTTCACATCCTGCTTCCCAGGAATACTACCCAGCTGGAGAGACCAGCCTGGCCCGGCTATCCACCAGAGCCAGTGAAGCTGAGCTCACACCTTCACTTCCAGAAAAGGCTTTTTCTGCTCCAGCGGGCAGTTTACGTGGGAATGCAGAAGTAAAGAGGAAAAACCTGAATGCCCTTGGCGCTGCTGGGGCCTCCAGACTCAAGAGAAGCTGCCATCCTCGGCCAGATCAGGACAAGAAGAGTAAAGCCCAAGGCAGCAGGGGCGGTTCTGCGTCACTAAGGGCCCTGAGGACTTTTGCACTTTCAGAAGTGATCATACTTTTAAAAATACATGTCTCACAGTAAGAAGGAATCAAAAAGTACTGCAAAAAGAAAGTACTTCAATACTGCTTCTAAGATGATAACTTCATAGATGTAAAGCTTTAAGAATCAACGTTTTGAAATTTTAAAAATTTTAAACATCTTTCAAAACTTAGATTTAAATTGTGTGTATATATACACATACATACACATTTTGGTTGGTCGCTCACTTTGGTGGAGAAGATGGCGACTGGGTGGCCTTCGTGTCTGCTGTCTACTGCCCAGCTGAGCCTTGCGGATGGGCAGCTTCAGGCATGGCTCTAAACAGGACACTCTGAACTAGAGGACACATTTCTCATAAAGGGCAATTGTGAGCTGGGACACCTGGCCATGATAAAAGCATTGCTTAGTCCTTCATGGCACCCTCCTCTTTCACTCGACGCCAAAGTCTTACATTCTTTCTTGGGCGGTTGTAGGAGCGTCCTCACATGCTCCAACTATGGAGCAGACGGCTATGAATGACGGCTAGTCTCGATCGCTGCATGCTCTCCCCAGCATCAGAGACAGGATGGCGAGGGACCCCTGTTGCTGGGGAACACGGGTGGGGGGGTGCTGTGCTCCTGCTCGAGAGACCTCGTGGGCAGCAGCTTGAGCAGAACGCTGGACGAGATGGACCCAAGTCTGATCCTGCATCAGGGCTCTTCTAAGATCTTGCTATTTCCTCTCCGTTATTCAGTTACTGCCCCATCCATTCATGGATGGAAGGTGGTGCTTATAGCACGGCCACTAGCAAATGCTTAGCAAGCATGTCTGAACTAGTACCATGCGGCTGGACTCAGAGATTGAGTGATATTTCTCTGGTTACTCTGCTGCTGCTCCTGATCTAAGAACTATCTCCTAAAGCAGCACGCAGGCAGTCAGTAAAGCAAGCTGCCCCCTGATCACAGGCTTACAATCTGAATTTTGCAGTCTTAAAATCTATCAGCTCCACTGGCTTCCAATTGAAGTCCGGGCCCAATTCAAGGTGCTGGTATTAACCTATAATGCCCTGAATGGCTTGGGATCAGGATACCTGAAGGAACGTCTCCTCCCCTACATGCCCCCACACCCCTTAAGATCTTCAGGAGAGGCCCTGCTCCAGGAACCCTCTGTGAAGGAGGTAAAGATGTCTACTCGGAGTAGGGCCTTCTCTGCAGTGGCACCCAGAGTGTGGAATGCACTGCCCAGAGAGGTTTGCCTGGCGCCAAGCCTATACTCTTTTCGGCGCTAGGTGAAAGCCTTTTTATTTGAACGTTATTTTAAGAATTAGGGATTTTAGGAAGTTAACAGTCGCTTTCTAAATCTTAATTATTTATATTATCTTTTTCTTTGAAGGTGTTTTACTTATTTTTAACTCTGATTGTATTTATTATTATATATTGTATTATTAACTGTTTTTATTATTGTTGTGATTTGAAGCTGGTAAGCCATCCTGAGATGCTGCCGTGAAGGATGGGATACAAATGTTTTAAATAAATAATAAGAGACATGACACACAAGGAACAACAGATGGGGAGGGAGGAGGAACAAATGAAGACATCTTTGAGCATGGCCCCATTTCTCTGATAGCAGGGTTTCCTCTCCTAGGGCTTGGGGGAAGGCTGCCTTGTTCAAGCAGTGGAAATCCCCAATCTTATTTATTGGTTTAAGTTACAACCTTTTATGCACCATTACCTGGAAGTAATCTCTGTTGGACATAAAGCAACCTAATACCTTAGCATGCACAGAATTCCCCGTTCCTTCTCTTTTCCTCGGGGCTTTTCTCCCGACCTACATCTCCTGTTTCTCACCACGCTTGCTTGGCTGTCGCAACTTGCAAACATTCCACAAGGCCGCCCTCCAGCTGCCGCCAGCTGCAAAACGTTCCCCCTCGATCGCCCCTTCTGTCGGCTCAAGGTTCCCTTCCGGGCTTCATCTGCTCCATAAATGCAAGTGACCAACCAAAAGGAACCCAATTTTTTAAGATTTGCTCTGCAGGGCTTTGCAAGCATGACCATCAGTCCCGGGGCATCGTTTCTTGTGTCCTTCTTCCTGGGAATGTGCTGGCTGTGCAGAACCCAAGCGGTAAGTTTGTTCTCTAGCAAACAAAACGGGGACGGAGTCTGTTTCCTTCAGAGCCAGCAACCTCAACCAGCTTTGTGCAAGCCAGTGCGGCCTTACAGTGAAGGCTTCAAGCAAATTTGTGAGGTGGAAAGAGTGGCACACATGGTGCCTGCCCTCTCTGGGCACCCCAAGCCATAGAGCCTTCCCTGGGGTACCCCTATAGCTCCCTAAAGAAGAGGCCTCTCAACTCCGATCCATTGAGGGGGGTCTGCAGCACAACAATGGGGACAGGGAATCCAGGACAGCAGCACCCTCTGTCCCTTGGACTCCCAGTCATTCCAAGCTTCAAATGGTTTCGGACTGCAGAAGCTGGGACTTCTCAGGGTAGTCTTCCTAGCAACTGACGATGTTACCACAGGCTTCAGCCTCATGGACATATTTATATGTCAGAATGAAGTAATGTGTTTTCACCCTGGGGAGGTGAAACTCCTCCCACATGCCAGGTTTCAGTTATCTAGGTTGCAGGGTCTTGGTGCTAAGGTGGGGAAGAACATGGTAGAACTTTGATGACTCGAGTTGAACTACAAAGCATGCAGAACTTGATTAAGTTTCTTAATCATTCTCATCCTGATAGAAAACAGACTGGAGCTGAGCACAAATAAGCCGGCCCCATGGGGCTCAATCCTGCGCACATTTAGACAGAAATAAGGCCTACAGCTTCCAAGAGAGCGTGCTCTTAATGGGAGAATGTGAGACCACAGGGGAACGATACCCCGCTTTCTCTCCCTGTCATATGTCCCTCCTTGAGTTACATCCTAAGCTCTCCCCCACACTGCTGCGGCTCTGACGCAACTTGCGCAGCTGTCATCCATGCGGGCATCTTTGCAGCACACTGCATGTCCTGGACAGCTGGTTTTGCACATGGAAAGAAAAGGAATGAGCACTTAGGACACCTGCAGGCAGTGGGAAACAACCTCCGGTTTGCAGCAATGAACACAGGCAGTTGTGTTCATTTTCTGGAAAAACAAGCATGAAAGCTGCTAGAGGGTTTCCATGTTTGAAGAGCCTGGGGCAATCGCAGGCAGCTCCAGGCCAGAGCTGCTGGGAGTTATGGCTCACTGGTAACAAGGAAGCTCTGCTCCTTCTGCAAGTGGAAGATCCCACCAGAACTGGGCTCCAGCTCTGCTGGAACCTGACACTCTTTCCTTCATCCTAGACGTTTCTGGGCTCCACGGACACACTTGATTTCACTGACTTTGATGCGGACTCTGTTTCTGAAGGTAAGGACTCCCTGGCAGCAGGCACTCACTGGGGTGCAGGAGGGGCCAGCAGAGGCAGCCCTCCCTGCTGTACCACCTGCCCCCGCACCTTTTCTCTCTGCTGACAGGGCTCAGGAGCACAGGCAGCAGCCTTGCAGGCCTGGGGCCAAGGGTTGGCATGGTTGGGCCCCAAGTCCAAGGGCTCACACCCCTGCAGGGGCCCATGGAAAAAAGCCCCTTGGAGTCGCACCTCTGCTCCCCCACTGCACGCTGCTTGTCCTCCCGCCTCTCGCTCGGGCTCAGACAAGAGAAGCGGTGAAGGCGGGAAGGGCCAAAAATGAGCAAAGCTGGCGCCAAACACTGCCATGGCCAGGCTCCATACCCCAACAGGCTCCCCCTGGCAAGGCCCCTTGGAATCGCTTCTCCCCTCTGCTTGTACACCTGCCCCTGGCTCCAGTTCAGGCAATGAAGACGCCTTCTCCTAGCCGAGCCTTTTGCTTCCCTCTGGCCTTCTGAGCCACTCTCTCTTTCTCCCCACTGAAATCTTGTGGCCTGGTCCTGAAGGTACGGAACCGGGGCACAGGAGGACTGGGTTTGAGTCCCTGCTTGGCCACGAGGCTCATGGGGGTGACTCTAGGCCAGACATGATTCTCAGTCCACGACAAAAGGGTTCTCACTAAACCTGGCAAAGAACAGTCCCCAAACCTGTAGATGGTCTCACATTCACACCTTCCCAGCTCTCACATCAACTCCAGGAGCCCACAGTATGACGCCTCGACGGTGGCAACGGGCAGGGGTTTCTCTCATACGCAAGGCAGGCCCAGGGCGCAGCCTTGGCAATCTTTGTAACACCAGGGTAAAACTTCAGGCTAAAACCAGCCAGTTCCAGACCAAGGAGCCGTGCCTTTTCTGCGCCTTGGGTCAGGTGAACAAACGGGCCGCAGCCGTGGAGTGGAGCAGCAGCCCCGGGGGGGTCTTGTCGAGGCCCCTGATGGAGTGTGGGCAGCCCTTGGAGCTGGGCCCAGTTTGGAGCCACAGACTCCTAGCCTTCTGTGCCGCAGCTCGGGCTGCGTGCAGAAAGCCTCTACTGGCTTCCCCCCGAAACTTCTCGGTGCACTTTTCTCGAAGGAAAGCGTCCACCCCGCGTCCGCAGAGGGGTTGAGCACGAGGTGAAACACCTGGAGCTCCTGGTTGTGGTGGGCCCGGACGTCCACCAGCTGCACAAGGAAGACACCGAGAGGTATATTCTCACCAACCTGAACATTGTGAGTGTCATTTGGGCTGCCTCTAATTCTTCTTCATTGCTCCATCAGCCTTTCAGAAGGTCGCGTCCCCGAGGCTTAAATATGGACTCAGTTTCCAGAGAGCGATGGCTGCCGGTTTGGGCAGCTTTACAAGGGACAGGATCCGTTCTGGAGGAGGACGAGTCCTCAGTGGCTACTGGCCCCGTGCCCTGGGTTCCCCGTTGCTGGAGGGCGCCGAGGCCTCCGGCCACGCTCCGCTAGAAACACAGAAACAGAGTGAGTCAGAACAGGCCTCCCGGGCCATCTAGTCTGACCCCCGGCACCAGCCGGCTCCGCTCACGACACGCCCGTTGTCCACTGCGGCTCCCAGACTTTGCAGGCGCGCCACTCGCTCGTGTTCTTCGCTGCAAATCGGCCAAAGCGCCACAAAACACCTTTGGGGCCCTTTCCTTCCTTCTCTACAGGGAGCAGAGCTGCTTCGAGACGCCTCACTGGGAGCCCAGTTCAGGGTCCACCTGATCAAACTGGTCGTCCTCACAGAACCCGAGGTAAAAAACGGCCTGTGCCTGGAGGTGTCCTGGCCTGAGGGGGGAAAGCCAGACAAAAATGGGTCTCCCCTGCCCATGTTTCCACAGGATTTTTGTGTAAGTTGGGGGGGCACCCATTTTTATGGTCCCCCCCACTTTCTGTTTCCTATCCAGGATTAGAGGAGCTGGGCCTGGCAGGCGACCAGCTGCTCGGCCACCAGCAGGGGCGGGGCTTCCTGGTAGAGAGGGGAGGGCCGTGTGTGGCATGGGCCCTGTGATTGGTGGGTGGCACCAAGCCTTTGGATTGGCTGAGGCCTGCTATAAATAGGAGTGGCCTGGCTTTTGGACGCAGAGCAGGCCTGTCCACAGGTTGGGCTGCAGGTAAGGCCCTCAGTGCCCTTGTCGCTCAAGGCCCTCCCAGCTGGTTTCCAGTATCCTGTTGGTGCACAAATCGACAGGTAGAACTTTCATTGGTTAAGTCATGCACTCTCTGGCACATAATCAGGCCTGAGAAAAAGGTTCTTTACTAGAGATCAGCATGTGTGCATGCTTGAAATGCAGCTGATGCTGACCAGGTGGCATTTCAGAGAAAGGTGGTTAGCACTTGGCACAAAACAGCCGCACCATGAATATCTTCTTAAACAGTTTTCTTGATACTTAAGGATGTAACTCCTATGATGGCACTGTTACCGGACTGTGCCAGTCAACAAATGGGGCAAATCCCGGGTGGACCCCAGACCCGAAGCCAAACCGAGCCTGAGACGAGACTTAGAGCCAAAACCAGCTTTATTCTAGTGCACTATAGAATGAAGGGAGACAAAAGGGGACATTCAGCCCAAAGCAGTGTCTCCAAAGTTGCACCCCAGTACATGCATTTTATACCCTAGGTAGCCAATTCAGTCACCTAATACACTTCTAATGCATCGATACATCAATGTATGCACCCCCCCCGTGCTGGAGAAAGAGTCCTTTCTTCTGTCAAGGACCAGACATTTCCCATGTCTATTTCTTATCTGCTCGAGATTCACACAGGCTTGCCATGTTCTTACTCCCTGCAATTTGCAACTTTCATGGCGGCTGGAACCAGTTTCCACTGGCCCTTTGATTACTGTATTTGAGGTCAGGCTAGCTGTGGGTTACACAAGGTTCGTTTTGTTCTTATCTGCCCTCCCTTCTGGGACAGTATAACTGTGGTGTTTTTACTATGTGGCCTTCCTCTGGCCAACTATTTTTGGGGCCTTCCTCTGGCCAATTACTTTTGGGGTGAATTGGCAACAGCACCCATAGATGTTAGGTTGAGGAAGGGATGTGTTTGGGATGTGGCAAGTGAGAAAAGAAAAGCCATGCTTAGGAACAGCCAGTGTGATGCCAGGTCAGACTGTTGGAGTGGGACTTGAGAGATCTGTGTTCAAGTCCCCACTCAGCCAGGAGTTTAACTAGGAGCCTGTGAGTCAGCCTTCTCTCCCTTTTACGTTCATGACAGCCCTGTGAGACATGGTTGTTCTTGTTACATTGCACTTATATCCTGCCACTTTTCCTCTTGTGAGGAACCCAAGGCAGCTGACACAGCTCCATTTTATCCCCTGTAAACTTGGCTGGGCTGAGAGTAAGGGACTGGCCCAAAGCCACCAAATGGGAACAAGAACATGGCTTTCCCTAGTCTCACTTCACACCAGACGGACAGGTTTCATGCAATACAGTTAGCCACACTCAACAGTTGTCTTCGAGCTGCAAGTTACAGTTGAACTGTGGGCTACCACGTGGCCTGATCCTAGCTGTGCTAACAAACCATGAATAACCCATGAAAAAATCCAAGTTGGGTGGTGAACTCTGGGTTGTTCATGATTTGTTACCTTGGCTGAGTTCAGATAACACACTAGCCCACAATTCAGTGCCAAACCACAAACTGCAATAACCTACAGCCCAGTGATAACCAGTTTGGATTCTGATGTGGTCTGAGAATTCACTGGTTCTTGAAGTTGTGCATTGTTGACTCAGTGTCCGCCTTCTCTTCAGGAAGGCATTGAAATTTCCAGCAACATCACTTCCTCAGTGGTCAGTGTTTGTGACTGGAGCACAAAGGTCAACCCGGAGAATGATTCAGACCCTCACCATGCCGATCTTGTTCTATATATTACCAGGTAATGAGCGCTCCTCCTGCCTCTTTGACCGATGTGCAAAGGAGGGTGGACAAAATGAGACCCTGGGAAGGTGCCTGGTTATGCTCTCCTGCCACATTCCTTGAGCACAAGGCCACAAGGGAGTGGAGGGAAGACGCAGACTAGCATTATCCAGCTGATTTGGGTTAGCCAAGTCCTGATTTCAAAAGCACTGCAGGTGGAAGAGGCTAGAATCAAATGTATTTGCTGTTCACATTCCAAAGGCAACCGCCTATTTTAGATTACTGACCCATAAAATCCTTTTGGGAAACTTGTCAGTGGCTGGGTAGGAGTCCAGTGGGAACATCTTAAAAACTGCTTCTTCCCATACTGATTGGCAGGAGACACCCTTCCCATGATCCCACCAATAGGCAAGGCTCATGGTGCAGCGGCCCGAGACAGCCTTGTTAGGGTGACACCTTGACGGTGGAATTCCCTCCCTAGAAAAATGCACTTGACCGCCGCATTGTTGTTGATAACTAAAACATGTTTGCTTTGTAGATGTAACTTGGTCCTGGGACCTTAGTGCCTTTAAACATGGCCGTGAGGGCTGGGGTTGATGGGATCTTCCAGCCTAACGCATCTGGAAGAAGCCAGGTTCAATATGGTGGACTTAGCAAGGGTTTCTCCTCCTTCCCTGGTTCTCGTTAGGTTTGACCTGGAGCTTCCTGATGGCAACAAGCAGGTGCGTGGGGCCACACGGCTGGGGGGGGCCTGTTCCACCTCCTGGAGCTGCGCCATCACTGAGGACACAGGATTCGGCTTGGGAGTCACCATCGCCCACGAGATTGGGCACAGGCGAGTGGGCCAGAAGGCGGAGAGGGCCTGCAGAAAGTCTGTGGTATCTTTAGTGGTCGTAGTTTCTTAACTCCGGTATCTTCAGGGGCGACAGGGACTAATTTCTAGGATATCTGGGAGCCATGGTAACTCATCTCTCATATCTTTGGGGCCCATGGCAATTCATCTACAGTATCTCTGGGGGCTATGGGAACTAATTTCTTGTATCTTAGGGGGACATGGAAATGCAGCATCTCCATCAGGCTTGGCTCCAAATATGAAAGGGGACTAAGTCCATTTCTGGGCTTGAGTCAGTGTCAGGGAATGCGTGCGGTGCAGCATCCATTTCCCTTCATTCCTGTTTTTTATTTTGCTGCAGTTTTGGGATCCAGCATGATGGAGAAGGCAACCGATGCCCTAGGAACGGGCACATCATGGGCTCTGAAGGTGGTCACAACAGCGTGGACCTAACGTGGTCCGTCTGCAGCAGAGAGCAGCTCTCAGCCTTTGTCAGGTAAAAGGCCCAAGCAGGTGCTTCCTCTGCACCTTTGCATGTGTTTCCTTGGGCACACACCTGATGTGATGGGAGGGAAAAGGCAGGCAAGAGACTCACATCTCTTTAGTGCTCGGATCTCTTTAGTGCTTGTGGGAATCCAAGTCCCCCTGAGTCCACACACTGCAATTACTGCCCTCCATCTCAAAATCAATGCTTTGCGTGGACACACAGACACACATCTGAATGGATGAATAAGCAAAGTAGCAGCTGTTGTGCTTCTCCGAACTAACTCACAAGGTGTGTGTCTCCTGGTTTTTCACCAGTGCAGGACAAGCAAGCTGCACAGATGACCTGCCAGACCTCGAGGACGGTATCCCGGGAGGGAAGCCAGGCCTGTATTACGGGGCAGACGAACAGTGCAAAATCGCCTTTGGGGGCGGCGCCACGGCCTGCACTTTCACTGGACACGACATGGTAGGTGGACCGCTTTTCCTTGGGTTCTGCTGTCGTGATTTCTAACAATCAAAGAAGATGTGTCTGTCTGTCCATCCATCTGTGCTGCAGCATTGAGACTGTGGAACCTAGATGTAGACGCCTGGAACTTGGCACGCATCCTAAAGGAATCCTTGGTTTTATTTTGTTTTTTTAAGCAGGCATTGATTAATGCTAATTGATTTTTAATGTCTCTGTGTGGCTGAAATTTGCAGTAGGTGGCAAGTGTCCCTAAGCGATGCGTAGTTTTGCAGTCCATAACATTTGCGGGCAGGAGGAGTTAGAAGGCTGGGGGATAGCCTTATACACCTGTCCCTTCCCCACGGATCTGGGGCCCTGGCTGTTAGGCATGGCTTCACTTGGATGGGGAGGGCACAACGGGCAGGTTTGCACAACAGTTTCCCCAGAGAGGTCTGCCTGGCGCCATCGTTATTTGCTTTTCAGCGCCAGGCCAAGACCTTTTCATTTAAACGTCATTTTAATTGTTGATTTTATTTATTGATTTTAACAACTTTGGCCAGGATGTCTCCAATTTTATATTATTGTATTGGTGGTATTTATTTATGGTTGTAAGCTGCCCCAAGGCTTATGCAAAGGGGGCGGCATATAAGTTTGCTAAATAAATAAATGAATGAATGAATGAATGAATGAATGAATGAATGAAAAATGAAAAGCCATGGCAAAATCTTACCGTGGTGGATCTGTTGTGTCATCCAGACCCAGTTCCAGAGTTCCTGCACAGTATGATTAGTTTTCTGGAACTGTAGAATCCACAGTCTCTTCTAAGTTTTCCTCGCTTTGCAGTGGCTTTGTCTGGACTCAGGATCCCCATTTTACCATGGCTGGTATGGAAACACCAAAGAGTCCCTTAGCAGGCAGCCACTTCTAGCATTTGATGCCACTCCCGTCACCTCCCCAGAAACAGAAGTGTCACAACTCCCTTGATTTCCATTGGCTCAGTGATGTGCCCCGCACACTGTTGGCGCCTGGAAACCAGGAGACAGTTCAAAACTAGATGGAAGGATAAGGCGGAATGCAGTGCGTTTGCTTACTTCCATTTACTACAAGTCTCTGGGAGGTGCCAGATCGGCAAGTGCACACGGCAGGTGGGAGGGCGAACCAGGGAGGTGGTTGCAAGAATCGGAAAAGGACGGGCATTTCCTTGGCCTCTGTGTGAACACAGCGCTGGACTAGGCGGGCCTCCAATGCAGCTGGGCTCCTCTTATATTCCTGCGTGTGTTTGCATTTTCAGGACATGTGCAAAGTTCTCTCTTGCCACACGGACCCAGACGACCAGTCCAGCTGCACCCGGCTCCTTGTCCCGCTCCTGGACGGTACCGAATGCGGGATCGACAAGGTGGGGGTCTTTTGTGAAGGAGCAGCAGCAGAACTGGTGGCGTGGGAGGGATGCCTGCCTTCCTGTAGGGCTGTGCTTATACCCAGAGGGAGCAGAGTGCGGTGGGACCCAGTCTCCCTTGGATTCTGCACAGGCGAAGTCGGGACAGAGGTTTGGTGGCTCACAAGCAATGACTGCCCGCGGGCTCCGCAATCCATGGGCTGCCAGGCACAGGCGGGCGAGGGCAGGCACAGAGAGCTGCCTTACCATGATGCCCGAACCCTGACTACTGGGTTACTTACGGGTTGAGCAAACGCTCTGTTTCTCCGTAGCTTGTTGCTCCTCTCTCTGCATGTCTCTGAAGGGGGTCAGGATGAGAGTCCATGACTGGTCCAAAGTCACCCAGTGAGCTTTGTGGCTGAGCGGGCGCTTGGGCCGGGGTCTCCCGAGTCCCAGTCCAGCCGTCTCATCACTGTCCCTGTGGATCCTGCTTGATAAACGGTGGCAAGCACAGCAGTTTAAAATTATACAAGCTGAACTCAGTAAAGACAAAGAAGAACACAGAGACCAGTCGAACACGAGAATGCCATAAAGCGTGGAAACCGTGCCGTTGCAGTGGTGTTCTGGCGGCCGGTGCAGCTCGTTGGAGGACCTGCATCCCATCGCGGCGGTGCACGGGCACTGGTCGAGCTGGACCGGCTTCACCGCCTGCTCCCGGAGCTGCGGAGGGGGAGTCACGGCCCGGCAGAGGCAGTGCAACAACCCACGGTGGGTAAGAGCTTGGGCTTGCCAGGCTGGGCTGGGATGTGGCGCTTCCCCACAGCTGCAGGGCAGTGCCAACTCCAGGTCTGCGGGGGCCCTTCACAGGCCTGCTCCCCCAGTAGGCCCCTTTCTCTCCACCACGGTTGCCGGAAGCTTTTGCTCCTCAACCTCTGACTCGGGGTTTGACGGGCAGAGAGCCCGGGGGCAAGCTGGCTGTGGCATCCGTTTCACCACCGCCGGCGTCTGGGCCGGAGCGAGAGGCAGGCAACCAAGCAGGCTGCAACGGGGAAGAGAGGAGCATCTCCTGCGGGCTCTCTCCAGTGGGCCCCTGCTGCAGTGTGGGCCTGTGGCAGGTGCCCAGCCTTGCCAGCCCTACCCTGCCCCGAGCGAGGCCTGGAGCTCGACATGCAGAGCTCACTGACGGATGCACTGCAAGGCGGAAGGGCCGTGGCTGGTTCCAGTTAGCCAGTGCCAGTCGATGGTTCTCCCGCGTTGGCATATTTGGGCACCCATCCAGGCTGCCTTTGATCCTCCTCCTCTTGCAGCACAGTGGCGGCCAGGGAGCTCACCTGCAGCAGAGACGGACGGCTGAGGAGCAGTTTTGTTTCCTTTGGCCCTGGTGAGGGATGCGGACACCAAAGGCCGCCTGGAGAGCAATCGCTGCGGTTGCTCCTCCGGTGACAACTCAGTGGGGAGAGTGAGACAGACGCAGGCAGGCACATCCCTGCAGCGATAACAGCGACGTGTGTGCTCTCTGCTAGCCCTAAGCAGTAGGATGCCAGAGAGGTGTCTTGCCCAAGGCCCCGCATGCCAAGAGGGCCGCATTCGGCCCACGGACAAAAGGTTCCCCACCTCTGCTGTTTAACATGGAATCGCGTCTCATCCCGTGACGAGGCTGCCTGGGAGCCAGGTGGACCCTAGAAACCTCTCTGTTCCCGGGACACCGCCTCATGCCAGGGCCTGAGGTCCAGCGCATCCGGTGGTTGCCTGGCCTGACCCCGCAGATTCAGCGCTGTCCTTCCCTTGCAGGCCTGCCTTCGGTGGGCGCCACTGTGAGGGGGAAGACTCACAAGCCTATATGTGCAACGTACAGGTAGGGGGCACTTTGCACTTGCACGAGCTGTTCTAAAACACCCTGGCAGCATCCTCTTTCGGAAACACTCACCCACCACCTTTATGTGCGCAGAGACTTCTGTTGTCTTCCAACATTCCGTGCAGGCGAAACTTTGGTGTTCCAGCATCTGCCAAGGAATCCTGACTTCTATGTATTCGCTAAATCATGATCTCTTATGCCAGTCTGTTATGACCAAACAACCCACAGTTCACAATCTACAAACACACCACGATTTCTCTTTGTGGGTTGTTTGTACTTAAACCAAGGTTTGTTAGCATTACTAGGTTCAGACAAGATGATAACCCACCGTTCAATGATTACACATGGTTTGACCTTTGACTGTGGGTCTGAACCTGGCCAGTGGCTGCTAGTCCTGATGGCTATTTATTCCCCCTCAGTTCCAGTTGCTGGGGAACAGGACTGGGCCCTTTTGCCTGGCCTTCTTTGGCTGTTCCTGCCCCATGCCATAGCAAGACATCTTGCACTTCTATTTAAATTCTAGCCACGATGTCTGAATTTGCATCTGTATTCATACTGATTAACATATGCAAATGTCATGCAGTGAGGCAGCTGGGAGCCTCCATCTCGGTGTTGTGTGTATCCACTCTCAGCTTTAGTATGTACTCTAAAGGAGCTATTCCTAGTGCTGAGCACTAGCTCCAGAGTAGGTTCAGCACCACAGATAGCTCCGTAAAAGTCAGACTACAGCCTGGAATGGATACATGGCCTCGGTGATACGGGAGCCCCTGGCCTCCTCTGTGAGGACCTTTCCCTCTCACCGGGTGATCTGTTCCTACAAGGGCTGCCTCTGTCCTCGTGTTCTCTTGACCTAGAAGTGGACCACTAAGGGGCCAAGACACCTGGAAGAGCTCAACTCCCATCTGCCCCAGCCGGAGTGGCCATACGTGGGGGTGTTCTGGCCCAGATCCTCTGGAGCTCCTCAAGCTGCCCGTGCCTTCCTTGACTGGTGCACAGCTGGGGCTTGGGGCGCTGCCATGAAGAGCACCTGCTTGGCCTTCAGTCCCCAGGTCTAGTGAGCCTTCCGAGCAAGGTGGCCAGTGGCCGGCCGGCCCCGGCAAGCAGAGCCCGGCCGGAGCTCAAGGAGCGGGGCTTGTCTCCCCCATTCTGCAGCTCTGCAAGACGACACAGCTGGGTTTCATGGACGAACAGTGCGCGGCAACAGATCGGAAGCCACTTTCTCTCCGCCCGGAGGTGCCATCCTCCTACACATGGATTTCGGCTGCTGATTATGCGAAAGGTGATCCACAGTGGGGGAGAAGTGAAGGAATATTGAGAGAGAGTGAAAGAGGCCGATTTTTACCTGTAGGATCATGTATGTCTGCATAACATCTATGCCTGAGGAGCCAACGGGGGTTGGAATTTCTCTTTGCCTAGAGGGACACAGACAACTCCTCCCCAAGGCCCTTGCGACCTAAATCTTGAAAATGGGGAGACAGCAAAGGAAAGGAGGAGGGTACCTCATCATCATATCCTGCTTGCAGCCTTCCGGAGACATCCAGGTGATCTCTCGAGACTGAAAGCCAGTCATGATGGACTTTTGCTCTGATTCAGCAGCATAATTTCCAGTTTGTCTTACGGGTGCTTCCTTTCCATTCTGGACAGTGTGAGTCCTGGCTCCGGAGGTCGGAGAAAAGGCGTGTTTCCCATTTTGCCGAAACTGAGTTCCCTGCAAATCTTTTCTCCCCTTCAGGAGATGCCATTTGCAAGCACGTGTGTAGGGCATCTGGGAAGAACTTCATAGTGAGCCGTGGGGACCAATTCCTTGATGGCACAAGGTGTGAGCACAGCAGCCCAGGGGGCGACGGAGCGCTTGGCCTGTGTGTGATGGGCAGCTGCAGGGTAAGGAGGTCAGCCCTGCAAAGGCGAATAAACCATTCCTCTGTGAAGCGAGAGCAGGAGCAGTTCTTGGGCTGGGCCTGTGCTAAATTTTCAGTCCTGTTTAGTCCAGTAAGCTTTTGCTATTTCTAGGACCAAATAAGCATCAGCCTCTCTAATCTATAGCTGAAAAAAGGTGGAGATCTCTCTCTCTCTCTCTCTCTCTCTCTCTCTCTCTCTCTCTCTCTCTCCCCCCGTCTCCCTCTCCCTCTCCCTCTCCCTCTCCCTCTCCCCCTCTCTCTCCCTCTCTCTCCCTCTCTCTCTCCCTCCCTCTCTCTCTCCCTCCCTCTCTCTCTCTCTCTGTCAGAGTCCAGGGACACACAGTCTGCTTGGTACCAGTGCAATTCTTCTGTGCCACTTCTTAAATATTCGCTGGTGGGAACTTCTTGTGGACTCCTGATTTCTGTAGACATTTATTTGCAGTGTCTTTGCCTTGCCCCTCAACCAAAAACTCTCCTGGAGTATCTGACATCTAATCAGTAAAACAGGACAGTCCCTGGACTCAGATTCACATTCTTTAAAAAACGTCACACAGGGAAATAAGGATGTAGGGGGACAAGGGACAAAATCAAGTCCTCTTTCAGCAGGGCTGCTGGAATGGCTCCACTTCCCCTTGCACCTCCCTCTGCTTCGTACTAAAGCTTTGAGCCCAGCAGGAAGGGAAGAGCTTCCATGCAGGGGTTAATTCTGCCATCTGGGGATTTGCCCCCACAGCTGGGGCAATCCTGGTGCGGCGATTCTCCGAGACTCATCCTTACGCCCCTTTGTCGCTCTGCCTTGCCCAGGTGTTTGGGTGCGATGGCACGATGGATTCTGCGGAGCGGATGGACACATGCCGTGTGTGCGGTGGGGACAACAGCACCTGCTTCCGTGTGAGGGGCTCTTACAGCGAAGGAAAAGCCAGAGGTGCAGCCCTGTTCGCTCTTTCTTCCCGTCTTTAGTTTGCTCGGGTACATTTTCAAGCCATCCTTTCTGCAAGGATCTCAGGGTGCCAATATTCAGCAGACTCCCTCCCGCGTGTGTGGTGCGCAAATCCGGCACATTTGTTTGGCCTCGGCCACAGTGAATGACACCTCCTCCCTGCCCTGGATCTTGCCCCTGGGCCCTGCAAGCCACCCTCCAGCCCCTCTGCCACCTAGAGAGGCACAGAAGCAAACACCATTTTATGCCTGCAGTCAAGGCAGTGCCCTGATTTCAGCCAGGGTGTAGTGGAGCATGGGCCTGCAGGGATGGAGCACCAGCACCACCTTAAGGTCAGGGATGCTCATGTTACGTGCTGCACCCTGCAGACTCCCCGTTCCCTCTACTTCTAGCTGCAGCCCTCACAGTGGCGACCCATGCATTTTACACGGGACCCGCTCCTGGTGGAGATGGAGGCAGCTAGAGCTGGTCTGTAGAGACGTGACAACCCAGATTCAGGCTGGACGTCAGGAAAAGCTTCCTGACTGCCAGAGCAATACGGCAGTGGAACAGCTGCCTGGAGGGGTGGTGGGCGCTTCCACACTGGAGGCATTCAAGGAGAAACTGGACAGCCCTCTGAGTGGGATGGTGTGAATCGGTGTCCTGCAACAACAGGGGGCTGGACTCGGTGGCCTCCATGGCCTCTTCCAACTCTACTATTCTACTCTCTCCGTTACTGCCTTCATTTTTGGCCTCTTCTTTGGGGCAGGGCTGCCATGATGAGACCCTGCCCTTCAGAATTTGCCACTGCACCTCTGGATGTCGGCAAATCTGTACATAGGACATTTTTATTAATTTTTTGAATCAGGGCTGGCAAGTAGCTTGGTTATCGTTCTGGGACATCAGAAAGGTAGAAGCAGATTTAAAGCAGGGTGGCAGGGGGATACCTGTTGTGTGCCTTCTTAATGCACATGTCCATCTAAAAAGGGATACCCCTCCCCATGAAGCTGGAGCATAAACCCTCCAGCTACACCACCATTTTTGCTGCACAAATTTATCCCTGAACATGGTGTCCCGCTCTCTCTTTTCTCCCCTTCCCAGAGTACGTCACCTTCCTGTCGCTGTCCCCTAACACCACCACAGTCCGCGTGGTCAATCGCAAGCCGCTGTTCACCCACTTGGGTGAGTGCCGCCATGACACCTGTTGTAGCAGGGGCAGACACTGCAGTGGGGTTTGCCTGGAAGCTCTTCCTGCTGGATGGTAACCTGAAGGAGTGAGTGGAGGAAATGCTTGACAATTCTGGGGTCATTCCATAAAACTAAGTGGTGGGAGATTGAGGGCAGGACGAAGGAACATGGCCAGCATTCTGGACGGTACGATGGACTCACCTACGTTCTGCTTGAATGGGCTGAAATTTGGAGCTGTGAGGCCTTGTGACCTGCCGCTGTTGCTTCCTTCCAGCTGTGAAGGTTCAGGGGCAGTATGTGGTCTCTGGAACAGGCAGCATCTCCTTAAACTGCACCTACCCGTCCATCTTGGAGGACCACCGCATCGAATACAGGGTCTTCCTCACAGAGGAGAACCTGCCTAGATTGGAAGAGATCCGCCTGGACGGACCAGTCCAGGAGAAAATAGACATACAGGTAACCTGGAGGAGTCAGAGGAGAACACGTGAACATATTTCTCAGCCTTCTGAAACTGCCCCGGGGGCATCTCATGAGCAGCCTGGGGCATTGTGGGAAACTCCATAGGAAATACCTTGCATTCTGTTTTAAGACTGATTCACACATGCCCCAGTTTGTAAGACTTGGTAACATGCATATGTGTGGAGGAACCAGGATCAAACTTCCTGTGCTCACAGGAAAGGTAGTAGCCAAAGTTAACCCCACAGAGTAGACTTATTGAAAGGAACAGGCCTGACGTTAGGATGGGTCTTAGCTCTTGACTGACTCGCTCATTTTAATGGGACTGCTCTGTGTGTGACTAATGGTGGGTACCGCTCTTAGTGCAGGCATGCGGGTGTCTGATTTGCACAGGTATCGCCATGGGCAGAGGGGAAGGCTTGACTCTTTCGTTCCACCCAGCCACCACCACCCCCAAATCTCTCTCCCCGCTCCAACATTGTGGAGACTAAAAAAGAGGGAGAGAACCCCATGGATGCCCTTGATACTGGCATGTCCTTCAGCCTTCCCGTTCCTTTCCCTTCTAGGTTTACAGGAAGTACGGGAAGGAGTATGGAAGTTCCACCAGCCCAGACATCGCCTTCGCTTATTTCATCCCCAGGGAGAATCAGGCCAGTGTGTGGGTTCCGCAGCTCGGCCCCTGCTCAGTGACCTGTGGAGAAGGTGAGGCGCGGTGCCGTTCTTCCCAGATCCTGTGTCTCTTTGCTTGGAGGCTCAGGGCTGGGACTTTTCTGGCCCGTGGTCCTAATCTGGCTGGGGGAGGTGGCCGGTCAGGCCCACAGATTGTGGGCACCCCCTCCAGCACCTCGACCCCAAACCCCACCACGTGGTCTGAGGCTTGGTGAGGAGGTGGGGCAGAGAAGCTCTCTTGCTATCTCCAGTTGGAGAACCTGCGGTTTTCCTCCTGGGTTGTTTGTAGTTTGCTGTTCGGATGTGAACTGTGTCTTGTTCGCCAAGATGTGTCATCTCAGGTGGGTTCGGACAACACAGGGCTCATGTTTCAGCAACAACCACCCCTGCTCATCCTTCATATTACATGAACCGAGCCAGCAGCCCATGAGTCGCCATGATCATGCTGGCACCACAGACACAATCGCCCTCGCCAGGTGCGGCGTGTTGTGACATCCAGGCCCAGTGAGAGCGGGTGGTTAGGATGGTCAGCAAACCACCCGGCATCCCTGGAGCAAGCCAGGGCTTCCAGGTGGTTTGTTAACCGCCAGCTGCCCTCGCCGGTTCAAATGTCACCTCAAGCTCTGCCCAGTGAAGGCAGTTCTGGGAATCAAACTCGACACATGACCAGGGCGATCAACATACCACTGTGACTTGTGACGGACCCTTGTGTCGTGTGAACCAGGTTACTGTCCCAGCAACATGCAGAGGTCTTCAGACGGCACAGTGGCTGCTCTTACACCATCCTCGTCTCGTTTCTTGCAGGCACTCGGCCGGTCAGTCATTCCTGCTTTGATCAAACGAGAGGTCAAAGGATGGACGACATCCATTGCCTGAAGACCCCAAAGCCCCCTTCCAGGCAGCGGCCTTGCACGATGGCCCCCTGCCAGCCTCAGTGAGTCAGGGCTTCTCCCACTAGTCCACACTGGGGAGAAGTGGACTGGAAAACCCAGCCTCTGCCGCCACAGCTCAGAAGTGCCGAAGCAGGTCCTGCACGCTGCTCGCTTCCTCCCCCTAAGTGGCCCATCCTCTTCTCCCCAAGGTGGCTGGCTGAGGAGCTTGGCCCCTGCAGCGTCACCTGTGGCGGGGGCACGGTGGAGCGGCTGGTTCGCTGTGCAGTGCGAGGAGGGGGACAGGTGGAGGCTCTGCCGGATTCCGAGTGCGCGGACCTTCCCAAGCCGCCCTCCGCTGAACCCTGCGGTGCCGAGATGTGTCCCGCCAGGTAACCGCTGAGGACAGTGGGGCGTGTGGTCCCTCCTCGGGGGTCGTGCAGCCTGAAGCCTGCAGCCCTCCTGGGCCACGTGTGCACGTCTGGGTGGGGAGCATCTTCCTGCCTTGCGCATCGACGCATGCCATTTTGTGTCGCTTCCCAAATTAGGCACTTGTGCGTTTCAGCATGTTTGCAGCCTTCCTTTTCCCTTCTTGCAAAAACCCGAGGGTCCCACACCCTCCTCCCCCCCTCCCCATTTCATCCTCACAACAAAGCCGTGTGTCGGTTAGGCGGGGGGGGGGGACATGCCCCAAGCCAACCAGTGAGCTTTCTCGGCCAAGGGGGGCCTTGAACCTGGGAGGGGTCACTCGGCTTTTGGTGGGTGACAAAGGGGTGCGGGCCTTTTCTCCTCCCCACAGTCCCAAAGCTTCCTTGGGGAATCCTTACTTGAGGGTTTTTCAAATGCCTCAGCTATTGTCCATGTCAGTCCAAGGACAGACTTGCAAAGCTTGTGCCTTAACAGCAGCTTCCTGTTGTTGTTGGGGGGGGGGTTTGTGGGGGGCACAGGCCAGTGGCAGAATACCTGGTCCTGGGCTCCACCTCCAACATCTCTGAGCAGCGAAAGCTCCTCTTCCTTGGCGCCCTGGCAGCCGATGCTGCAGCCAGTCGCTCTCAAGACCGCTGGGCTAGATGGGCCGAGTGCCCCACTTGCCATAGGGCAGCCTCCTATGGGGGCAAGCGGGGCAGCCCAGGGGCAGAGCCCCCTTCTCCATGTAGGAAGCACCAGGGACAATCCTCAGCCGCATCTCAGGTAGGGCGAGGCCCAGCCCCGTCCGAAACCCCAGGGAGCTGTTGCTGCCCGGCCATGTTGGCAGTCCGCGGCTGGACGGGGACTGACGACGGGGTGGCTTCCTCTGCTCCTACAATGTCTCCAGGATCCGAGGCCCCGTTGTGAGAAATGGGGCCATGCCCGAGCCCCCCCGTGTTGGCCACTTTCCCTCCCATCCAGGTGGCTGGAGGCCGAGCCAGGCCGCTGCTCCGCCATTTGTGGCCTGGGATTTGCCGAGCTGAATTCAACCTGCGTCCAGCTCCGTGACGGCCTGGAAACCGTAGTGGAGGACAGCCTGTGCCCGGCGGATGAGAAGCCTCCGTCTTTCGTGTCCTGCATGGTGAACATTTGTCCACTGGGATGGAACACGGTACGTACCCCTTGGGGGTTTGTGGCCTCCATCCAGCGTGCTTCTCTGGATGCCCACCTGGCTCCCAAGAACCCGATCTTTCTTTTCTTTCTTGGATTAAAACTTTTAAAAAATAAAACCCTTAGAGGCTGCATCCTGCAAAGCAAGGAACACCCCAAGCCCCTGCTGTGCATCCCATCCTTTGTCTCTCTGGGATCCGTCCTGGGAGTGGCTGGTCCGGCTTACATCAGAGCCCGTGGGAACGTGTCCATCGTCTGGTTACGGGGAAAGCATGTACGGGGAAACCACAAGAGCAAGGCCCTCCTGCCTCTCCGCGCAGAGCTGGCTGGGAGTGACTCGTGGCCGGGCAGATTCAGAGCGCGATGCTCGAGCGGTGGACCTTTCTGCAGTCTGCAGGCTGAATCCCGTCTGGAGATGCTCTCCTGAGCCACATGCCAGTGGTGGGGAGCGCCGAAATATGGAACAAAACTCGTGTCCGCGGACAGCGACCAGCACCTCCAGAACTGCGGGACTTCCCAATTCCATGTCCTGTCCATCACAAACACTGTGTTCTTGCTGTCTTTGGAAGCAGGGAGGTGTGTCCCACCTGAGCTCCTCCATCCCACTGCGGCCAGAGCAGGCTGGAAACCAGTCAGTGTACGTCTGGAGCCCCCTGGCTGGGGAATGCTCTGCCACCTGTGGAACAGGTGAGGTGCTTGCTTGGTCCTTTCTCATCTATTAAGTATGTTTTTGGTCATCCAGTACACCCTCAGTAGAAGTATTGCGAAACAGGGGGTCTCGGGAAGGGCAGAACTGCAGATGAATTGAAAGCACCGAGGAAGCGGGAAGACGCGTTTCATCCCCCCGATGTTGCCCTTTTGGCTCAGGGCTGGCTCCAGATCAGTGTGGCTGGGAAGGATCTCCTGGCGTTAATGGCAGTTCTGGTTTTATCCCTGAATGTCCATAGTCTACCTTGGGAAATTAAGGGATGCAGGTGGTGCAGTGGTTTAAACCGCTGGGCTGATTGATGGAAAGGTCGCCGTTCGAATCTGTACAACGGGGTGAGCTCCCGTTGCTCCGTCCCAGCTCCTGCTCACCTTGCAGTTCGAAAGCCTGCAAATGCACGTAGATAAAAAGGTACCACTTGGGTGGGAAGGTAACAGCGTTCCGTGCGATTCGGTGTTTAGTCATGCAGCCCCAAGACCTGCAGACAAACGCCCCCGAGAGCCAGGCATGACTGGACTTAACGTCAAGGGAAAACCTTTACCTTTACCTATTATTAGGTATGTTACTTTGTTGCAAACTGCCCAGAGAGCTTTGGCTACAGGCAGTATAGAAATGAAATAAGTAAAACAGATATAAATAAATAAAATAAATATTAAGCATAGATACACGCATATATAAAGTTTCACATCTACCCTTCATCTTAACTCCTGCCTTCCCTCAAAAGAGCATAAAAAGAGACACACGAAAAATAAAAACACATCTGCAAATTGCTTCAGGAAAATCGGAAGGGGAGGTAATGGGTGATGTCATTGCAACAAGTCAAGAAAAGACAGTGTAGTCTAATGTTCCCAGTGTTGCACTGGGAATTGGGAGATCCCAAGTTCAAGTCCATCTTCAGCCTTGAAGCTCATTAGGTGACACAGGGCCAGTCACCGACTCCCAGCATGACCTACCCCGCAGGGTTGTTACGAGGTTAAAATGGAGCAGGGGAAGAGACGATTTTGTAAGCTGCTTTCCGTTCCTTGCTTTCCCAGTTTGAACTGCTCATACTGGCAGCCTGCCCAAGTTGTTTCTGCATCGTTCTCCCAGGAGACCCCCGTGTGCCCACCCCTCACGCCCCGGCTGTCCCTTGGCAGTGCGCTTGCCAACAGCTCCTGTGCTATGAAGAAGAGATTTGACTAAACGGGCAGCTAATGGAACCCTTCCCAAACACTCCTCTTTCCCCAGGCTGGATGTTGCTGACCTACGTTTGTCTGGCTTTTGACACCCGAGGACAAGTGCAGGAGAGGCACTGCAGCCAGGCCCCGAAGCCACCAAGCCGGACAGAATTGTGCAATCCTGGGCCATGCCCGCCAAGGTAGAGCATCTCCCATGGGCAGGGCACGGCACGTCTTGCGGATCGTGTCCGTCCGTCCAGGAATCCCTATGGCGGCTCCCTGTGGCAGGCGGTGTCCAACTTGGCGGATGACACCCAATGATTCGGGGGGTGGTGAAAACCGAAAGGATTGTGAGGCACTCCAAACGGATCTCTCCCAGCTGGGAGAACGGGCACCAGTGTGGCAAATAAGCTAGTGTAAAGTGATGCATATTGGGGCAAAAATTTTTTCCCCAAATTCCAGTATTAGCTGATGGGTTCTGAATTAGCAGTGAATAACCAGGAAAGAGATCTTGGGGCTGCGGTGGACAATTCAGTGAAAATGTTGCCCCATCATCTGGCTACTGTGGAAAAGGCAAACTCCCGGTTAGGTGTACTTGGGAAAGGAACCGAAAATTAAGCTGCCCAAGTCCTGCCCCCATATAAATCTATGATGCAACTGCACAAGGAATACCGTGTGCTGTTCGGGCAACCAGACCTTAAAAGGAGATGCTGGAGCTGGAAACAAGGGTAGAAGTGGCAAGCAAAATGGTCGAGGGGTTGGAGCCACTCCCCCAGGAGGAAAGATGTCTCTGTGAAGGGTGACTGAGGGGAGACATGGGAAAGGTGTACAAAAGTCCGCACGGCACGGTGAAAGTGGGGAAGGAGGCCCTTTTCTGCCCTCTCATAATACTAGAGTGCAACGGGGTCATCCCATAAAGCTGGGAGATTCAGGACATATCCCTGGAAGGGCTTCTCCACATGGCACATGGAAGTCTCTGCCACCGGAAGCAGTGATGGCCACCAAACAGGACAGCTTTAAAGGGGACTAGACGGTGCAGGGAAGAGGCGGCGGCTAGTCCTCAGGGCCAGATGCTTCTTCCAGGATCAGAGGCACTATGCCTGCGTACACACAGTTGCTGGGGAACATGGTAGGAGGACGCTGCTGCCTGTGTGTTCTGCTTGTGGGTTTCTCACGCGAGATGGTGTGTGAACAGAATGCCGCACCAGGAGACTCTTGGTGGGTCCAGAGAAAGCGATTCCTTGCCGCAGGCAGCCGGGAATATGGCTTTTGTGCCTGATTCTGGTCGTCTTCTGCGTTGCTGCCCCTTTCCAGGTGGGAAGTGAAAGAGCTTGCCCCTTGCCCCGTGACCTGTGGCGGAGGGAAAATAGCTCTCTCGGTTCGCTGTGTCAGGCAGGACGGAAACACAACCCGCACCCTTCCTCACTCGAAGTGTGGCAGGATACGGCGGCCAGCTAGCAGCAAAGAATGCGCCACTGAGCCATGCCCAGCAAGGTAAAGGCCCTCTTTCGCGGGTTGCGAGCACTGCCCCCTCGGCTGGGTTCACGGTGCCATCTCCTCGGAGCCCGTCAACCGCCGGCTTCTGCTGTCCCCAAGGTGGTTCTACAAGAAGGGCACGTGTAGCGCAAGCTGTGGCGGAGGCGTGATGCGGAAGCTCCTCTACTGTGCGCGGGAGATGCGGGAGGAGGAGGAGGTCCTGGCCAGGGCGTTCTGCGAGAGTCTGCCTCGCCCTGCAGAGCAGGAAGCGTGCAACCTGCAGCCCTGCCCCCCGAGGTCAGTGGCTGCGTGCTTGTTCCACCGGAGTGGACGAGTGGGCCACATGCTGCTCTCCTGGGGTCTCCCAGAAGACCATGCCCCCGTGCCTCACACTTGGCCTCAGCCAATTATTTAGAGCTTTTCTGGCCTTCGTTCACACTTTCCCTGCTTTATGGTAAATACACCCCGCTGCTTTTGCCTGTGGCCCCAGAGAGCTTTGCCAAAACCCAGTGTGGCTCTCGGCCTGAAAGAGGCTCAGCACCACAGTTCCAGAGGCTCAGGGGAGCCCTTCCTGCCCCTGCCCACCCCAGCAATTCATTTTCAAAAAGCAATGATTTTTGAAAGAGCCGGAGGAGATGCAGGTTGGCTGGCTTTGCCTTCTACACCATTTAAAGAAATCCTAGCAACTATTCCTACTTTTGCCTATGTAGATTTAAGTCGACGTGCCAAGATTTTGTGCAGTTTTGTGCCTGTAATCATTCCCTCCACATCTTTTAACTCCCTGGCCCATTCGCAGTCCACGTAGCTCACAGGCAGGCAACGTGGCCACGGCCAGAACGGTGGGACTGCGCCCGAGGACTGTATGGCTTTGACTCCAGCACATCCAGGGGTTGCCAGGTTGCCTGCCCTGGCTTCGAGGCATGCCAAGGAATGCAATGCAGCGGTGCCCCTGGGTGCCTGCCTTCCCTCACTGGCTGGTTCTCTCCTCATGACAAGGTGGAAAGTGATGAAAGCTGGCCCGTGTTCCTCTCCCTGCGGGCTTGGCATCGCCACGCAGGCCATTTCGTGCGTGCAGCTTTCCGGAGGCCTGGAGGTGGAGCTGGCTGGAAACAGGTGCCTGGAAACAGAGAAGCCCCCGACCAAGGTGCCCTGCATCGTTCAGAAGTGCCTTTACGAGTGGCAATTCACCCCGTGGACAGAGGTAGGACCAGAGTGGGGCTCAGAAACACTTGGGCAAAATTCCATGGGTCACGTCTGCAATCTGAGCACTGGCGCCTGACTGTGGACTCTGGATTGCTTGGGTGACCAGCTGCAGTGGCTGAGATCCATGGCACTGTGGTGTGGGAACTGGAGCAGGGCACTGATCCTAGATGGCACATCTCACAGTTCCCAGGCAACAGTGTTGGGGGCCAAGACATCTGGGAATAAAATGCTATGGACCTTGGGGTGCTAAGATGCGGTTGCAAGCACATGCAGAAATATTTATTATCTAAGTAATATTTTGTTATGATAACAAGGTGTGCATCAGATACTTTTGAGAAATACGTCTGGACCATATTTTCTTCACTTTGTAGAAATATACCGTGGCTTTAGCTTGTTCTTTTTTGTTTGATTCGAAAAAACCTTGGCATTTAAAGAACTGTGTTGCTGCTGCTGCTGCGGGAAAGTGTTTCTGGCCTTTGTTCTGAACTTCTCTCTTGCCTGGGCAACAACCAGCTTCTCTGCATTTAACAGTCGCCTCTGGCTTCTCCTCCCGCAGTGCTCCCTGTCTTGCGGAACTGGCATCCAGAGACGGCAAGATTTCTGCATCAACCCCCAAACTGGGGCACGGGTGAACCCCATCTTCTGCATGCGTTCCCCAAAGGCCTTGACAGTGCGCACGTGCTCAGTCAGGGCCTGCCTCGAACGGGCCGCAGCAGACGCGGTTCTCGAGCAGGCTCTCCGGGCTCAGCCTCCAGAGCAGCCGACAACAGCGCCGGTCGCCCTTGGCCCTGGGGGACTCGGAAACGGGACCTCAGGCCTTCTGCCACTCAGCAGACTGGTACCTTCTGCGAGACGATCTGAAGAGATGCCAGGAGATGATGATGCCGAGGAGAAGAGCCATGCAGGCCTGTCCCTCGTGTTGGGGTCTAAGTGGATGTAGCTTTCGTATTGCAAAGAAATTGTTTTGGCCTTAATTATGTCAGAAGCACATCTCACAAAAGCCTTTCACCCTCCTAGGCAGCAAAAAAGTGAATGAAAGGTTGCACGGCTATCTTTTCATGACACCTCAAATCAGCTGCCTGGCCCATTTGCCTAATATGTTCTTTCTTCACCGCCATTCACAGCAAGGGTGGTCGGTCTCAGGACTGGGGACCAGATTTGGTTCTGGAAGGTCGTACCCCCTTTCCCTTAGAGGAGTAAATTTTGGTGGTTTCCTAGCAAGTTTCCCCCCATTCTATGAGCTTAAAACGGTTCTCCAAAAGCAGAATTGCTGGAGGTAAGACCTTTAAGGTAGCATGTACAGGTATTTGGCCCCTTCTCTTTCAGCCCTGGCCCTGCCCTGCAGGACCTTCCTTGCGATGGAATGGGTTGCCTGGAGATGGCCTCCAGGATTTGCCCACCCTACCTGTGGGCACATAAATGGTTTGTGTGGCGGAAGACACAATTTCACCCCTTCCTCTAGGGTGATTTGTTGGTACTGGATCATCTTTCTTTGCCTTTATGGGGAAAAGAAATGTTCTGACCCTTCTCCGAGGTAGGTCTCACCATTACCAGTAGCCGCAGCACCGCTTCGTTCTTCTTCCCTCAAGGTTTGGTTGTTGTCGGCAGTATCTTGGCAGACATTTTGCACCCTTGTCAGGCTGAGTTGCCATGCCATTCCGGGGCATTGTGTGATGTTTGCAGCACAAACAGAAACCATGCAGAATTGTCCCAGAACATTCTGCAGATGGCTTTCTTTTTTCCAGGCTGTGTATTGGGGCATAAGAAAACGGAAAAGCTCGGAAAAGTATCTGCTGGGAGAGACTGATTCCAGAGTTAGAGCTGAAGCAGCACCACAGATTGCGACTGCGTGAGGTTTTGGATTTTACCAACTCTGAGCCACCTCTTCATGGTCTTCCTCCAGGTGTGTGTGGAAGGCTGTTCCGCAGCTCCACGGGGTTGATCAACATGACTGGCACTGGAGCCAGCGACTGCACCGTTGCCATCGGCCGGCCCCTAGGAGAGGTCCTGACCGTGTGGGTGACGGAGAGCTTCCTGAATTGCAGCGCAGGTGGGTGCCTGGTGCAGTGGTGAGAGTAAAAGATGGGGACATCCCAGATGCACCTGGTGACCTTCAGAACGGAGGCATCTGGCTGCTTTCACCAGGAGCCAAATCCAGCTTTGGATGAGTTTTTGGGACTGCCATGCAGCTTTAAATATGGCTGGGGGGATCCCAGGAGCTGCCGCACCCCCACACTTGGTTGAGGGAAGGTGGGAATCAGTCCAACAAGCCCCAGCGCCTCAAGGTCAGTGGCCCCCGTTTTCTGCTCCAGGCGAGATGGTGCTGTTCTCCACGCGGACAATGTGGCGGATGGGCTGCAAAAGGCTGACCGTGTCGACCATACAAACCCGGACCAACACCCTGATGATCAGGCAGCGCCTCCAGCTGCCGGGGAGCGGAGTGGTCCTCCAGTACAGCAGCGGAAACGCGCCACGGAGATATCACCATGGTGTGTTTCTGCCCATTTGAAATGGCTGCACTGGCAGCAAATCGGGTGCTCTGCAGCCAAAACCTGCTTGGCACCCGTGTGAGCGTTTTTCCAGTGCCAGGTGAAAACCTCCTTTTCTTCCCAGCATCTGATGGCCTTGGATGGGGCTTCTTCCTCAAACTATTTACCTTGGTCTTGGCTCTGTTTTTGTCATACGTTGTTTTAAATGGTTTGGAAACGCTGCCTATGTTAAACCCAGCGATAAAGCACCATAACGGCATGATCATGGGACATCATCTGGATTTTTCGGAGTTTGAGCGCTGAGGTTCTCCAACCTTGCTGCTCATGCTCTGGGCCCCCAGCTGAACCCCACTCCCGGGTCTGCAGGGGAGGAAGGAGCACTCCAGGCTCTGGGGAAGGGAGGTGGCCAAGGTCCTACATCTGCACGGATTCCAAACGGTGCCAGCTTTCTTCCCTCCCCTTTGCCAGCTGCTAGGAAAAGTGCAGGGCACAAATTGCAGGGAGGCGCCTCAGGCCTCAGGCTTAAGTTCAGAGGCTCATGAGTCCTGCCCTAAGGTGCTTTTTCCAGCAGAGGAGGCATCGAAGGCGTGCACAGAAACTGACCTCAGCTGCACTGTGGGAAGGAACATCGAGTGGCTGGCCGGCCCCAGTGGAGGCGGTGCTGCAGTTCGGTCTCCGGAGGGGTGGCTGCACTCATCCGTTGCAGAAAAAGTAAAAGAATTAGGCAAACAGTTGCCACTTGCAAAACTGTTGGGCAGCAGCAGCACCTGGTTTGCTGCAGGTGATGCAAACAAACAAACACCAAGCCTTTGTTCTCCTTCAGACCACAAAGAACCGAACCTCTTTGTGGGTTGCCCTGGCTTCCCACCTGCTCCAAGCGCTGCGATTAAAGCCCTCAAAAGGTCGGGGCTGGGTTACCTTCCATACCTGGTGGAACATCTCCTTCCATATGTACCTGCCCAAACCCTGAGGCCCTCCTCATCCCTGGATGTCTCCCTCACATGGGATGGCTACTGAACAGAACCTCCTCGGTGGTGGCCCCCAGTTGTGGAACGGCTCACGGAGGCTCACCTGGCATCTAAATTATGGTCTGTTTTGGTGCCAGATGAATGTTTTTAATCCTTGCAGGTATTTTAGTCCTTCAGTTGTTATTGTTTTAAATCAGTTATTGCCTTTTTAGAGCTTAACATTGCTTCTGCTTTATACCATTGTTTTCAACTGTTTTTTCAAAGTGAGGTATTTTATGGTTTTCACTGTTGTGAACATCGTAGAAAATTTTGACTCTTGGGCAGTATAGAAATGCCATAAAATTAATGAATACTTCAGCCATTTTGTATTGGTAATTCAAAGAAAGAGATCAACATGAAATGGCTCACCTGGGAAAAGATAAAGCACCTGAAATTTTACTAGCTTTGATAGAAAAGGAAGGGCAAAAGAGTAACTGTCTAGATTAATGGTGTTTTGGCTCCAGAGCTTCTTGGGGCAGATACAACCCTGCAGCAAATGGAATCCTTTGCCCTTCTTTGTTTCCTGTTCACTAACCCAGACTGTGATGTGCAGTTGTTTGGTCCCCGTGGAGAAATCGTGGATCCTGCGCCTTCTGGCGGTGGGGAGCTGCAAGCTGCTTGCAGGACGTTTATTGACGTGGCCCCACGGCTCCGAATAGCCATCCACGCTGTATCCGTGGCCCCGAGTGCGGACGTCCCCAGCCAAATGCACCACTCCGGTTATATCTTGGTGAGAGCCCCGCACAGATTTGTGGGTGCAGAATCATGGATTTACCAGAATACCATCAAGAATTCATCTAGCGCAGAGCTTGCCAAGGATTTGGGGTCAGTGGGAATTTTGAGGAGCTCGTGCGCATTCTCACAAAATGAATAAAACACCGAGTAACTAAAAAAAACTTTAAAAAACGAAATAGGGTTGGGCAAGGAGAGGCAGCTACAGGCCTGTGGGCATCGCACTGGCAGCCCCTTCTTGACGGCAGCATATCAAAAGCCTGGGGATTCCCCACTCATTGTCTGAATTCTTTTCAAAGCAGCTGTGTAAGGTAGGCCAGGGTCGTTCTCCTCATATCCCTTCTCCAAGATGTTTGCCTCTTGCATTGTAGGAATCCTTTTTAAGGGGGATGGGAGACCTTAAGTCAGGCTTCCTCAACCTGGAGCCCCCCAGATGCTTTGGAGCAGGAATGTGCAGACTTCAAGCTGGCTAGATAACCCAAAAATGTATTTTATTTATTAAATACATTTTATACCACCCAAGAGCCCATGTGCTGTCTGGATAGTTAACAAGATCAAAGACAAATGCAATGCAATAAAACAATAAAACCAGTAAAATCACTAAAACAACCAATAACAAACAAGGCCACCATTGCCATATTAAGTTAAAAACAGTGGCATAGTAATGATATAAAATACAATATTAAAACTAAAGGTTAACTATTAAAATATCTGGAAAATAAAAGGTTCTTACCTGGCAGCAGAAAGAGAAAAGGGTAGGTGTCAGGTGTACCTCTAGAAGAGTTGATTCCATAGGTGAAATCCTAAAGGCCCAAGTTCCAGCAAGTGGAAAAACAGTGGCTTGGAAAGAAGCAGACATGCATTTAGAATTAAGGGATTGGTGCCCCTCTCAGGGGAAGAATTGGTTTTTGGGGAGAGGTGGTTGACAGTCACAAGGGGTGCCTGACCGACTGACCTTGCACTTGGCAGATTCGTGATGTCAATGCCATGAAGACGGTGGTTTTCCGTGGAAATCAGCTGTTCTACTGGGAATCAACTGGGAGCCAGGCCGAAATTGAATTCAGCAAAGATTTTGCCAACGGTAGTTTCCGAGCAGAGTACTGGGTCGTCCTGCCGAAGTAAACAGCACCACAGAGATGTCAGAATTGCCGATGGGCTGACCAGCTGCAAAAAGAGGGCCTGGCAACCTGCATTTCTTCTGGCCGGGAGAATGCCGGGAGCTGCAGTCCAATAGATACGGAGGGTGCCAGACTGGAGAAGGCTTTTGTATTCTCCAGGGTTATATAGCCGGGGGATTTTGCAATGCACCGCTTGCCCTGCAAGTTGGAAAAGAGCAGAGGGGCAAATCTGGCAGCAAAATTCTGCTATGGGTTGGAGCCCAACGTATTATTAGCTTGAAAATAAACCATTTCACTATGTATCAATTGATCCTGAGTTTGCTGCTCTCTGCCCTTACCTGAGGGCAGGGCTCAAATGGTGTGTGTGTGTGTGTGTGTGTGTGTGTGTGTGTGTGTGTGTGAAATTTCAGGCAAATTGATTCCTCTCGTCATGTGTTTGTTTCCCAGATCCTGGGGCTTTAAAACGTATCACAGCCTTCCCAGAATGACACAAAGGCAGAATGTTGCCCAGTGTTGATAAATCCATGTAGCCTGCATACAGCTCTCACAAAAACCAGAAGTTGAACATAAGTATAACATCCCCAAATCTATTTTAGGGTGATATTTTTATCAGGCCATCCACCCAAATATGCAAACTTTTGAGATCTATGGAAAGCGTGCAAGGTTTGGGATGATTTTCTGGTTGCCTTGATCATGGTATTATAGTATTATCTATAGTCTCCTTCATGGACCACTGCCTTGCCGTGACGAAGGGGCTTGCATAGCTCAATGAAGCTCTGAGCTGTGCCGTGCAGGCCACCCAAGATGGACAGTCATAGCAGAGAGCTCTGACAAAACGTGATCCACTGGAGAAGGAAATGGCACCCACTCCAGTCTCTTTGCCATGAAAACCCCATGGACAGTACCAAAAGACAAAGAGATACGAGGCCGGAAGTTGAGCCCCTCAGGTCGGAAGGTGTCCCATGTGCTACTGGGGAAGAGCGGAGGGCTAGTACTAGTAGCGCCAGAAAGAATGAAGCGACTGGTCAAAGCCGAAGGGGCACTCAGTCTCAGATGTATCTGGTGGTGAAAGGAGAGCCCGATGCTGTAAAGATCTATACTCCATAGGAACCTGGAATGTAAGATCCATGAATCAAGGCAAGCTGGATGTGGTCAAACGAGATGACAAGCCTGAACATCGACATCTTGGGAATCAGTGAACTAAAATGGACGGGAATGGGTGAATTTAATTCAGATGACCATCGGGTATACTATTGCGGGCAAGAATCCCTCAGAAGAAATGGAGTAGCCTTCATAGTCAATAAAAGAGTAGGAAAAGCAGTACTGGGATACAATCTCCAAAATGACAGAATGATCTCAGTTCTGGCAAACCTTTCAACATCACAGTAGTCCAATCTATGCCCCAACCACTGGTGCTGAAGAGGCTGAAGTTGACTGGTTCTATGAAGGCCTACAACACCTTCTAGAATTAACACCCAAAAATGATGTCCTTATCCTCATGGGGGATTGGAATGCTAAAGCAGGAAGCCAAAAGATAACTGAAATAACAAGCAAGTTTGGCCTTGGAGTACAAAATGAAGCAGGGCACAGGCTGGTAGAATTTTGTGAAGAGAATATGATGGTCATAGCAAACACTCTTTTCCAACAACCCAAGAGACGACTCTACACATGGACATCACCAGACGGTCAACACAGAAGTCAGACTGACTATGTGCTCTGCAGCCAAAGATGGAGAAGCTTTATACAGTCAGTAAAAACTAGACCAGGAGCTGACTGTGGCTCAGATCATGAGATTCTTGTTGCAAAATTTAGGCTTAAATTGAAGAAAGTAGAGAAAAGCACTAGGCCACTCAGGTATGACCTAAATCATATCCCTGATGAATATACAGTAGAGATGACAAATACATTTAAGGAATTAGATCTGATAGACAGAGTGCCTAAAGAACTATGGACGGAGGTTCGCAACATTGTACAAGAGGTAGCAACTAAAACCATCCCAAAGAAAAAGAAATGCAAGAAAGCAAAATAGCTGTCTGAGGAAGCTTTACAAATAGCTGAGGAAAGAAGTGAAGCAAAAGGAAGGAAGGAAGGAAGAGAAAGATACATCCAACTGAATGCAGAATTCCAGATAATAGCTAGAAGAGATAAGAACGCCTTCTTAAATGAACAGTGCAAAGAAATAGAAGAAAACAATAGAATAGGGAGGACCAGAGATCTCTTCAAGAAAATTGGAGATATGAAGGGAATGTTTCATGCAAAGATGGGCATGATAAAGGACCAAAATGGCAGGGACCTAACAGAGGCAGAAGAGATTAAGAAGAGGTGGCAAGATTACACAGAAGAACTGTACAGAAGAAGCTTAACATCCCTGATAACCACAATGGGGTGGTCACTGACCTCGAGCCAGACATCCTGGAATGTGAAGTCAAATGGGCCTTAGGAAGTCTGAGCAACAACAAAGCTAGTGGAGGTGACAGCATTCCAGCTGAGCTATTCAAAATCTTAAAAGACGATGCAGTAAAAGTGCTACACTTGATATGCCAGCAAATTTGGAAAACTCAGCAGTGGCCACAGGATTGGAAAAGGTCAGTTTACATTCCGATCCCAAAGAAGGGCAATGCCAAAGAATGTTCAAACTACCGCACCACTGCACTCAGTTCACATGCTAGCAAAGTTATGCTCAAAATCCTACAAGCTAGGCTCCAGCAGTACGTGGACCAAGAAATACCAGAAGTACAGGCAAGATTTCGAAGAGGGAGAGGAATTAGAGATCAAATTGCCAACATATGCTGGATCATGGAGAAAGCTAGGGAGTTCCAGAAAAACATCTGCTTCATTGACTACACTAAAGCCTTTGATTGTGTGGATCACAACAAATTGTGGCAAGTTCTTAAAGAGATGGGAGTATCAGACCACCTTATTTGTCTCTTGAGAAACCTATATGCGGGTCAAGAAGCAACAGTGAGAACTGAACACAGAACCACTGATTGGTTCAAAATTGAGAAAGGAGTTCGGCAAGGCTGTATACTGTCGCCCTGCCTATTTAACTTATATGCAGAGCACATCATGAGAAAAGTGGGGCTAGATGAATCACCAGTTGGAATTAAGATTGCTGGGAGAAATATCAACAACCTCAGATATGCAGATGATACCACTCTTATGGCAGAAAGTGAAGAGGAACTAAAGAGCCTCTTGATGTAGGTGAAGGAGGAGAGCGCAAAAGTTGGCTTGAAACTAAGATCATGGCATCTGGTCCTCTCACTTCCAGGCAAATAGATGGGGAAGAAATGGAGGGAGTGACAGATTTTATTTTCCTGGGCTCCAAGATCACCGCACACGGGGACTGCAGCCAAGAAATTAAAAGATGCTTGCTCCTGGGGAGGAAAGCTATGGCAAACCTAGACAGCATAATAAAGAGCAGAGACATCACCCTGCCAACAAAAGTGCATATAGTCAAGGCTATGGTTTTCCCAGTTGCAATGTATGGCTGTGAAAGCTGGACCATAAGGAAGGCTGAGCGCCGAAGAATTGAGGCCTTTGAATTGTGGTGCTGGAGGAGACTCCTGCGAGTCCCTTGGACAACAAGGTGATCAAACCAGTCAGTCCGAGAGGAGATCAACCCTGACTGCTCTTTAGAAGGCCAGATACTGAAGATGAAACTCAAATACTTTGGCCACCTAATGAGAAGGAAGGACCCCCTGGAGAAGAGTCTAATGCTGGGAACAATAGATGGCAAAAGAAGAAGGGACGGCAGAGGAGGAGGTGGCTGGATGGAGTCACTGAAGCAGTTGGTCTGAGATTGAGTGAACTTCGGAGGATGGTGGAGGACAGGAAGGCCTGGAGGAATGTTGTCCATGGGGTCACAATGGGTCGGACACGACTTCACAACAACAACATTATCTATGGTATAAATAATGGTATTATAAGGTTGCCTTGCCTTAACGGTATTATAATAATTATTATCTATTTGATTTCTGTTCCAGCTTTCTGCCAAGGGACTGGCACTCAGGGTGGCTGGATAAGACCTCATATTTAAAATACATAATTGCTAAAGCATCATAATACACCCTATTATACATCTAAACCCTACACACATTTAGACAGAAAAAGATTCCATAACTCCCAGCATTTTCCAGCCAGCATATTCTGCCTAGAATGCCTTGGACCACACCCCATGGAGACAATTCCATGCAGAATTATGCTTATTAGTCAAAGTTCATCCCCACCCCACAATTGTGCAAGCTTTTCAGATCATCAGATCCTTTTATTAGGCACATCTTGCCTGATGAAGAAATCCGGGGACCTCAAAAATTTGCACATTTTTCTTTGATCACATGTAAGTTGGCCTAAAGGCATGGCACTGCACGGATCCTGCACTGGATTGCCTCCTTAGGGTGAAGTCCTCGCAATGCCTGGAGTTGGAGGGCTTTTTCCTGTCTAAACGCCCATAGCATTGCACCGTAAATGCTATTTCTAAACAATCCATCCTCATGACAAGGATAACAGCATCCAAGCCAAAAGACCGGCTTACACACCACTGGACCTGCTTGCGTAAAAACAAAATAAAGATTCCAAGATTTTAAAACTCAATGGATGTCAGGCGGTACACTCCCTCCATGGGAGGGGACCCAGAATGCCCCGCGATGGGAGCAGTGGAGGAAGAAACAGGGGCTCCGAGCGGGCGGGGCTCTCTCTCCATTGTCAGCCTGTACTGCATGGCGAGGCACAGGTGGGGGCGGGGCCGTGACTGCGCCCGAAGATGCCTTGAGGACTAGGATCGTGCCCTGTTCTGCGGGCGTCAGGTGGCAAGCACGGAAAAGGGGAAGGGCCTCGTGTTTTCGGCTGGGATTTTGGCTCCTGATCTCCACGGGGGCAGGATGACTCCCCAGGAAGAGCCGGGAGAGCCAGCTGCAGCTGCTGCCCCAGCTTCCACGGATGATGACGGCATGACCTGGTGGTACAAATGGCTGTGCAGGCTGGCAGGCGTCATCGGGGGCATCTGTGAGTATGTTCTCCCACCCCGCAACCTCTCCAAACAGATCCTTCCACCGGGAGCGGGGGGGGGGGGGGGCGGATCGCGGCGCCCAAGTTGTCCCTGCCGGTGGACTTGCTTTTCTCTGATGTCCCCTCTTTAAAAGGCTGTTCGAGGACCAGCCCCCCTTCAAAGGTGCCCCCCCTGCAAAAAAGTAGAAGCGGCAGTTCATCTGGTTTGCAGAATGTTAAAGACAGGATGCTAAGCTGCCTTTTGATGATCTGCACCCTAAAAAAGGGGGTGGCAAAGACGGAACTGGAGAGCGCCTCAGCGGGTGCAAGCCCAGAAGAGAAACTTCTCTTCCTCGGAGAAGCTGCCCAGCCTCCTTCCGGTCTGAAAATAGAGCACTGCGAGAACCGCCCACCCCGAACAACAGACCGATCGGGCAGGCACGCGGGTCACCTGGCCACACGCTTCTCCCCTGCACCCGAGGCTCCACGGCGCTCGCATCCTGCTCCCCAAATGGGCATCACTGCTTATAAACTCACGTGCAGCGAACTTGCCCGCTCTGAATAAATACTTGATCTCTTCTACTTCCCCTGTTCGAGTGCTGATCTCCCCCCCCCCCCACACACACACCATCCACATGGAAGGAGGGAACCAGAGGCTTGGGGGAACCCAGGGGTTGCAGAACTATCAACCCCCCCCGCCACACACCCACACACACCAAAAAACTACAACAAACCCCTTTAGAAAAGAATCCCTAAAACAGAGTGGTACCCTGGTGTGGACTGAAGAAAAGTGGGGAGGCGGAATGGAGCTTCCGGAAAACAGGAGAGGAAGTTCTCCAAAGAGCAACCATTGGTCGCAGGCTTGGTTTAAATAGCTTATTCTTTGATGTGTTTATGTTCCAATTTAGGGTTTCTTTTTGGAGGCGATGTTAATATTTAAAAGCATGTTTTGCAAAAGCTGACCAAGTCTGGGACAATATGGAGAAGCTTGCTTGCAACTCAGATGTGGGCCCTTCCACAAGCAGCTCTCAATGTGCGCCAATCGCCATTCAATGCCTTGGGCCCTGACGGAAAGCGATTTCCTGCTCGTTTTCCAGCGGAGCTGATAACAGTTGTGGACTTTGATACAGGAGTTCCTCTTGTGTCAACTCTTTGGGTAACGCTTTCGTCCTGCTGTTAGTTCAGCTCCTTCTTCCATTCTGCAATATGGGGAACTGCAGGGAATCGGCCTGAAAGGCTGTTGGAGGCCAAACAGCCCGAAGCTCATCAAACCACCATGGAATCAACGACTGGGGAAAGGGTGTGGAGGCTTGTCACTGTGGGAAACCCTGAAAGACCCGGTTTTGCCGTGAGGCCAACTGGATTTTGCTGGGACTCGGGAGACCCGGGTTCTGGTCCCGACTTGGCACAAAGCTCCCTGGGTGTCTTTGGGCCAGTCACAGACTCTCGACCTAACCTACTTTACAGGGTTGCCGTGAGGATAAACGTGGAAGGCAGGCAGATTCTGCAAACTGTTTTGGCTTCTGTGCAGGAAACAACGCAGAATAGAAATATGAGGAATCAAAATAATGTGTGGGGTGGCCCTTCAGCGAAGGAGAGAGCTGAATGCAGAATGTCGGCAATTCATGTTAGAGCTGGGCTTTCTCTTGCCGCTGTTGGACTCTGGTCTTAACGGTGGTCTTACTGGGCTTGCTTCTCTTGATGATCCTTCGGTCACCTTGAAATGTGCCAGACCAGCCCTGCTGCATCTGGGAGGGGCCCCAGACGTTTGCCCTAAATTCCTTTCCCAGTGGCGCCACAAAGCAGCAAGTCCACTAGAGCACGAAGGTAACTTTAGACTCTGGACCTAATGTTTATATGCCTCCTCCCTGTCGCTTTCTTCAAATGGTCTTACAGGACGGGAGCCCCTTCTATGTCCTTGCACCAAAATGTGGGGAGCTGGCCCTGCTGCATTTGGGAGGGAAGGGCCATCTCGCTTATCCTGCTCAGAAGGGCTCAGGGCCTCTGCCCCAGATGCCTGCCACAACGGTGCCACTGCCATTGCATGTCTCTTGAATGCTGATCCTGCAATGCAACGCCCACACAGTGTCACTGGGAGGCTATTTTTGTGGTCTCCCCACGCTGTACTCCCTGCTGTAAGGTGATGCTGTTGGTGGCCAGGACAGTTCCAGGCAGACTCATGGAGGAACCAAGTACTGGGCTTAAGTGCGTTGCTGCCCATCCTTTTTCAGGCCTGGGCAGCAGGTGCAGATGCTGAGGGCAAGTGATTTCCCAGGGTTATATGATGCTTGGAGAGACTTGTCTGAATCCTGTTCCTTAACTGTAAAGGCTCCCAGAGGAGTTCGTATGCAGTCAGTAAGATGGCCTTGCCTGAAGGCATATGATCCAAAATAATGCAGCACACAAGAAAAAGGCGATGGGGAGGGCAGAGGAAAAAAAACGAAGCAGGCTTCCCTGTAGTGCTTGTAGTTTCACCCTCTCGTCTCCCTCTGTACACTCTGATGAAATGGGTGTTGGGTGCACTGCCATGGAGGCCTACCTTGCCGGTGGGTCGCCTGGCCTCACTTTGCCCTTTGCTTCAACCGTGAGGCAGGCGGTTGCACATGTGGACCTAGACAGGCTTGTTATCATGGGGACCTGTGCCCAGACATTGCCTCTCACTCACCCCCTTGCTTCTCTCTGTCTGTTGTCCTTTTTTTTTTTTTTTTTTTGGCAAATATGTCCTTTCAGCAGGACCAATGGGAATAATTAGGAATAGTTGTTTGGATTGGAAGCCTTTAAGAGAGCGGAACAGTGTGCTGGAAGGATCCCGAACTTTTTCCAAATCCAGAGCTTCCTTTTTCAGTGGCTCCTCCCCACCCCCATGGGTGCCTTTGCGCTGGCATTTATTGTCAGCTCAGCGGAGAGGTCAGTCTGTCTCGTGAGCGGATCCCCGAGCCACCTCTGTAATGCTGGGATTAAGTTACCTGCTGACGAGTGCTAAAGGCAGTGATGTCGTATCCGATGCGGAAGACCTTGTTGCAAGTTTAATGAGCTCCGGATGAAGCGGCGCTCGCAGGACCGCCCAGGGCAAAGCCGTCGGGCAAGCTCCTTCCCTCATTATGGAGCCGAGGCCGGCTCTGTGAGCCGTTTCTGGACTTTGTGTGGATTGAGGGATGCACTCATATTTTCACTTTTTATATTTATAGCCCGCCTTTTTTCCTTCGTGGAACCCAATGGGGCTTACCTAATCCTCTTCTTATCCTCACAACACCCCTGAGAGGTAGGTTAGGCCGAGTGTTCATGATGACTGGCCCAAAACCACCCAGTGAAATTCATGGCCAAGCAGGGGCCTGATCCCAGATTTCCTGAGACCCAGTCCAGCACTAACAGTTGCACTATACTGTCTCTCAGTTGCCAACTCTTTCAGCTGGTCCTGCTCTTCTGACTTTCCAAGCAGCCTGAAAATGGAGAAATCCTTCGGTTAATTTTCAGGGGTCCCCTTCCCAAGGAAGTCAGGTAGTTGCTGCAAGAAAGAAGGTTTTCTCGGTAGTGGCCCCCATCTTCAGAGACAAATTCCCCAAAGAGGTTTGCCTGACACTTACACAAAAGCCCAAGATAGCTTGCATGGTTGTCGTCCTCTGCTCTTTATCCTCACAGCATCCCTGTGAGGTGGGCCAAGCTGCAAGGCCACGGCCGCTGCCTGTGAGCGGGACCTTGAGACCCTTTGCATGTGGCTCGGCCAGGGAGGCTGGCTGGCATCCTGGACGGCTGAGTGCAGGGCGATCTTTGTCTCGGTGCTGGCAAACAGAGGCGCCACGCCGCGTGCAGCGTTTTCACATCTCCCTCTCTAACCCCTTGCAGCCTGTGCCTTCTCGGGCCTCTGGATGTGCGTGACCATCCACCCCCTCAACATAGCGGCAGGCGTCTGGATGATGTAAGTGCAACTCCGTTCCCTTGCGGGTGGCCGGAGGGCCGGATCCTAGAACCGAGGGAAGGGCCCCACTGGGAGTGCGACAGCTTACAAACCTGCTCAGAAGTAACCCGGCCAAGTCTGAAACAAGCAGGCCCAGTGTTCCCAGCAGTGATTTCCGATAACGTCAGATAACGTCCCGAGCAGCCAGCCTGGACGTGTCTTGCTCAGGAGTAAGGATGAGCAGCAAGCCAACTTCGGAGCTAGCCGGACAAGGCCTCTGTGTGCGTACTCACAAAAGCAGGATTGAGGCGCTCCGTACCGCTCCCGGGCTAGGGAGGTGCAGATTTTGTTAAATCTGGTCTGTTTTGGAGATCTTTAGGTTTCTTTTTTTCCAGTGCCTGCTCCTTGATGGGGTTGGATATTGGATATTTCTTAGCAGAAAGTTGTTCCACTTGTGCTAATGTGCATTGGCATCACTGAAAGTACATTTGTCAATGTGCATGCATGCAAGCCGCCTGCACCACCATGACTGATGAAATATGGCCTGCAAATCCAGGGGATCCACACGCTCTGGAAACTCATCCGAACACACTTCATTCTCCTGCAGGTTTCTCCAACATACCTACACCATGCCCTGCACGCTCTCTTGCAGGAAAAGTGGCACTGGGAGCTGGTGTGCCAACTGTGGCTCTGTCAGGAGAGCAGGATATTGTTTCAGTAATTCATGCTGTGGTTACATCTGGCTTGACTACTGTGACACGCTGTCTGCAGGGCTGCCCTTGAAGACTGCTTGGAAACTTCCGCAGTGCAGAGCACAGCGGCCTGGATATTGGTGGAGGCTGGGCGGCAGCAACACTCTGCCAGTGCCATTAGTTGCCCTCATGTTTTCCAGCCCCATTTGCTGTGGTTTGTGTTTTTCTTAATACAATATTCCACTTTGTTATTTCCTGCTTTTGCACATGGCTAACATCCGGCCACCACAGATAGAATGGTGTCTTAAAAGGGCGGCAGATTACCGCTGCGCACGGCAGGGTCGCCCACGTGGGGTTTCTCCACATGTGATTGTAGGTTGCGGCACCATTTGCACGTCATGGCGCTGCTTCTTATTTTGCATGGCGATGTGGTGTCTCTTCATGAACCACTTCAGCTATTGGGTGGTGTTGAAATGAGCAATACCGTCATTGCGGTCCCCTGCTGCAGGCGGGATGGGTCCTCTCGGGTGTCTCTGAGCCAGGTGTCTCTTTCCCGAAAGGTTGAACGCCTTCGTCCTCATTCTGTGCGAGGCCCCGTTTTGCTGCCAGTTCGTCGAGTTTGCGAACGTCATATCGGCGAGGGCAGACAAGCTCCGTCCATGGCAGAAGGCAGCCTTCTACTGCGGGTAAGGGTGCCTTGGAGGCGCAGCTGAAAAGCTGGAGGTTTTTGTGAGCCCTCTTGCTGCGGGATGGCTCCAGGCCAGAAAGGAAATGGCCACAGCGCAAGCCAGTTTACCAACACAGTGGTGATGAATGCTTTTAAGGATGTATTCATCAGTATGCCAAGGGTGCCGCTGGAAACAGAACTGGGTTTTGCAAAGGCATGAATGGTATAATGAAATATGGAACATGGTAATTAATGATAAACTGACGACAGAAATAAAAATTAAAAGAGGGTTGATGAAAGCAAATAAATATAATGAAATCTGGGAAGATTTTGTAAAAGCGGTACTGATAGAAGGCAAAGGCTGTAAACCCAGTCAAGATTATATGAACTTCTGGAGGGGATATGGAAATAATTGAAGTACATTATATATTATTAATTGTTATAGTATGTGAATGGTGGTAGCATTGGTCTCTGGGGTGGTGGGGGCACTTTATCATTTACTTTTTATGATTGTGTTTTTGTTATGTTAAATTATTCTTATGATGTATTGTATTTATGGTTGGGTTTTTTTCTCTTAAAATAAAAAATGGGGGGGAGGAAAAAAAAGTATGCCAAGGGTGTCATCTGGTGTCACTGCCTACAACCCTTCAAATTTGGGCGCTGGTGGGCATCCGATGGAGAGCAGAAGGAATGGGGAGGTGAGTGAATGTAGGAAGTGGTTTGTGTTGCTGCCTCCTGGCTGGATTTCGCTTGAGCATCACTGCCGCCGTCTGCTCAAGGACAGGTATTTTGGGAGGCACTTCTTCCTGGGGTCGCCATCGGCAAGAGATGAGTTGAAGGCACAGGGTAACGACTGCAGACAAGCCATGAATTCCAGGGACCGCACAAAAAGGGGTGGGCTGCCTCCCCCCGTTCCACTCCGCATGCATTTTGGGAACAGCCGGGGAACACCGTGTTCTCAGGATGCAAAATTCAGCGGCAGACTCTGTCTGGGCATGGTCCGTAGAAACAGGGTGAGTCAGACGTGGCCTCCCGGGCCATCTAGTCTGGCCCCCGGCTCCAGCCGGCTCCGCTCACGACACGCCCACCTTGTCATCTTTGGGTCCTCCCTGCCTTGGCATTGTGCAGTCTCCTAGGGATGACCCCCTTCTCGCTCTCCTCTCCTTTCCCCAGAATGGCTGTGTTCCCCGTTATTCTGAGCCTGACGCTGACAACCTTGCTTGGCAATGCCATCGCCTTTGCGACGGGGGTGCTCTACGGACTCTCAGCACTGGGCAAAAAGTAAGACAGACCACTACTTCCAGCTAAGCATCTTTGCCCCGAGTGTGATTATGCTCGCAAACAGGGATATATGGATTTTGTTAAATCCATTCTGTTTCTTGCACTGTCAGCCATCTTTCATTCTGCCATCTGCTCCCTAACAGAGCCAGATTTTTATTTATTTCACTGTATTGTATTTTATTACATTTATATCCCAGTTTCTTCTCCTGCAAGGAACCAAAGGCAGTTTACCGAATCGACCCACTCCTCTCCATTTTATCTTCATAACAGCCCTGTGAGGTAGGCTAGGCCAAGAGTCTGTGACTGGCCCAAAGTCACGGAGTGGGATTCATGGTCAAGTAAGGACTAGAAATTGGTTCTTCCAAGTAGCAGTCCAACACTCTGACTGCCACACTACACTGGCTCTCGTATAAGTGCAAGAATTTTGTTCCACTTGTGCTAATGTGTGCTATTGCACCAATTAACTAATGTGGGTTAGCACATTTGTCCAGGTATGAAAGTGCAGATTAGTACCAAAGTGGTCCCAGATTCTGACTTGGCAGCTTCCAACATTTCCGTTTCAATCAGCCTTTTATTCAGAACATGAGGACTAGAGTCATGCTTCATTTGCAAGGAAGCACCATAGCTTCAAAGTGGAGCAGATGCGTTCCCACGCCTTAATTGGACTCCGTGGCTTGTGTCACTGCATCTCAAGGCTGCATCTCAAAGCTGTTGTTGCCTTTGCAGGGGGGACGCCATCACTTACGCAAGGATGCAGCAGCTGCAGCGGAAGCAAACCAGTGAAGACGGGACAGTGGGGATGATGGAAGCCCAGGCTGTGTGACGCCCTCTCCCTCGGAGTCAAAGCTACTCATTTTAGAGCCAGGTGCTCCTCCTCCTTGATGTCAAAGAAAGCAAACTGGTTCAAATGGTTCCGACTCCTTCAAAACTCCTTTAAAATTCCTTTCAAAACTGAAAGAAGTTACAGGAGCACTGAAAGGAAGCATCTCCCTGCAACAACTTTTTGATTTTTTAAACTAAATTAATTCAACACTGTGAATCTTTCATGCTGCAGCTTTTCAGTGCCTGGGTTTTAAAGCAGCCCTCGCTCCGTTCTCAGGTCAGACTGCAAACCTCTGGTGCAGTTTTTTTGGGCTTGGTACGAAAAGGTCACTGGATGCTGTATTCTAACTACTGACTTCTATCCAGGGCGTGGGATGTGGGGGTGGAACTGTTTTGAAAACTGGAGAAAAAGGCACCAAACCCATTTCGTCTTCTAGAGTCATCGAGTGAATGTTTGAAGAACTCTTAGTGCTGTGAACTTTGCCGAGGATTTGGAGCTATCGGTGTCTTTCTCCCCACACTCCCACCACTCCGAAGGATTTGTGTCTGTCTGTCCTTCCTGCAAATTGCAGTGCCCCTTTCTCAGAGATAGTTTTTTAATGGCATTCTTTCTGAATATTAGAAGTTTTTTACAACTCGTGTGCTGATTTTGGAAATGCGTTTTTCTTAAAGAGGAAAAAGAGCTTGAAGATCTCGGCTTTTTCTGTGTGGCTCTGCCTTCTTCTAGATTTCTTTAGCAAGAGCGGCCATGAAGGAGAAAAAGGACCAGGAAAGAGCAGGAAAGAAAGGACTTTTTGTAGGAATCTTTGAGGCTCACTCTGGAAGGGGAGAAAGGGCTGGAGTATGTCCTTAAGCCAGCAAAACTGCTATTTTCACTTTGCACGGGCCACCAAAGAAGCCAAGAAGTATTACAAAATGATTCTTGGTTTTCGCACACCCTGGCTCCCCCACCTCACAAATTCTGCAGCTGCAAGCGTGAAGCTCCTTTGCTCCCATATAGCACAAAAACACGGCTTCCGTAATGTAGATCAAGAAAGACTTCCAAAGGAATAATAATGGCAGAAGCCAATTATTCTGTTGAAATGAAGAAAGGCTGGGGTAACCAGGATGGCTTTCTGTATGTGGAAGGACTGGGAATATCTGACAGATCTGTGATTCATCATGAATTCCTCAGCTCAGAGTCCTTTGATCGCAAGGGTGTCTTTGCTCCAGTTGGTGGCTTTCAAGCATCTGGTTAAAACTGAAGTCTTCTCAGCTCTGCCTTAATGGCACTTGCTAGGCATATTTTCTGTTGTTAGGTTAGCTGTATTTTTGTTGTTGATTTTTATACCTGGTGGAAAACTTCCTTTCCCCAGGAACTTACAACCTAAGCCTCCTCTGTCCAGGCATTTCAGTGAGCAGCTGTCTTGGTTTGCATGGAATGACAACCATGCACACGAGTGATTGTTGGATCTGTGGGTTGTGATTCTGTATGAACCCCAGAATGGTTGTTAACCATGAAAACCTAGGAGGAAAAGCATGGTGGTTGGGTTGTGGACTCCGGGTTGTTCATGGTTAACAGCCTTTGAGTAAACTCTGGTATCTTATTCTCCCTATTTATACTGTGGGTTTATATTTAATTCGTTGTGACTTCCCCCTGCTTGTGGATTTGCTTTGAGGGGTGTAATAATGTATTTCTATTTTCCCTGGATTTTATATTTAAGACTGCTGCAGTGGGGAATCTGTTCTCTTTGGATGTGCAACACTCACATCCTCTGTTGAAAGGGCAAAGGGTAGGATTAGGGCTCTCCCTTTCAGAGCAAGGGATATTTCTGGAAGTAACTCACCCTCGTCCCTGACATTTCGCTGCAGAATCACGAGGGGCTTAGTGTTGGTCTCCCCTCTTTTGATAGTGTCTTTCAGGTAAGACAATCGTATCTCAAGGGCAACCAGTTTTCCCCAGAAGGGTCCTGCCTGCCTTGGAAATTCTGAATTCTGTGCTAGGAAAGGGGGGAATGTGTTGCATCCACGTTTTTGTGTGTGGTGGGCGTATCTGGTTCCATTGCTTGGTCACTGAAGGAACGGGACTTTTGGTCTTCCATTTGCAAGGAAGTTCTTCCTGTTCTGAAAGGCCGGGAGGCAGGAAAGGATGCCCGGAAACAGGAGCCTGTCCTTCCACACCCTTTCAGACTATGGGCGGAGAAGTCAGACACGGGGCTGCTGCTGCCCCCTCGGGGCTGATGCCAGGGGCTGGCACTTGGGAGACCCATACCCAGGCATGGACCCAGCACTAATCCCGAGCCCGAGGCCCTGCTCTTCCTGCCCGCTGCATCTGCCTGTTCGCTGGTCCTCTGCTCGGTGTCTGAACTGGGGCTAGAGGGAAGGGAATACTCCCAACAGAGCGTGTTCAGGGCTGCGGTGGAAGCAGCGAGGGGGTGGGCCCCCGGAGGGAGCCTTGTTCTGGGGCCCACCATCCCTTGAGTCACCACTGCCCTGACTTTCCCAAGGAGGCCCGGTGCAGCACTGTGGGCAGTGTGGCTGATGAGCACAAGCCCCTGCTTCTCCTTTCTCTCGGGTACCTGTATATGCCTATGCAGAGCGAGAGAAAGCAGGAGAACGACTTGCAAAAATGTAAGGCAAATGACATACAGAAAGTCATGCGGAAATGCCTGTAAGGTTACATGCAAGCTTAAAACAAAACTGAAGAAACCATTCTCAGCATTAAGGTCAAACTTAAGTCCTTAAGACCAGAAAACTGAGCAATGGAAGGAAATGGAGATGGGCCGACTCATCTGTTCCCAGTTACACGTAGCAACCGGATTTGATCTCGCCTGGACCGATGTGCTATTTTCTTCTCTTTAAAAAGAGCTGAATGGATTGATTCTTCTGTTTGCTGGTAGAGACTCAAGTGAAATGGCAGATGGTGTCGTACGGGGGTAGAATTTCCAAACACTTGTTTGTTGAAGGAATATGGAATGCTCTTTTGGGGCAGTGTGACAGAACCGCGCATGGTCTTGGCCTGGGTTAGATCAGGGCTTGCGGCTTTAAACTTGGGCTCCTAATGTGCTGTTAGTGCTTGGGAAGAAGAGCTTTCACACCATGCCTTAGGAGTCTCCGGTTTGACGGTGCTTCTGCCACGGGAGACGGTTGAACTGTGGACAGCCAGTTCTTATTTCATGTGGAAATGCCCAAACGGCTCCTCTTTTGTGTATGCTGTGAATAAAAAGACCGTTCTACCTCTGGTAATAAGTTTGTGGTTTCCAAAACTGTTTTAGGACTTTCCTTTGGAGAGCGTGTGCGTGCGTGTGATGTGCAAATAGAAGAGAGGTGCACATGTAATGGGGCTGCGGATGAAAAGACCTGCCCCCTCGGAACTGCACAGATCTTCACGGATCTACGTCATCTTCAGCTTTCCCACAGTGTGTGTGCAGGATTTGACACCTGCAATTTGACGAACATTTTTTAAAATCACCCCAGCTGAGTTTCCAGCTGCCCTGTTGGCAGAGAATTCCTTGGAAGCGTGTGCAATGGAGAGGATAAATGTTTCAAAGTGAAAAGGAGAATTTCTAAGGAAATCAGATGGAAGCAGAGCACCGGGCTAGACAGAGAGATGGGGGGGGCTCCCCTCCCACCTCCGACATGACGAAACTAAGCCCCCGGTCGTCCTGATAGTTCCCACTCCACTGCCCTGCAAATTAATTTCTTTCAGATCCTCGAAACCACTTGCCCTTCTCGATTCCTTTTCCCCCAAACATCTATTTTTCTCTCAGATCTGCTGAAGTGCACTAACTTCAACAAGAATTCTGCATCTAGGAAGCTTATTTCCCCACAGTTTGAACATTTCTCCTCCCAAAGTATGTATTTCCGCAGTTCCTCTCACCCTGAAAAATTAAAAAAAATATTTCCTCCACCATCACACAACTCCTGTCTCCAGTCATTTCAGGGGTGTTAAGTCACTTTCAACCTGAGAGCCAACTTCAATTTTGGGAAAGCTCTTTGGAGGGTGAGGCGGGCATGTCCCAGGGGTGGATAGATCCAAAAAAATGCAACTAAAGCCTATATTATTGTCAGTAACTCTGCCTTAGGAGAGCAATTTCGACCTTTTCAAATTTAAGAAGCCCCCAAATGGTCTGTGAGCTGGGAAAGGTGCGTGGACTTCTGCAGACACTCAGGGAGCCGTGAGCCTCAATGTCCACACCCCTGGCTTTGGCCATGCACCCAGCACACTCAGTCTGCCACCAGTGTGAGGAGAATAAAAACCCCAAGACATTATTTAAAATGGCACTAGTCCACATGGAGGCAAAGCTCCCTGCCAATGCCAGAAAAAGTCAGCCTGCTTGCACACTTCGCCTACTGCTATGCTGTTATTTTGGCCCCTCCCCCTTTCCTTTTTGTCCCACCCACCACAGGAATGTAGACCCTGAGAAATTATTGGAAATAAAATCCAGCCCTCGAGCTGAAAAACGGTTCTGGATCCCTGGTGAAATGAACGCTGCTTGACACTCGTACGGTGCCTTATGTGGTTCAAAGCTCTTTGTATTTATTTTATTCACAACCCTTGCAACAACCTGACAAGGTAGGTCAGCGCTACTGTTTCCATACTGCAGATCGAGAGTGAGGGACACCTAAGCAGTTCACGGCAGACACGAGAACCAACCAAAGATTACTTGGCTTGTCCTTCCAATTCTGCGGCTGCTACAAATGGACATCTGCCAAGGGGCATCTCATGCTTTACCTCTGCGTTTCCCAAAGGGGTGAGGTCTCTGCTTGCAGAAGAGGTCAACAGGGATTACTCACAAAAGCTTCACTTGTCTGAATGTGAACTTTTTCTGGGACCTCGCTGAGAACGCCGGAAGGACTCCAGAAACGATTTCCGTCCAGTTCGGAAGTACGATTCTATCCTCTCCAGAGACCTTCCTTTGGTTTCCGGAATGAGGTAAGTGAAGATCAGGTTCATCACGCAGATGATGCTGAAGAAAAAGAAGGGCACGTCCAGGCCGTACTTTTCCTGATGAAATGAAACAAGCCATCCGTAAGACAGGACAAAAAGTAAGTGGAAAATGAAGATTAATTTCATGAGCACATGACGACATCTTTTGGATGAATGTAAAAGTCTATTTTCTAGAGCTTGCTAGATAATTCAGTATATGGGGGATTTGGGTCTTGTCTTTGGCTTCTCCCATCACTGCAAGGCAACATCCGAACGCTGCCACAAAGTGGCGTGTAATCCTTGGGTTGAAATGGCTTTGCTCTCAGCTTGTCCAGGAAAATTCCAGTTGCCGGGAGAAAGCTCTGCAGTTGGGACATCTGTTTGTGTCCATGAGCATGCTCCGGGCAGACCACATTGGCTTGGCTTACCTTAACCAACAAGAAGACTTTTGTCAGGACAAAGGCGGTCACCCAGCTCACGAGCACGCACAGCCCAGACACTATCCCCCGGGTCTTCAGCGGGAGAACCTCAGCCATCAGCAGCCAGGTGATGGGGCCCCAACCCATGGCATAACCTAGAGACGGGAAAAGCCAAGGCCTGGAGGGTGAACACGGGCACATTTGGACATGGACTCCTCTGAGCACAGAAGTTCCAATCCCGCCTTCTCTGGATGCCACAAAAACAGCATAATATCTCCTCACGAGGAGATGTGCTCCGGCTCGTGCTACTCCTGGACAATCCGGCTTGCTCATTTTTGCCCCTTGTCTGTCTCTCTCATGGCATTCTTGGGTGTGGGTCAAAACTATCAGCTGCATTTTCCAAGTGTGGTTGTGTTACAGACATTTTTCAAGTAGGTGAAGCAATATATACATCTGTATGGTGGCGGTAGGGCCTGCCAAACCTGCCAAACCTCCTTGAAGCACAGCTCCCATCCCCCCGGATCACTGGGCAGGCAGAGAGGAGTTGTCACCCAGCAAGATCTAGAACCTCCTCACTCAGGGAACAAAGGCACCCTCAGTGTCTGTCCTTAAGCTATCTCTAACCTGCTGTCCAGAGACCTCTTTCTTGCCTCTCCTGTTTTTTTCATTTTATTTCTCAAATGTTTCATGAGCAGCAACATGGAAGCCATTTTGTGAGAGTGCCCGAGGAGGGGGATCCAAATTTTCACAGATATGAGCCTTCAGTCTCATCATCATCATCATCCACACCAGCAGCAGCAGCAGTGCAGCTGTTGCACCCCCTCCTCCTCCTCTTCTAAACCACCACTTAGCCATAAAAGGCTCTCAGGACAATTGACAAAATACAAGGTACAGTAAAATACAATATAAAACGAGGTACAATAATTCAGAACAAACCAAAATCAAATCAGCTACATGAGGCAATAAACACAACAACTGACAAAATCCATAAAGTTTCTAAAACAGTAGCAGCAATACAAAGGAATTAAAATCAAAGCAATTCTGCATCGTTATGCAGCTACAGCTACAAACCACCCACCCAACAACTCCCAGTGCCGCAGCCTGCTCAGGCACTGAGCGGGTTCCCGCCGGTGGAAGGTCTCTGGGCAAACAGGCCGGCGTGATGTGAGGGGCTCCCTCTCTGTTTTCTCTGCACCATTCATCCCTTCAAATGCTCCTACTAGCTTCCTGTTTTCCGAAGCCAGGGGTCCTCAAACTTTTTCCACAGGGGGCCAGTTGAAGGATTGCTGGTGAAGGCACGGGCCACCAAGCCGGTGCAGCGGGGGGGCGCCCAGGCCGGGCCGTGGGCCACACGGGCACACTCGGGGATCCTTTTCTCCGAGCAAGTCCAAAGCGATCGCCTTGTGAGCAAGCCGCCATTGGGCACACGCACGGTGAGGCACCGGCTAGCTCGCAAGGAGATCCTTTTCTCTGAGCGAGCCCAAAACGATCTCCGTGCGAGCAAGCGGCTGCCTTGCCGTGAGTCCAAAACCTCTACGGTGGGCAGGATAAATGGGCATGGCGGGCTGCATCCGGCCCACGGGCCATAGTTTGAGGACCCATGTTCTAAGCTGAGCGATCTCAGATTTTGTAAGCATTAGTGGTCCAATGCCTCGAGCACTTTCACTGCCCTGCTCTGGATTTTTCCAACTCTACAATGCCCCTTTTCAGGTGCAGGGATCAGAACTGTACACAAGGGCACAGGTTGCAGTGGGAGACACAGACATGATGAGTAGCGACAGACATTTATATCCTGCCAGTGTTGCAGGGCTGCGTCACAACTTGCAAGGGGGCTTATGTGGTCCTTCTCCTTGCCATGTTTTCCTCCCAACAGCCCTGTGAGGTAGTCTAGGCTAGGACTGGCTCAAAGTCCTCTGGTGAGCTTCATGACCAAGGGAAGCCTAGAGTCTGGATTTCCTGTGCCCCAGCCCAGCACTCTAACCTGTAGGATACCTACCTAACCCAGGTACTCACCTATGATGAAGAACATGGTGGCAATCAGAGGAATGACGGTCAGGCCAGTTGTCACGTGGGTGACAAAGCCCTCCTGAGTAACATTAGGTGGTATCCCTGAGGCATTATGGGACTGCAGAGGGATGAAGCGGATGTAGAATCCCAGGGTCAGGTTTGAGATGAGCATGATGACAGCTGCGATGAGAAAAGAAAGCCAAACGCACGACTTAAGGGATGGCCTGGACGTCCGAGGATTCTTGCCTGGTCTGGCAGTCCTCTTCTTCCAAGCCTCTGGATCCTGCCCTGCCACACAGACTTGCCTGTGGCTCGTTCTCCCTTCCCCTGGGTGTGAGAATGTGTGTGCTTACGAGTGGGGCTTGCACACGGGTTTTAGCATTTTCCTGAACCTGCACTGGCATCCCAAAGCTCACACTTCTAAACGTGTGCATTTGCAAAAATGCACCTCAGCACACAAGGACGTACGTGCAAAGGCCCCCAAATCCATGTTTTTACACTTTAGCCTACAGGTGTGTTTCAGTTAGTGCTTTTCAATTTTAGAAATGGTGCATATATTAATGTAGTTTCCAGCCGCTTTTTGGCAATTCTTTTATGTGTACAAACAATTTGTGTACAGCTCTGGAAAACTGAAAAAAGAAGGGTCTGGAAGTCTGTGCAACTTAGAAATGTGGTCCACTGTGGAATCTGCAGGTTGGGAGTCATAAAAATCTGAACTCGTTGAAACCAGTTGCACATTCCGCCTGCCATCCTGTTGTTAGATCTCAGGTCTTTTGGCCTCACATGCTTTTGTCTCGGTTCCACCAACTACCTGTGTGCAGTTTCCAGCCTTGAAGGAGTGGGGAAGTCCCGCCTCTGGCCCTCATCCAAAGGCTTGTGGACTTGGGTACTCCTCTTAATTCGGGAGGTCCCATCACTGTGATTGCCAAGCATGCAGCTCTTCCACTGCCCCTTTGATTCTTTTGGAGTCAGGCCTTTGGGCTGAAGGCTCCAGAAAGACCTTGGAGATGCCATGGGGTGGGATGCAGTGAATGAAACGCTCACCTGAGATATAGAGAAGAATCTTCCTCCCAGCCTTATCCATTGAGAAAGCAGCCACCAGCACGGACGCCAAACGGACACCTCCCACGATGACCGCGTCATATTGCGGTGGCTGCAAAGACAAACAGGCGCACCGACCAGGGTCAGCACCTGTGAGGTTTCCCTTTCCAGTGGAAACGTTTTTTGAACAGGGTCAGTTTCCTATAGAGGGAGAAGCTCCCGGAATCAGCCAGAATTGCTGGAATCCGCAAGTCATCATTATTTTCTCAGCGGGCCTGGAAGGAGCCTGCAGGCTTCCAGCAGCGCAAGCTGCATCGTGGGGGTGCCTGCTGGCCATGAGAAAACCCTTGCAGGAAGGAGTACAGGGGCCTTTGGTTCGGTGTTATGCGTTATACCACCAGGCCGGGGGCCTCTGGCTTTCTTCGGCCAGCGGGGATTAAAGGAAGCACGGTTTCCGTTTGTGTTTTGCCCACTGCCGGGCTCCATTTGTTCTGTGGGCCGGTCACTGGCCGAATGAGGGTTTTTCCCAGTGGAGAATGTGTTCATCAGTGCAAAGCTAATGTGAACTTGTGCAAACCCCCCAGGGCGAAGAACTGGTCTCCCAATCTACAGCTCTCTGGGGTCCACATTCCAGGTTAGACGGTGGAGGAAAGGGGGAGTGAAGTGGGGCAGGTTACCAGAATGACTGCTGTGCTGTCAAAGATGAGCTGCAGGTATACAAGGATGGGGGTGACGCCGGAGAGCTGCTGGAGGAACCGCATGAGCAAGGTGATCAGGATGGGTTTGGAGATGTACGGCGTCTTGATCTCAGCCCACGTAATGCGCTCGCTCTGCGGATGTGCAGATCGGAAGCCCCCGTCAGATCCAGCTCCCATGCCTCTGACCTCCACGTGCCCTCCAGCTGGGCTGGACTACGAGTCCCATGCTTCCCAGCCAGCACAGCCCACAGCGGGAGTAGCAGGCAAAGGAAGACCAGCAGGGCCACAATTCCCATCGGCCCCAGCCAGCATCGCTTGTGGTCATGAATTACGCCAACCCGCAGACCAATCGGGAAGCACAGACAGATGTGCCCACCTGGACAGGTGCAGCTGACTCATCCCACCCTCTACCTGGAGCTGAGTGGCAGCATTTATGTAGCCAGAGGGAGGTGTCGGCAGGATGCGGAAGTCGAACCTTTGCCGGGTGTGGAAGCAACCCGAAAGACCCCAGCGCCCACGGCAGAGGATGCAAGCCGACTTCTAAAGGGAACCTCCAGGGGTCGGCGCGAGAGCAGGTCTCCCTTCTCTGGCTCTCCAAATGCCGCTGCATGAGCCCCTCCACCCCCGGGATCATGTCTGTCTAGCCAGGAGCCCTTGGGCAAGCCCCAGGAATTTCCTTGCTGCCCTTTGCTGTGGCACGTACCTGTCCCTGCACAGTGTCCTTTATCTGCTCGTATTCCCACCAGTAATCGGTGTCCTTCCCTCTCAGCCATGCCAGGGCACGGAGAGCCTCCTCCTCCTTCCCCCAGGAGATTAGAAACCGGGGCGAGTCGGGCATGAAGACAAGCAAGGCAATCATGAGGAGGACTGGCACTTCGCCCGCCACAGCCAGCCAGCGCCAGGGGACGGCAAGGCCTGCAACGAACGTAAGAAGGGCAGTCCGGCTCTCTGCTCACCTAGTGGCCAGACAGCTCCCCACAGGATCTCACAAGCAGGGCCGGAGTGCTGCAGCTCCCTCCTGCACATGTTCCCCAGCTCTAGCTCGACAGACCTCCATGCCTCTCCTCAGAGCAGAGAAAGTGTCTGGGACGGTCCTGGGAAAAGCAGCGCTCTAGTGCCAGATGAGTCTCCCAAACTAGCTGTTGAGAACGTGTGTTTCCCACCGAAAAAGTTCTGCACAGAAAGCTGCGCTCTGGGCCATTCTGCTGAAAATTTAATGGCTGAAAAATTGTGCATCTTGGCACAGATCTCTTGGGTACGTGTGCTGGGGGGATATTGTTTTTATGGCATCAATTCAGGCCAACTTCAATCACTCTGGGGTATCTATGGCAAAGCTGCCCGAAGGGGTTAACACGCAGGGTTCAGAACACTGGGTAAGGGCAAGGCCCTGTTGCGAAATGTCTGTTTTTCCAAACAAGCGTCATAAAAACTCTGCTGTCTGGAGAGCCGGCTGAACTGGCCCTTCTTGTCCAGTCTGTAGGCTGCACCCCTGAGGCCGAGGCATGGGGTCGGCTTGGTGCCAAGGAGGGGGAAAAGGTACCCTCACCTTTTTAGAACAAGACGCACTTCCTTTCAAAGGCCTTTGCCATTAAGGGCTGTGTCTCAAAATGGAGAAGCTTGGTGACTCGTTTCCATTCCCCCAAGATCCACACTGGGTACTTGCCTAGAGCATAGAGGAAAAGGGCACCCAAGACGGCCATGATCTGAGGACAGGAGCCCAGTGCGCCTCGGATGCCGGGGTGACAAATCTCGGAAATGTAGACCTGGGGAAAGCACGGGGAAAGCAAGTGGCACAGGCTGGGACTGGCCCGAGACGGTTGTGCCAGCAGCAGCAGCACTGTCAGCCATCCATTGAACCTTCCTGCCCTTCTTGCCCAAGTCACTTTCCTAGTAAAAACCTCTCCCTTTGTGATGGAGCAGCATATCCTGGAATGCAAACCGTGGTCGTGGCAGCGTGCAGAGGCAATCCAAAGCAAAGGGTTGCGGCTTCGTGGGCACATGTCCTGTACTTGTGCTGGAGCCCATGCCCAGCAGTTCTGCCTGGAAAGCAGAGGGAGAACTCCAGCCCAGATTAATTCAGGGCAGCCCAGCCCTTTCCTTCCCTGTTCGAAAGATTGCTTAATTGAACTTATTTCACGGCTTCCAGTAAAAAGAAGAGGAAGGATGTGCCCCAGAGAAATATTGGGCCCCATCTGGGCCTTGGGTGCAAGCCCCTCAAAAGAGCACCAGGCCCTGTGCTGGAGTGGAGGCAGCCCTGGCAGGGATGCTGGTGTCTCCTGCCGCCCCTCGTGGGCTTCCCCATTCCCTCAAAGCCGCTGGGGGGGAATGGAATGAACTGCCTGGCCTTGCCACCTGCGGTGGGCGCTTCCATGGGCAGACAGGGCGTCCATGGGCCCAGTGCCGGCATCCAGCGACTGCCCTGCAAGCTGAGGTTAGTTAGTAGTGCTATCTCTGAGCTGAATGGGATGTTTGAATCTGGAAAGTGGGCCACTTGGAAAGGAGAAGAGCCAAGGGGGGAAGGCCGGGCTTGGGTCTGGGGGCACCACTGGCTGGATCCTCCGGGGAAAAGGAGCAAGGGGGCGCTTCAGTTCTGCAGAAAACGACCCTTGCAGATGCAGTGAGAGTCGGTTGCTGCCGCCGCACAGCTTACTTACTGGGATGGCTGCAGACGTCATGCCACCTGCAAATCCTGTAAGCAGCCTTCCCACCTGCAGCATCCAGATCTCTTGAGCGCTGGCAATGAAGAGGTACCCAGCGACGGAGGGCACGGCGGAGACCATGATGCTCAGCTTGCGCCCCAGTCGGTCGTTGAAGTACATCGTGCCCAAACCGCCCGCAGCAACTCCCAGGGTGAACACGGACTGCAACACACAGATCACGAGGAGAGGCTGTAGGAAAGCTACTCGGTGCTGACTGTGGCCTGCAACCAAGCAACGCCTGCACGGCTGAGAAGCTGCATCCTGAGAAGTCAAGCTCTCTCTTTTCAAATCAAGTTTCTAGTCCTCAAGACAGCAAAAACAGGTTTGACATCTGGAGGGATGGCGTCCTACCACCCTTGTGGCAGATGCTTGTAAGTCTCTAAACTTAGAGGTGAACAAGCTCCTAATGGAAAGAGTCAGGTGTGCTGGCTCTCTTTGCCGCCGCTTTACTTCTTACCCTGCATTTTCTTTAGGTGGCTGTTTTGAGAATGGGGGCTGGGAAGCTGCCATGCCGAGGGCTGAGCGGGGTGCTTGGTGGGGGGCCGAGGTGGGGGCTCAGCCTTCAGTGTCAGAGGACTTGTGCTCAGACTCCCAAAGTACGACGGCCACCCAGACAATGCTGGGGGGCGGTTAAGGCTGCACCCTAAAGTGTCCTGAACAGTTTTAGAAAATAAGCCTGCGAAGGAGCAGAGCTCTCGCACGCAGGAAGGGAGGCTGAAGAAAGAAGAGGAACCGGCACTGCTGGCGGGCCGGGAGAGTGATGCAAGCTTGTTTCGCCAAGCGATGCTCGTGTCAGGGATCCATAAAGACACCAGGGCAATGATTCACCGGCAGGAAAGCCACGGTGACTCTTTTATTTCTCATTGTGGTTGCACAGGGTTGGAGCCTCACCATTGCCAAAAAATACCCTTTAATCGATTAGCAAATGTCGCTGTTCAAGCCCACTGGAATGCAGCTTTCCTCATTCGACTGTTAGAAGAGGGTTGTTGAACTTCAGGCTGCTGGGACGAATCTGAGATCTTCTCTAAGATGGAATCTGCCCCTCAGGCAGAAAGAGGTTCAATGCCTCTCTGCATTACAGGAACACACCAGAACCAAAGTCGCTTCTGCTAATACAGGTGGCATCTTTTATCTCACAGCCAAACTGGTTATAATGGATTCGCCGTGGAGGATGCTTTAGCTGGGTGGCACACTGACTGAAGCTTGCCCACCTGGCTAGCACTGACCGTATGCAAAATCCACTCATGCTGCCATTCACACAACTGTGTTGTGTAAACACAGACGATCGAAATCGCTAAAGGCTCCTGCAGAGTCAAAGCACTGGCCCTCACAGAGGAGTCTGTCTACAAACCTTAAAACATCTGGCCATCAGACCTGGAACGCACCCTAAGACCCCCCCCCCCCCGGGCAGCCCTGCTAATTCGCCACAAGCAACAGCCGGGCCTCCACTCCACAGCTCTGCCAGCCAGCTGCTCTTCCCAGAATCAAAGAACAGCAGAAGGGGGTATGAAGGCCCTCGGGTCCAGCCCCCTGCTGTTGCCCACCAATCCACACCAGCCCACTCAGAGGGCTGCCCAGCTTCTTTCTGAATGTCCCCAGTGTGGGAGAGCCCACTGCCCCTCCAAGCAGCTGGTCCCACTTACCCCAAACCAGGAAGCCATTGCTTCTGTCAGCTTCAAGTTGGAGTCCGGTGTTTCTTCCAAAGCTGGGATGACCGGGGAGGGGTAAACTAAAGCAAAACCGAAGCTGAAGTTCCCCAAGACGGCAGCAAAAGCAGCGAGCAAAAGGCGCCCGTTTTTAACAGTCCTGAGACAGAAGGATAAAGAAGGGTACAGTTAGGGGACGGAGCGGGGTCTGGAAGTGGTGGGGAAGGAGGTCCACTCTGAAGATGGGAAAAGCTTTGTCAAGGTTGGGAAGGCCTGGGACCAACCCAAGTCCCTTCTCCTGTTGGTGCTCAGCATTTCATTTGAAGGAGGACTCCACCGTAAGTTGGACCTGTGGACTCTGACAACAACTAGTGTCAACCCCATGTCCTGCCCCCGAGAGTCCACGACTTGCTGATTGCCGTAACAACCCGTAGCAACAAAACAGTGCTAGCAGCTTTATCGTTAGCAAGCATGGGTCCAGAGGCTCCCAACTGCCCATTCAGGACTGGTCCATCCCCAAAAGCTCCTCATATTAGTGGGGACTGTACGATGTCAGTGAAAACAGGTAGCAAGCCAGATTGACTACTGCGATGTCATAGTGCTTGGCAGAAGAATTTAAGCAAAAAGACGGGCTCCTTGCCCCAAGGAGAACCCATTGGTGTAGTGGTTAAAATTGTGGGACCAGGCCTCAGGCGATGCGGGTTATTGGCCCCACTTGGTCATGGAGCTCACTGGGTGACTTTGGGCCAGGCACAGACTCTCAGCCCAGCCTACCTTGCAGGGTTGTTGTAAGGGCAAGACTGAGAGGAACAGGAGAATGATGTAAGCTGCCTTGAGTTCCTTGAAAGGCAAAAAGGTAGGATTCAAATATAATAAATAATCAAATAAGGCTCTTACAATGCGAAGTTACAACTACATAGAAGACCACAAGGAAGGGGGGAACCAAGGGTAACATCATCTATGTTGGTTACCAGTTGAAGTCCAGGCTGCCTTTAAGGCACTCACTTTGACATATAAAGCCCTAAACGGTTTAGGGCCTGGATGTCTGAAGGAGCATCTCCTCCCATATATGACTACCTGGATCTTAAAATCATCCACCGAAGTTCATCTCTGGAAATCCAGTCTTGAAGATGTAAGGAAGGTGGCCGCAAGAGGAAGGGTCTTCTTGGTCATGGCACTCCGGTTGTGGAATCAGCTCCCCAGAGTCGTGTGCTTGGTGCTGGCGCTTTATGCCTTTTGGCGCTAGGCTAAAACCTTTCTATTCTCCCACTGTTTCAACTGCTAGACATTTTAAATGCTATTTTATGCTGAGTTTTACTTATACTGTCACTGAATTGCTGTGGAATGAGCATCATTTATTTATTTATTTGTATTTCATTGGATATGGAATGGTGTCTTATGACCCATATCATGTTGTATTATTCATTACATTGGGTTCTTTTTAGCTTTTAGCTTTTTAGCTTTTGGGTGCTTTTTAGCTTTTTAGCCACTTGGCTAACATGGACAGCATATAAAAGCTTAAATTAAGTAAGGAAGGAAGGAAGGAAGGAAGGAAATAAATAAATAAATAAATAAATAAATACGGAGGAACAGCTTCCCATAACATGGTGTCCCCAGATGGTTTGCACTTCAGCTACCATCAGCCCCTGTCAGCATGGCCAGTAAGTGTGAATCCTTTTGGGAGAGCACCCAGTTGAGGAAGGCTTGGATGGACCACAAGCAAGCGCAGCTGAGTAAGCTTCTATTCAGTTGAAGGTAAGGACTAGCAGCTTGAGCCAAAGGCTTTGCGGAAGGAAGGCAGAGAGGTGGGGGACCCTCTATAGAGTTCCAGGCATAGGGCAGCCAAGACGAATGGGGAATGTGAGAAAGGTGGAGACCTTACTTGTAATATTCCTTCTCCATCTGACGGGCATCGTTCTCCCCGAAAGTCTGATAGTCTTCTCCCCGCCTCATGCTCAGGAACGGCTCGCTGAGGTTGGGATCCATGTCTTGATCCATCCCTTGTTGCCAAAGTGATGGAGAGGCGGGCGGGCGGGCAGGCGAGCGGGCAGCAGTGAGCCAGAGCTGGGCAGAGTAGTGGCAGGTTTTCTTCGTCTCCTCTGCCAGCAGAAAAACAGCTTCCCCTTTCAGAAAACACCCTTGTGGTTCACCCTTCCAAGCCGGGCTTTTCCCAGAGTCATGAGTGATAAGGAGTGTTGAAAAAAGCAAAAGTGAAAGAGAGAGAGAAAGATCCCAGAGTGTGCAATTCCAGCAGGGTGGGGGAATCTCTGCATCGCTGGTGGCCCACGAGACCGAAAAGCGGAAGACAGAACGGATGCAGAAATGGGGTGTGGGAGGGAGATAATGGAGGAGGAAGCCACACAGGGCCACAGAGGCGGCAACATCTGAAGCAGGCGCCTGGCCTCTACCAGGGCTGCCCGATGGGCCTTGCCGCATCCCACCATTAAGCTCATCCCACTGCATCTTCTGCTGGCTCCTCCTCCCACAGTTATTCTGGCTTGGTGTAGGCCCCTAGCAGCCTTCCAGATGGGCCAGACCACAAGTCCCATTATCCGTCATCTGGGTTGGTGGACGTTCGAAGCCCAGGCATCTGGGAGGAAGGCCAGTTGTGCCTGCAAATGCTTGTCCTATCAACCAAGCTGCGCTTGTCAGAATCCCGGAATCTCAATTTGAGAAGAGGAAATAAAACTCGGGGTCGTAGGAAAGATCAATCGTTATGAACCTCCGCGTCTTTATTGTCTATCCCAGTTTCCCGCGGTTGACTCACGATAATGCATTACCGGGCTAGCAGAGATAAACTCGCTGCAAAGCTTCAATACCATTACAGGGCATTTATAGGTACACAGGTACAGGGCAATTGGTGACAGAATGCAGAGATTACAATAAGATTCTGAGGTCATCACATACAGAACAGATAAAGAAATGTCAGTCAATCACACTGTAACAATGAGATTAAAATATTTCTAATTGCCTGTATTGACACGTTAGTTGAATAACTTGAACCCATCTCCAGGTCTGCTCAGACATGCAAATTCAAGCTACTAGAAACTATTCATGATAAGCTCAGACCCCTATCTCGACTCTAAACATTCTGCATGATCAGGGCACATGAAGCCCTCTGGGCTATCAAAAGATTATTGTAAACTGAATTCCAGCAATGACTATTTGTAATGGATATTTGGGCTAAAATGGCCTACTGTAGCCTACAGCTAAAGGTGAGAGAAAGGAGCGGGGGATGAAGGCCATTTTAAACGGTGACAGCTTGGTTTTGAGAAGGAAGACAGGGTTTGATCCCACAATGCAAAGGTACACAGGAGCAATGCTTTTCAGACAGGATTTATCCAAATTTTCCCAACATGCTTTCCCCCAGTCTGGTGCCGGCAGGATGTGCTGGACCAAGACTTCCAACGTCCCCAAGTGGCCTGTGCCAGGTGGGGGCAACTGAGCTAAACAACCTTTCTCCTTTCTCAGCTTTTGGGCGTCAATTTTGGCCCCATTGCAGTGACCACCTGAACCATGAGCAGATGGGAGCTGCCATTTTAATTTCCCACAATCCCTCTGACATAGGATCCCTCTGCAACATTAGGGAGAAGAAAGATGGCAGCTCTTGGAACCAGCCCCTTAGAAACAAAGAAACAGAGCGAGTCAGAAGGGGCCTCCCAGGCCATCTGGTCTGACCCCTGGCTCTAGCCGGCTCCACTCACGACATGCCCACCATGTGCATGTCCTGCCCCTTGGCACTGACTGGGGTGCTGAAATATATATAATAATAAGGAAAAAAACCCGTGTTTTTTGTAAGAGAACATCAGTGGCAGGCCCTGACAGAGTGGTTAGACTTATAAAAATACACCCCCACCCCAAGTTTCTTGATTATGTTTTTATCATTTTGCTCTTCTTGCAAGGTTGGCAAGAGATGGCCCTTCTCCTATTTTATCTTCACAGCCACTCTGCAAAGTAAGTTAGACTGAGGCAGGGACTGCTTGAACCCTGATCTTCAAGTTCCAGTCCATTGGTCTAACACTTATCCTCCCCCCCCCCCGCCGGCCCCCGCGGCAGGTTTGTCCCTCTTCAGGTATTAAAACTCTGCTCCATATGGATCCCTGGTTTTCATCCCAAAATGGAACATGCAGACTTTAAGACCCAGGGAAGACTGCCTTAAGGAGGAGGAGGAGATCTGTTGGTCACATACCTGAGAAAGCACTTACCTGGCCTCAGGTGAGAGAGGAGTACAGGGGATGCATCTTGATGAGTTTGCAAGAGGAACTTGGAGAGGGTAAGTATTTCTGCAGGAATTCTGTAAGGCAGGCAGAAGAGGGTATGTTGGTATATTGTTAATTCGTTTTATATTGTTAATTCGTTTTATATTTTTAATGTATTATATTTTAATTGATGTTTTGTGAGCCTCCCCGAGGCTTTGGAGAATGGGGCGGCATAGAAATTTTCTAAATAAATAAATAAATAAATAAAATACTCCTTTTAAAGTCCTGTCCATCTGAAATTTCCTCTCAGCTTCTCTTCTCGCATAAGTCTCTTTTTTGAAGTAGAAAACATGCAGACACCTAAGAACCCTTTTCTGTTTCTTCTGAACCTAGAAAGCATGCGAAAAACAAAACGGTTTAGCTTGGAGCAAAGCTAAATGCATGTGGCCCCTAGTGCTTGGAACACCAGGCTGGGAAGACGTGGGTTCTACTGCCCGCAGCTATGAAGCTCACCGGGTGACATTCGGTAGCCGCTGAGCTCCATGCACTTGCTTATCTAGGTAGGAAAAGCTCCTACAACTTGTGGCATTCCTCAGCAATCCTGGCCACCGGGCGAACACTGGGAATTGTGGGACCTTTTCCTGCCTAGACAGACATAGTGCTGCAGCCTAAACTAAAAAAGAAATGGCAAGAATTCGCACTGGAATTGGGGCTCAAGTTCTGGATGGACACCATTAAGCCTCACGGAATACAGCCAGAGTTACTTCTGAGTCTGCCGTCCGAAGTACACCACACATTCCGATCATGAATTGGGGCCCCCAATGTTTCCCCTGGCAAGGTTCCCGTGCCGAAGGCAGATTTTGCTTTCCCTGTTGAACTTCATGCCCAGCAGACTTTGATTTCTCAGCATTCAGGAAGAAAAAGGACCCCAATGTGTAACTGTTTTTGTGGACATCCCTGCCCACTCCCTGCTCCTCAGAAAAGGATAAGCAGGATGGGGGGGGTCATGCGACCTTGTTGAATGGGGTGAGTTGTGATATTGGGGGGGGGGTATTCCCCAAAGTTCAGCAGCACCATCTCTAACTGGAGCCTGTTTGTCCACATAAGGTGGATGTGAGATCCAACCCAAGCGTTTTTGTGAACTCTTACAAAATCCTGGCTTGGCAGAATTTGGAGTGAGGAATGGAGAAAAGGCAGCGCCGTTTTGGCTGCAAGGTCATCAAGTGCTGGGTGGAGCAGATGGTGAGCAGGGTAAGGGTTAGGGCCAGACAAAATAACCTCAGGGGTTACACAAAGAGTGTTCCAGTGCGTTTCAAGCTCTTCTAGTTTTTTCCCCATGGATTCTTTTAAAATAATGTACGGCCAGGTAATTGTTCTTTTGGGCTGGGTGTGTGTACACAGCGAAAAAAGGAGGCAGAGGCTGGCAGGTAGAGTGGACTTCACTAATTCAGCATCTTTGAATGCTCCCGCAAGGTAAAGCAAGCCGGCAAACAAAAACCCTGCATCCGTGAGAGAAGGGAAACAGCACGGAAGGATGGGAGGCAGGTCAGCCCAGTCGCTGCTGTGCTAGTTGTCAACTTGCAGGGAGATGGGGGGAACATGAGGAAGGGTTCAAAAATAGCACGGATTCATGTAACAATGCTGAACATATTTGCACAATGCTTTCAAGTGCTCATGAGGCTTCATGTGTACAATCTGGTTGTATTCTTTACAACAGTCCTCCAAGGTAAGTCAGTTTACTATCACCTGTAGTGCAGGTAGATGGACTTTTTTGCTATATAATGTGGCAGCTCACCTGAGGCCCTCTACTGCGCCCATCCACAACTTGGCACCTTCCTGATGGCTTGGACTACAAGTCCCAGCATCCCTAACTGACTGGGAGACGTTGGGAATTGTAAGCCACCCTGAGGCTATTGTAAGCCGCCCCGAGGCTCATGCAATGGGGCGGCATATAAGTTGTTTAAATAAAAATAAATAGCCAACCATATCATAGGGTGACAGCAGGCTGGGGAAAGCTGCAGGTGGGTTTTTTTTAGTGTTTCAGGGCTGTGTTTTGTTTCATTTTGCTTTTTGCTGTCAGAGTTCGCCATAGTGACTCCGTTTTGGAATATGACTGGGGCGTGTTCTCTTTTCCAACTCCTCCTGCCTTGCTTTAGATGCCAACCATCAGGGAGAAGCACTTGTACAATGGGGCTTTTCAGGGAGCCAAGAGAATGACCATCCCCGAGCGGAACGTGAGTCAACATGGAGGGCCCTGCAAATTCTTGGGATTTTTTCTTTTGCGCTAGGAAATGCCCAGCCTTGTCTTTGGGGGCCTGTCTGCGCTCGCAAGTTGACTATTATTTTACATGGTAGCTTCAAGCGCCGGACTGCCGTGAACGGGTCGCTGCGCAATGTGCGGCAGAATGAGGGGCTCAAAACTTAAAGGGGTAAAAGGAGTGCAGTTCCTGGGGTGGACCTTTTAAAAAAATGCCAACCGTAACCCTGCAACTAGAAAGCTAGCTCCACAGGGAGAGTTTCTGGCCCAGCCCATTCACTGCCATGCTACTTTTCTGCTTGCAAAGAACTTTATTTATTGTGCATTAGTCAGGTGAGCTGGTTTCAAGCTTTCCTATATTATTTATTTATTTAAAACATCTTTCTGCTGCCCAATCCTCAGCTGTTGGAGCTGGGCACAGAGCTCCCGCTCCCTCTGCATGTCATGGCCCGCTGGTGGCCCGATGCACGTCCCTGACCATTTAACTCTGTCCCCTGGACTCTGAATTGTAGTGGCTGCAAGCAAACAGTGCACTTGTTATGGGAGTCTGCCACCTTGTGACTGCCCAGGTGCATTTATTTTAATTTCAAATAAATTTTAATTTGGTAAAAAATCACCAAGGTGCACATTCCAACGGTCCCCTTAGTTTGCAAGCCAAGTTTCGAAGGCCTCTTTCATGGTCTTGACACTGTGGCATTGGCAGATGGATTCTTCTTGTTGTTGTTGGCATTCCAGAATGTGAACCTTTGCCCGCTGTGGTCTGAAGTGGTACAGCCCATGCTGCTATTTCAGGACTCTACCATCTCAGTCACATCTGAAATCCAGCCTATGTTTTTGAGGTTTCCACTTTTGGTCATGGCGATGGTGGTTTTGTTTTTCTCTCCTCTGTGTGCCAGAAGACCAAGATATGCAAGGAATAAGGAAAGAAGAGGAGAGTCGCATGGGCGCCAGGAACTTTCCAGAACCCTGCTGTGACTCCTGGAGGCAGGGAGAGGCCGAACATGGAGCCAGCCCGGCTCCGTCTGCGTCTTCGCGGTCTCTGGAGCAGCGAGACTCAGACTGCCTCCCTTCTGTCGTCCTTGCTGCCTTTTTGACCCTGGTCTTCATCGTTGTGTCGGTGCTGCTGCTGCTGCACCACGAGAGCTACCATTTTTGCTCGGAGAGAAGCAGGCCTCTGCACCCTAACCAGGTTTTCCCACTGGAAAGCCAGCTTGGCTCCCTTCGCCACCTCCCTCAGAACCAACCGGAGTCCGTGCGGCACACTCGCCAGCAGCCCGCGCACAGCCAGCTCAGAGGGTCCGATCCCGGCTTCCTGCTGGCAGTTGGGTTTGGAGAAGCAAATGGCACCCCCCTCTCCCTCACAAAAGCTGCTCTTCTGCTCCTGACCCAGGAAAGGGCCATGTGGCTTTGCCTTCCAGCGCACGGCGCAGCCCAGCAATTCCAGGCATGCTTGCGAGCAGGAGGGACCCACGATCTTGCCGTTGCCGCGATCTGTGCAGGGCGAGACCTGGGCCTCGGCGGCCTGATGGTGCCCTTGCAGAGCTCTGTGGGCAGGAGGAAACAGCCGGCCGGCCTCACCAGGGCAGCCCTGGTGCTGCACGTCTCAGAGCAAGCCCAGGAGGAGCTCCTCCTCCTCCTCATGATGCCCTCCTTGCCCGACGTTTTGAATGCCATCAGCTTTGCCAAGGGGGGACCAATGACCACCAAGCGGAGCACACTGGTCCTCTTGGTAAAGCCCCGGCACTCTTTGGAAGGCCGTTTTGCTAGCTAAGGAGAGGGCACATGATGCGCTGATGCTTTCAGAGAGAGATGCAGGAGTCCTTGACCTTTTGGGCTCCGCATCAGGCTGCCCCTCTGCACACAAACCCACTTTTCCATCTTGAGTTTTCTCAGCCCCTTTTGATTCTGCTGCAAGCTCAGAGATTCAGCAGAGGATGGAGGTAAGGCAAAGAGCCCCCATCTTAGCACTAGCAAAGCAGCTCCATTGTTCACCGTCTGGACATCATTGTATTTTATTATGAATTGACATGCTTTCTTTTGAAACAAATTTTCTCAGGAACTATCCCGTGGCAGCCAAAGTGTGCTGCAACATGGGTGCCGTCTGACTGGGGGGTTATCCCAGCCCCTAAAACCATGCCGGAGGAAGCACGTCCTTGGCCAGAGTGGACATCAGAGTGCTGGGCTGGGACGCAGGCGGCCAGGGCTTGTTCCTGCTTGAAGCTCTCTGTCCGGCTTGGGGCCAATCACGGCCGCTGCAGCCTCACATCATTGTTGTGCAGAAAACACAGAGAGGACAAGATGGGGAACGATACAACCCAAACTGGACTCCTTGCAAGAGGGAAAATGTAGAGAGGTGGATCCTGTAAGAATGTGCAAAAATCTCCAGACGATGCTGGAGATTTTTGCACCCATGGAACAAGGACATTTTCCCATGAGTTGCAGTGAATTGAGGTAGAGCGCAGGTCAACGGAAGCGTTTCGTTTACTGGAGATGCTTTGAACGAGTCATCAGCTGGCCAAATCTGGTTCCTGCAAAAGTTATGTAGATCCTCATCCTGACTTCTGAGTCCTGACCTATCCTATGGCTGCCTATACATTCTAGTGGCCACAAGACTGCACCCTAAAGATCGACCAGGGGGCAGACTGGCTGGGGAAGATAGGAGATGAAGTCCAGACAACAGGGAAGGCACCAGGTTGGGGAAGGGCGAGCGCAAAATCATTTCCCCAGTTAGCTAGCCAGCCTGTATCAAGTGGCCACAGTTCCAGCCAATCACGCTGTGATTTTCAACAGACACAAACACTGCTCATCAATTTAAACATGCTGTAAGGTTAAGTTGGTATCTGATGAATCTCTGGATATCACATTGCATCTTACCAGTTAAAAAAAACCCTTTCATGTCTGTTGGATGCTGTAATCTCTAGTAGTTACCTCTAGAGAGGAGGTTATAGTATGGATAATTTTGCATTGGTACGCTCTTGGAGGTTGATTCGTGCTCAGTCTCTCTCCTCATCCTGGAAGTCAGCGCATAATCAGCACAGATGGATTCTTTGCATCCTCCTGAAAGCTCAGTGGTGGATATTGGCATCTTGGAAGGATGAAGCCTCACCTCCTGCAACGCAATGGGCTGGAGATCTAACAATACCTTCCAAGTTTGAATGGGTGGTGAATCAATTCCACCCACAAATGGATATTTCTTTGCCTGTTGGGCTGATCGTGCTGGAGGTTATGCTTCGGGCTTAGAAACCTGAATTTTCACAGACAGCCTGAAGGAAGGAATAAAGTGATGTAACAGCAAAGCATAGGAATGGAAGCTGAAATGCTTAGCTCTGATTATGATTTGAAATTACTCTCTGACTGTCCACACTCTGCATTTAAGTGTATTAAAGTGATGCATTCACACCCGATTTTCCATTTTTCTTTTTGTCTGTGGAAAATCTCTAATAAACATACATTTTAAATGCCCCAGCAGCAGTCCTGTCTTTTCTGTTGCAGCACGATGGCATTTGCAGAGAGACACAGAAGCCACTCATGCAGGCTGCAAGGGCAGTGCGACCTCTAGGGAGAGGCTATAAAACCGGAGTGACCCAGGACTCCACCCGCAAACGGGGTCAAGGTGGCAGACAAGCTGCAAAAAGGACGAAGGCAGCAGCTGCCCCCGCTGCTCCACTGCTATTCTCTTCCTTTGTGCACTGGAGGATTCAGGCGCCTTGTCGTGTGGCTGCCTTCCCAGGAAATAAATCTGGGCCTTGGGTGCAGCACAGGATACCATGTTGTCATATAATCAAGGCCATAAACCAGTTAATTTTTATTTCTTTGCACAGTCTGTTCTAGCCATATCTTCCTGCTTCTGGCTTACCAAGGTTATTCTGAGGGGGCAGTTACAGGGTCTGGAGACATGGAGGCACAGCTCCCGGGGTGCACGCACACACTGGGTGGACTGGGAGGTGGACTCCATTCAAGCAGACAAACTTCAGCCTGCCCTCCTCTTGATGCACCAACGGGGCTGCAGTCTGACATCTGGGAAGGGAAGGCTGAGGAAGGGCCCCGCAAGAAACCTGCTCTTCCACCACCACTGCCCCAGCAGATCCATGCAGCCACGCTGGCGGGGGGGATTCTCCTCTCCGCTTTGGCACACCGAGCGGGAATGTCGGTAGGGACGGGCACAGTGCAACGAGGACTCCTTCAGCGGCAGCTGAGCTGGCATGCTTGAACGAAACATCTTCGCCGGCTGGCAGAAGGGCCAAGCACGCCTCCCTCAGCAGCAAGTTGCACAGCCTGGGGGCAGCTGCTGAGCAGGCCATGTCTGCCACCCCTACCAGTTGTGCCTCTGACGGCAGGCGGAGCGTGCGGAAGGCCTTCGCAGCTGGCAGGGGGACAGGCGTCCTGCCCCCCAGAAGACACAGTGCCTCCAGCAGGGTGAAAGCTCATCTCCATCACCAGTTTCTGTACATGGATTTGGGGGAGGGGGCCTTAGGGATGTAGGTGAAATCCACAACGAGTTCTGATCTCTTTCAGTCCAACCTGATGTTTCTACAATGGGCTGGCTTTTTCTGGACCAGATTTCCACTTGGGGGCAGGGGGATTTCCACTAATTCGCATGAGCGCAAGTGTGCATCCGTGTGCATCAGCGCAGCTGGAAATCAGGCTCTGGGAAAACAGCCACCCAGCCTCGTCAGCCCAGTGAAGCAAAGCCCAGCTCAGCTACTGCTGTGGCGCCGCTGCCTTGCCTTGCCTCGCCTCGCCTCGCCTCGGGCAGCAAGGCACTTCGGGGCGGGGCCAGAGCTCAGGCCGGACGAGGGCCTTCCGTCATCTCTCTCTCCCTTTGCCATCTTTGCTCGTTCCCTCCTTCCTCCTTGGCTGGGAGGTCCTCCTGACAGTAAACAACAGCTGCCTCCCAACCTCGCCGAGAGGAGCAGCCGGCCCTACGCGAGGGGCAGAGTCTCCCGAGAATGGCAGGAGAGAGAGAGAGAGAGAGAGAGAGAGAGAGAGAGAGAGAGAGAGAGAGAGGGAGGGAGGGAGGGAGGGAGGGAGGGAACAGCCTTGCCACAGCATTGCCAGCCGAGCACGCCTCTCCGTTTGGGCTTCCCCCTTGCCGCAGAGCTAGCCAAACCCCGGACTGACTTGCTTGCCGTCCTAAGGGAAAAAGCAAAGGGGCTTTGCCAAATGGAGAAGCTGATGGCCAGGCTGGTCACGCACCCGCCGCCTGCAAGTGTGCAAAGCAGTCGTGCTCCTGCCCGGAACACAGGTGTGATGAGGCCACACTGCCTACAGCAACTGCTTTCATGGTGAGCAAATTGTTATGACTGTTTTTGCAGGGGCGGGGCGGCAAGAATGGAAAGACTGAGACAAGCTTGCAAAGGGCCTGAAGTCACAATTACACTGAGATCAAGTTCTGTGCATGGCTTAGACATCCTCTTCTGAAAAGCGGTAATAATAACGCCGTACAAAATATTTGCATCAATCAAATATGAAGCCACTTTTGCAGGCTCCTTCATAATGCTTCGTAATTCAGGCTCCATCCCAAATTAATTTTGTTAGCACGCTTGTACCCCTCCTGTTTCCTCCCTTGCAAAGTGCCCTAGGAGGTCAGACAGTCCCCTCTTGCTATTTTTCCCTTACAACAACCCCGGGAGGTAGGTCAGGCTGGGGGTAGCACCTGGGCCAAGGTCACCCAGTGAGCTTCATGGCAATGTGGGGGTTGGAACCTGGGTTTTCTGAGTCCCAGACCAAGAAACTCCGCTCCCAAATCTCTACAGTCTTAATTTTGTCAGTGTGGGTCAGGTGGATCAGGAAGACCGCAGACGGTGAAGGGTTCCAAACAAATCTTATAGCAGATGCATGTAAGGAGCTCCATTCCGGAAGTTCCAGCTCAGGCACTAAGAAACACACACTGCCTCCCAGAGTCAAATGATTAATCAGCTGCTGCCCACCTGGGGCCACCCAAACATTTCGGCTAGCATAGCAGCAACTTCAGCAGCGTGAGAATTCGGGGGGGTTGCAGTCCCAACCCAGCTGGACGGCACCAGTTTGGGGAAGGAACCCATGGATTGTAAGCTCCCTGCGGGCAGGCATCTGTTCTCATCACCTGCTTTATCTTTCATTCTAGACTCAAACAGCCAGCTGGAAACTCTTGGGGGGAAGACCTCTGCCTAGCTTTGTATTTATATGAGGGGTCTTCAAAACGTTCCTGCACTTTTATAAGTATATTTCATATACTTTTTGCAGATGGCATTAAAAAGTTGGTATGACAATGACACTGGGAAAAATGCATTGCAAAGGAAGGAGACTATGCCGAAAAGTGAAGTAATTTGTGCTTGAAATTCTTAATAAATAGTTTTTAAAAGTGCTGAAACTTTTTGAAGACACCCTCCCCCCCATGTACTGATGCTGCTCATCCCCCCAGTCTGGCATTCTCCAGGTGCACTTGCTTGCAAGTCCCATCATTCCCAGCCAATGGCACTGGGGTGGTGGAGCCGGGGCTTGTGGAGAGGCAGCAGCGGCCTGGTATTTTTCAGTCTACAGGAACCGACACCTTTGCCTGCAAGCGTGTGCCCTTCCACAGCACTGCGGCCCTTCCCCAGTGTCCCTGCACGGTCCTTTTGGGAAAACGGAAAAGCAGGACTTCAGCCTGGTGAACCCGGAGCGGCGCAACCAAGCGCTACCTCCCCTGCTGGAAACGCCTGTTCACTGGCGCTCTGTCAGGCCTCCTGGCATATTGAAGAGACAGGAAGTGGGTGGAGAGAAGAAAAGCCCCCTTCCCACAAGGACAGAATCCCAAAACCGCCACAGACAGTGGTGCACTCTGCCCTGGGCCTGCGGGGACAGAGCTTCCCTTCATTAGCGGAAACCCGACGGCATCTGCCATCCCGGTTCCCTCTGAGCTTAGAGGCATGCGGGATAACATGATCGCACTTCTATGCCGCACTATGGCTGAGGCTCTTTGGGTGGTTTACAGTGTACGGATCTATGTAAGCCGCCCAGAGAACCTTCGGGTTGTGGGGTGGCACAGAAATGGAGTTAAATAATAATAATAGCAGCATTATCTTCCTAATACTTATTAACGAGTTCCTTTTTGTAATGCTAAACATTTTGGGGTATCTTGATCCCAAACGGGCAGGGAAGGCACTTTTGCTTGATCAAAGACCCGCTCCTGGAACAGAGGGCAAATAGCTAGAACAGGTTTGTTGGCCTGGGTCAAAGCAGCTGCCGGCCTCCCCGCCTGCCAGTTCTGGGGTCATCCTGGGGTACGGCTGTCGTGATGAACACCTGGCCTTCCAAACAGAGCACATTTTCTAGGGGATGCAGAATTGTCATCCAGTGCAGCAGGACGGGATCAAGTCAGGGAACTGCCACAAATGTGAGCCATTCACAGAACCTGTCTGCTTCTTGGCATCCCCCCAGGTAAGCAGTGGGGTTCGGCACTGGCACCCTGGGCCTGGGCCTGGGCCCTCCTCCCGCAGCATGGCCGAGAAGCTGGGCCCCGCCGCTGAATGCCCGGTCTGCTTGAACGCTTTTGACAACACCTTCCGCACGCCCAAGCTGCTCCACTGCCGCCATTCCTTCTGCATCGAGTGCCTGGCCCACCTGAGCCTGGTGTCTCCAGCCCAGAACCACCTGCAGTGCCCGCTCTGCCGACAGCCCACCGTGCTGCCGCCCGAGCAGGCGGTCACTGAACTGCCCACCGACGTGGCTGTCCTGCGGCTGCTGCGCCTGGAGCCCAACCACATCATCCTGGAGGGACGCCAACTGTGCCTCAAGGAGCAACGGAAGAGTCGGTACTGCCTGCGACAGCCTCGGATCTACACCTTGGACCTTGGCAGGGAGACGGAATCCAGCAGCGGAAGCCACCACCAGCCAGCCGGGGCAGCTCCCACCCCGCTCCCGCGCCGCAATCCATTGCGGGAGTGTGCCCGCAATGCACAACTGCGGATTTTCGCCTACCTGACGGCCGTCATCTTAGTTGTGACTTTGCTCCTCATCATCTCCATCTTCTGGACCAAGCAATTCTTTGGTGGCTCGGGAGGCTGAAGGCTGGGACACTGGGGTTTTAAACGTAGGCTTTTAAAACCAGGGATGCGGACAAGATGGAAGCAGCGGCCACCTGCATTTTGTGAGGGCAGATCTCTGCTTCTGAACTTTTGGCTAACTGAAGCCGAGAGAAAAAGGGAGGGAGGGAGGGAGGGAGGGAGGGAAAGGTGTGGTTGAACAGCATTTTTGGCTGTGCCAAAGACCTCCATCCAGGTAGTGGCAAGACCTGATCAGCCAGAGAATGCTTACCATGCTACTGAAGCTGGTAACTGCCGGAGATGTATGTAGACCGGTCTTCCAGATGTGCCGCACTCCCAAGTGGAAAAATAGCAGTGCTTTTTAAAAGTTCTAATTTTAAAAAGGAT